TTTAGCCATCTGTGGTTTACAAGAAACCAAATCTTCCTCGTATTTCCTTTGGAATTTGCCTTACAACAGTCTCTTATTATTAAAATATACTTGTGACATCAAAGGAAAATACATTAATTGGATGTATTAGTTCAGGGGAAAAATCTATAAAGGTAATAAATGTACCTATTACTCTCATTGCATACCTACAAGTAGACACACACATACATGTGGAAATGCACACATACACACATGACTCTATATAGAGATATAAAACTTTCCTCTTATATCTAGGTTTCCTTATAATGCACAGATAAACTGTTACACATGACTTCTTGAAACTGAAATACCTGAAGAGTCCATTAAAACAATCAGATACTTATAAATGCCTTGGAAATCTTCAGGTTTTCATGTTATACCATTGTATGCAGGCATTTAATTAATCGCATTTTGAATTATTAAAAGATTAAGTGAGTTGGCAGCAGAAGTAGGATTTGGGAGAACAACAAAACTGAGCAAGTCAAAGTACAGGAAAGACTGAACATCACATTCTCTACCTTATGATTCTTGCTTGAACTTGGAAAACAATTTCCGTTGCTAAACAGTAAAATAGATTTTAGAAATAACTCTTATTTTCTTCTGGAAAAAACAGCAGGGGTCATATGATGAACTCATCCTTTAGGTAGCACCCTTTGGGAGGGGAGTACTACATAAGAGAAAAAGCATTATGGTGCCTGAATTGCGCTATTTGCACTAACTGCACTACAAGTGTAGATTGTTTGGAATAATTGTTAACATTCCAAAATCTGTGTGCAATGATGCAAAAAGTAACACAAATTGTTTCACACTTGGAATTCCACTCCCACAAGGCTTCTAGTTGTTTTGTCGTATGACACAATTTTAACAAGTTGGATCACTGGAAGTGATCAGTGTTCAGTAAAGAAGAGTATCTTGGTGCACCTCTTGGCATCTGGCTAACATCTGTTGTTTACTCAGGAAGTTCAAGTAAAATTTTATACGAAGCCACTCTTTCTATTGTTCAAAATATTTAGTATTGATCCGTTTCCTACATGTGGTAGATTCTGAATTCAGAATGTGACAAAGTGCTTACTTCGAGATGCAATCCATGAATAAAACCAGTCCTATCAGGAATTTCAATACAACTGAGTAAATAGAGAGTATTTAACAATCCCCTAAATATTGGCCTCCTTATTCTACATCATAGTGATTTTTCTCAACATTCAGTGCCGTTATTATACCTGCAGTTATAAGTCTCAGAAGTTTTCCTAGTTTACGAAACGCTGGAGTGAATTCAGGAGATAAGCATGTACTTACAACAATGACAAAAGCAGTGAGAAGAAGAAACACATCAGCTCTGAGACAGAGAAGGGGGTACTGCTGCTTCATTAGCAAGACAACGCAATTATCACCTGCTACTGCGTGCACGTATGTGCCGCCTGTCGGTGAGGGGGTACTGTTACAAGAAAGCCAAGCCACCAAAAGATAGCGAGGGGCTGCAGAATCCTCAAACTAAAGTAAAATCCACAAATCAATGCAGAAACTCCACCCAAAAGGGCAATATTGTCTTCACGCACCTGCAGCAATGACAACGTCAAGCATCAAGTTAAAGCAGGATACCTGCCATGCCTGGCTGACATTTGCTGATCAACTGAGTAAATTTTTAATCTTAAAATATTAAAATACAGAAACATATTGTTATAGAATTCTGAGCAAAGAATAAAAACACACAGCAGACAAACCCTTTAAAATAGTTTAAAAATTCAAATTTTCAAAATGTTTTGCTATCCGAGTTTGTTATCGGAAGTATCAACATAATGTCAGAAAGAGGAAAGCGATTGATAGAATCTGTCAATCTCAGAAAGCTACTTCAGGCCGTACAATACATGCTCAAAGTCAGGACACACTATAAAGGGAGATGAGCAGAATTCCCTGTATCCATGCAACCAGTATTATACTATTCACACGTACTACCCATTGCCACATCGTCATTAACAGACTGGCGCAATAAGGAAAAAGTTGCAATCAGGTTACATGAAGAGGACTGAATATCCCTGCTGATTACAAATGACAGCTGATTCTGTCGGTCAGGTCTGCACTTAGAAAATGCAGTAACTGGGAGAACAGATAAGCCCTCCTCGGAAGCAGATGGGTCAAACTTGGTGCCACTTTCTTCACATCTCATACACGAGCAAATCAACAGAGTTCTACTTTTTAATTAAGAGTTTAGGGTGATCAAGCCTCACCACAAAGATGTGCAACGTGACAACAGAAATATTAAAAAAAAAATAAATAGATAAGCACAGATGTGTATGTCATCATCAACTCTACATTGGGTCAAAAGGTGCCTATCAGCGATGACACAGCACAGGGAAATGAACCACACACCTGCAGGCACGGAGACATCCATACATTGATGCTGGCCTTGAAATTAAGAGAGCTAATAGTTAAGTGTAGGGCTTGAAACATGTTCTGTTTGACAGAAGTCTCAAGCATTCTTGTTCCCTCAAGACCCACATTAAACAGCATTTCTACTAACCATCATCAAAGCCCCTAATAAGCTAACACTGCTCCAGTGTATTAGATATTCATAAGTAAGTTAGCAAAAATTAATTTTAAGCAGATCACTTCAGAATTCTCTTTCACCAACACTATTATGGTCCTGCATGTGTAGGAAGCCTTGATTATCATCTTCACTTTTCCAGCTGGGGGTCTGCTTTTAGTGTACCTTCTGAAAAATACCTTTTCTGTACCTTTTTTCTTCCCCCTTTGAACACGCTGTTTTCACTGCTCTAAGCCCTATTTTTCTGTGCTCCAGCAACACTTAAACACAAGGAAAGACCACCTTGATCAATGAGTTCAGTCTTGCACATGAGACATTAAGTCTGGTGGCGTCTCCAGAAAAGCTACTTAACCACAGACCATAAAATACTCCTGCCCCCACCTCTAGCTTCAGTTCACAACAAACTTAAAAGCCAGGAGTGAACTGCTACAGCTGTAGCCAAAATATGCCAAAGGAAAAAAATGGGAGACAGTAAAGACAATCCTCGATGTCTTCAATTCCCTGCTATTGCAGGAACATAATTAGATTCAAATTTCAAATATTCCTAGTTAACAGACCATGTCCATGTTACAAGAAACACCCACCAGTCTTTGCCATTCTTGTATGAGGGAAATTCCACAAATCTGGTCATGGTTTGAAAACCAAGAACGTGTCCATGACATTTTTAATCAAGAGTTTTTTAAGCCACTGAGAGCTAGGCAAAACTTTGAAGTCTTTTTTTCTGTTTTGACAGAACTGACTCCACTACGGTCTAGTTCAAGCCGGGGAAGTTTTTTCTTTGTGCCAAGCAAACAGCTTTTAAAGAACTGCCCACACACCTGTTTTAATTTTTAAAGTATTATACGAAGCACTGAATATAAGATGCTCCAAGCCAGGTGGAAAAAGAATTCCCCCAACTACTTAATGAAGCTGCCCATTAACACCAGTGTCCAATCAACTGGTGCTTCATAAGCTTATCAAGTGATGACACGAAACCCACTGACCAATACTATTCTAACACTAACTATATGTAACGGTCTCTGATTACTATGCTAACCATATTAGGAGACAAATATCAACATTTTAATGGAGGCCACATTATATAATAAATGACATGCAGTGCTTTCATGCACATAAAAAGTACAATTTGGAGAAATGATTTAAAAGTAAGTGTACAGTACACAGCTCTTGGGAATTGGCAAATTGCTAGAAATTGAGCTGGCAAGCTACGTCCAAGGAACTTATTACAACTTCCATCTTCTGTAAAGAAGTTTAAACATATGAGTTTGTGGGGTTTTTTGGTACTGAAAGTTTGTTATTTCAAAGTAAATTGTTTTCCAATTGCTCATCACTATACATCAATATAATGCTATAAGCCATCACTTTTCATGGTATAATGATGATAATACATTTTAAATTCTTTGATTAAGCCACTTGAGTAATGACAAAAAGATCGGACCTTTCCAAACATAAAAATACAATGAATCAACATCTGTCATCTACAGAAACGGCACAAACGTCATTTAATGTGATCACATCAAAGACCATCCATCATTCATCTGTAAATCCACTTCATCATATCTAATCCAAAACTCTGAGTATTAACAGTCAGCCTTAGAAAAAACAGAGTATTTTAGCAACAGTCTACCACATGACAGATACAAGTATCTACAGCTTGGGTGGAAATTAAGCACAGAATTTCTCTCAAATCAAAATTTAAACGTAACTTTCAATTTATGAAATCAAAAAATAGTATGTTCCTGTTGATTTAACTAACAGGTATATAACAGAACTCAGTCTTAAGAAGGGGAAAGGTGTAAGTGACTGACTTACCTTGTGTTTTTTTAATTTTTCATTGGTAAATCTACTCCTCCAAGAGCAGCCCTTTCAAAAAACTACAATTTTAGTTCCAACAACAACAACGAGATAACCTTTTCTGACATCTTTACAAAGTCACTAATATAATATTAACAACAACTTTGTGTTCTGAGCTGAATTAATAAAATCTGTGTGACAAAAATTTAATGAATTTCTCATCTTGAAGGAAAACAGCATTCATATCCTTCTTGGAACTGGAAAACAAAACTAAGTCACATTAATACTGGATAAATACTAAATCTCTTTAAGGAAAGAAAGATTATTAACACCATGACATTGCTATTTTAGAAAGTTTACTTACAAAATGGTCATTAAAATAATTTTGTTTAACAAGAAGTGATAAATACATGTTATGAAATATTAGAAACAGGTGATTTTCAGCACTAAATCTATTCTTCACAATTTAAAAAAGCTGGTCTTTGTCTGAATTGTCTTCTATAGGTTTAAATTTCTTAAAGGCATCATCACCATAAAGCACTGAAAATATTTTCCCTATGTTAATCTGACAGAAAACATGAATATCACATCTGTAGAACTGCAAGGGAATGTATAGGCCTTGGAAACCATGTGAGTGAAAGGATACAAGTTTTGGTATAATGGGATTAATGATTTCAATGCACGGCTTGCATTTATAGCTGTTGCACGAACCATAATAGGAAGAATTTTTCCATTCACAATAGCACCATCAAAGAGTGGACCAAAAAATGGAACCTGAATAAAAAATTAAGAAATTCAACATAAAGTAAGATCTTAGCTATAACAATTAGCAATCAACGTTAACAATAGAGCACTCAAATATATAATTTTTTTTCCTCCTCATCGCTAGATAATCAGAACAGTTATTGTGCTCCGTGACAGACCTTTTCTCTTGTGGAAATATACAGCCATATAACTGCTTGATATCCTTGGTAACAGATAACGCATCATTTGAAAAAAATTAAGCAACCATTTGAATACTGTGTCTCATCAAAGCTTAATTCCAACATTTGCTGCCAAAGTCCTATGGACAGTCATGCATGTGAAGGTTATGAGGTTGAAAGGCTAGATGACAGTATTGTAGGTGGTAGTCAGCAAAAGGGATAATTACTCAAATTTTAAAATAATATTTATCATAGCTTTAGATACTACATGTCCTTAAGGACCAACTCAAAGTGCAACTGTCATACAATTACTGGTGTACAGACTTTAATCTGACATTTTCTTTTCCTCTTCTATCTTTCTATGGTATCTATACAAATAGATTATAAACCCTTTACAGGAGATATCTGTGATGAAAAGTTGGCCTCTTTGGACCCTAAGTGTAAAGCCTCATTTGTGAGAGCTGCAGAAAACCTTGATGTTTAGTATAGGTAGCACCCAAGAGGTTTACAGAACAGATGGATCTTATGTTTTGGCATTACATTTTTCTCTAATCAATCATCATTCTGCAATTAAAAAAAAAGAAAATAAAACTCTGTTAAGTATCTTCATTTCCTGTATGTGTGAATAAAGTTCTGAAGTTGCTAGCATAAAGCATGTGAAGAAGAGTAAAGTTTATGAATCAGGTCAACAAAGAGAGCAGAGTATAGACTAAATATTCTTCCTGCTAAGATGAAACCAATGCTGCAAAAGAAGTTTAGAACCCTGTATTACATTTTGCCATCAGTCATTTAATGCAGTTTTGAGAATACTGAAATCTGATGGAAAGCACTTTTTTTTCACATAAAGGACCTCCTGTTGGAAGAACAACAATCCCTGCTCTCAGTACTTTTCTTTTTCCTTCTTAACCTGCATACCCCCAATAATGCAGCTCTTTGTACTTAAAGTACTAAGAAAAAGAATATACTTATTAATTAATTGAAAATGTAAGTAACCCAGTAATAACAAGACCATGTACTGGGTGTCATTTCATGCTACTCATTGGATGGAGGCGTTCATCATATAGAGGGAATCTTATTTCCATCATAATCTCATTTATTAATATTAGTGCTTCTAGAAAGAATTTTAATATTTAAAGTACAGAAATTCATGGCAAGTGACATCATGCACAGAAATTATGCAGTAGAAACACTCATGAGTACTTTTACTCAGTGTTTGCTACACTAAAGCACTGTTTGAAGAACAGGGCCAGCACAGACATTTGAGGCATTTGAATGAGAGTGTGTTCATGTACCTAAGAGTTGAAAGGTCTTGCTTTGCTGAATTAATCTCCGAATTCTTCTGTGGAGTTTGAGGAGAAACCACAAACTGGCTTTGAGAAGAAGAATGGGGAATACAACATCGATGGAGAAAGCTGGAGCATGATATTATTCAGCTCCCAGTCACGTATCAAATTTCATAAAAAAGTGTGCCAAGTTTATTTTAATACTTAAATGATTACATAGAATATTCTATCTTTGTTTCCAGTTTATGATGTTAACAGGTATGCTTGACAGGATCAGGCCTTTGCCATTTCAAGTTACTGATTTTACTATGAATTGTACTCTGAGTTCTTCCTCTTCCTCCTACCACCACTGCAAACGTCCGTGTTAAAGACACATCACCTTGGATCAATCTATTGGAACTGCTGGATCAATCTATTGGATCCTTTAGATAAATCTATTACAACAAATCTCAGATTCATAACACAACCCAGTTCATATTAAACACACGAAAGAAATGCAAAAGAAAAAAACACCCTTACCTCAGGCTTTTTCATGATCTGGATACTGAACATATGGTTTTTCATGGGATAGATAACTATAAGAACATCACCAAATTCTGTTGGAATTATTCCTCTTCTATAATCTCGAGTATGCTCTGACCAGACAATGTGTACTTCATCATTTCCTAAATGTCTTAGCTGGAAAAGCAGGGATAAAACGCCATCAGTTTACATATATTCTACAGCCATACAGCTATACTAAGTGCTCATATTTCAAAAGGACAAACCCACTAAAAAGAAATAAAAAATAAATAAAATAAAATAATCAAGTTCCACTATAGTTCTCTTACAATTTCAATGATAGTATTAGTTCACAGTATTGGTTTATGCCACACATTTTTATATATTGGTACTAATGTCTATTTAACTTAACATCAGTATTTATTTTCTCCTGAAAGCTAAAATTTTGTTTATATTATCTCAAGAATGCAGAGAGATTCAATCTGATTTACTAAAATGCTTTCACCATTGTCATCATTGACAGGCAGCGAATTTCTAAATTCTATATGAATTTTTAAAGAAAACGAATGAACACCCATTTAAAAGCTACATATCTGAGCAGTCTTCAACCTCATCATTCTAGCCCAAACCCACACTGGCTACTAGAAACAAAAAGCTTTTAAAGGAGAAGAGCTACTGCATTTTCCACAGTCCCTAGATTAACTAAACCATATGCTCATTTCCCATGAAACCTGTATACCTCTGTAAAAATAATGCGCTCTGGTCCCCTAAAAACCCCAAATGGCTTTTGATTTGGTTCAGAATGGCCAAATGAGTTCCTCAAAATCCATACTGTATCTTCACTTGTAATCATATAACCAGATTAAGGAATATCTTGAACATTTTGGAATTATCTGCACTGAAGCTCCGAAATGCTCTTTCTGCTAAACATCACCATCTGACAATCAAATGTTAACATCATGGAGAGAGGTTTTACATGCACTGATCAAAGACATTCAGATTATTAAGCATGAGTTTCTTTCCAGTAAGGGCTATTTCTGAAAATTCAAGCTGGAATCTCATTCTTTCCTCCTTGTGATCACCAATTACAGCTGACAATTGTCTTCACCCACAGCTGTCAGTTTGTTTGCACAGTTTCAGGTAGGTAGAATTTGTCAAACAATTGCCTTGATGTTATTCAAAGGACAACACTGTGAACTGCTGTTAACGGGTAACAGGCAGATGCTTCTCTGAGCACTTACAAGAAGTTGTTGTATATAGAAAGGCAACAGTTTTCGGTATTCATTTTAAGAATATAACTGCACTTTAAATAAAAGCAAAACATATACAGAGTCATCAGAGAAATTTCATTGCAAGTATTCACTTGTTTATATTGCAAAACCTCCTGGAATGTTACCTTCATCTTATCTGAAAGCTTATATTGGTTGTCAACAGCAGACTTTAAAAAAAAAAAAAAAAAGGAAAAAAGGAAAGAAAGCAGCACCTCTGCTCCTCTCTCCTAGCTTTCAATTGTATCAGACTGAAAAACAGGGTTGCATTTCTAAAAGAAAAGGATTTTCTTCAGTGTTGGACTGGGCAAGGGACAGATGGCATCAATACCCTACATCCTGTCTGATGCTCAACAAGTCATTTGTTTTGCCTGGACCAGATCATAGATACATCTAATCTCCAAGGACTGCAGCTCCTTTGAAGTGAGCCGCTCCTGCCCCTTTTGTAGATGGCTGAATTATTTTGAACAACACTTAGTTAGGGATGCTCTTGTGCCAACAGCAAACCCAGCCCAACAAAAGAATTGGTTATAACAACATTCACTATGCTGAGTTTTATTAGACTAGATCAGAACAAAACGAGGCAGCAACCTGAATGACTGATGTGCAACATGCAAACACCAGCTGCAAAAACCTTGGATGACACTTGGCAGTGATGAAAATGTCGTAAAAGATGACTATCTGTGGAATTGTGGAGGGCCTGAATCTCTTCCTACCTTCCTAGGCGAAATGACAGTCAAACTATCTGGTGAAATATGACAACAGAAGGGCTTGAGGGACTGATGGCCCTGCACTTAGAAGCAAGAGAAGAGATGAGGCTGCCTAACCAAAGAGAAAGCAAGAGGCAAATCAGTTTAGATATGAAATCTTGTGAAACATGAAAAAGCTACACGACCCTAGATTGAGGGGTGGCCATCTGGGCCATGAGTGGAGGGAACATGATTCAACCAGAGAAGTACATGTAATTTGCATAGATTACTTTCCCACTTGGTTTCCATGCTGTGGAGTAACAGGAACTGCCTTTAAGACAATAAAAAAAAAAAAAAAAAGGATAAAAGGAAAGAAAGCAGCACCTCTGCTCCTCTCTCCTAGCTTTCAATTGTATCAGACTGAAAAACAGGGTTGCATTTCTAAAAGAAAAGGATTTTCTTCAGTGTTGGACTGGGCAAGGGACAGATGGCATCAATACCCTACATCCTGTCTGATGCTCAACAAGTCATTTGTTTTGCCTGGACCAGATCATAGATACATCTAATCTCCAAGGACTGCAGCTCCTTTGAAGTGAGCCGCTCCTGCCCCTTTTGTAGATGGCTGAATTATTTTGAACAACACTTAGTTAGGGATGCTCTTGTGCCAACAGCAAACCCAGCCCAACAAAAGAATTGGTTATAACAACATTCACTATGCTGAGTTTTATTAGACTAGATCAGAACAAAACGAGGCAGCAACCTGAATGACTGATGTGCAACATGCAAACACCAGCTGCAAAAACCTTGGATGACACTTGGCAGTGATGAAAATGTCGTAAAAGATGACTATCTGTGGAATTGTGGAGGGCCTGAATCTCTTCCTACCTTCCTAGGCGAAATGACAGTCAAACTATCTGGTGAAATATGACAACAGAAGGGCTTGAGGGACTGATGGCCCTGCACTTAGAAGCAAGAGAAGAGATGAGGCTGCCTAACCAAAGAGAAAGCAAGAGGCAAATCAGTTTAGATATGAAATCTTGTGAAACATGAAAAAGCTACACGACCCTAGATTGAGGGGTGGCCATCTGGTGCACCGACTGAACTGAACTCATTGAACTGGCTGCCAAAAAGAAGAACCAGGACTGATATGCCCATCACTGCACTGCAATACTCCTAATTCAGCAATATTAAACTACTTACTACAAGAATTAGCCCTCCTTTACTTACTGTCTTTGTACTCAAAGACAACTATCTCCCACACTGTTAGGAACAAGGGATGGTGACAGTGTACATGCCAAATTGGCTCTAAAAACCAAAACATATAGGTAATGCAGTGTCCTGAGGGCATCACTGCCTCTGAATTTCGTTTATCAAAGGTTGTCCCTGTGTACCTGTTACCGATACCTGCAGCTTATCAGACAGGACACCAGTTCTTGCACTTTTACGAAAGCTACCCAGAGCATCCCTCGTGATGCATGCTTTCCTATCAGACTGACACTGACTGTGGTGTGATAAAAGTGTATTGTGTGGTTATTTCAGAAGGAGGACTACTGATAAAGGACACATATTTTTGGATGCAAAGTGTACTTTGCTATGTACCCCCATAGAGGTGGGAGGATACATTTCAGGCTAAAAGCACTAACTTCTTCAGAGGAAAAGCAAAATGAATCAGATTATTGCAGTGAGTTCCAAGCCCTGCCAGGTGTATTTCACCTCATGATTAGTACCAAGAATGATTTAACAAAGATCCAGTTTGAGTAAAGTGTGGAATGGCATCTCTGTGATATATAATGGATTGAGAGTCAAAAATCAGGCAACACAAGTATGTGGATGATGGTATAAAGCATGAATGCTGGTTTGTAACAAGACGTAAAGTACTCAGGATCAAAACTATGGTCAAGATCTTGTTTCCATTATAGGAGGTAGAAGACTGACAAAAATAATAGACAAGTAATCAAGTTTGGGTGTTGCCAATTTCATCTTTATGTTTGGAGAAGAATTAAATTCTGGGTAAGTCATTCTGTTCCTTTTTCTGGAGTAGATCAGAAGAAGCTCTGACACTAACATACTGCTACATATTGCTTCTTTCAGATGTCCCACCTTGGTCAGCAAGCAAAGCCTATGAAAATGCTTGAATGGTGATAACTTGACTCATCTACAGCACTTGATTCATGGAAGAAATCCAATATCTGAAATTGTCTTGCAAAGCTTTCCAAGGTCTGCTAGGTTTTGCATAAACTTTTAGAAAGAAGATTTTTGGTTTTTCTTCCTCATTTTTCAGTTCCCTATCAAAGGACCTTGAAATTGAGCACAACAAAGCTCTTCTGCAAGCTCAGCAAACGTGTGGAGAATCCATCATTCACTGGAATTATTACAGCACAGGAGAGCCAGAGCCTGACCTCTTTCAACTCCAATCTGAATTCTTTATGTCTTTGTATTGAATGGGAAGCAGAACAGAATTCAGTGTCCTGGACACAAGCGGTACAAAGATACTGAGCTACAGCCACCTCTGCTCACTGAAACCTAAAGGCCAGGCAGCAACATGTCTTCCCAAGAAGGTGATGTGGTCCCAAGGTTATCTAACAGAATCAGATTGGGGCACACAGAACGTACAGGTACCAAGACTGAAATCTGTGTTAATGGTTACTCGAAACTCACCACCACTTGTGTAAGTCAATTATATCTTCACAGTCATTTCCTGACCTTGTCTTCCTAAATTTACAACTCTGTGCATAAATCACAGTCAGCAAAACATAGTGCAAATCCTTATTAGAGAAGTAGGGCACAGCAATAATATAAATAATGAAAATCTCTAAAATAATGTTATACTTCAAGTAGCCATTAATACACTATAGCTGAAACACCTGGAACTACAGATTACATACCAATATTCTAAAATGCTAAATACTGCATAAATGCAGATAAAACTGCTCTAGAGTTTATTATCTAAGCATAAGACAAGACACAAAATGAAGATGGACAAATGCAAAGAAACTGTAAAAAGGTGTTAAATATTAGAAAAATGACTTTGATAGCAGCATTCTTCAGGAATGAAAACCAGAGAAAGGAAGGAGGAAGGTTCAGCAATCAAAACAACAGTTTAAGATATAGTGGATATATTTTAACTGTGTGTATGGAAAGGCTATGTTGTAAGAAACATTATTCAGAAAAAAGAACAGAGTCTTAAGCACAGACTGAATGTAAGAATCCCATAAATGGACCAAATTAAAGATGATTTCAGGCTATGGGCACAAGTGACAGGCACAATGTTCACGTTATCCATGGTGATCCAGAAAGGTGGCAATGAGAAAGAGATTAAGAGCTCTGTTTTAGCCATTTTGAACCTGAGCTGTCGGGAACACAGCCCTGAGGAGATGTCAGAGACAAACAGATTTTTTTAGGCTCGCTTTGAAACTCTACTCCATTAAAACAAATATATAAAAATGACCTACTGTTAGGTTACCTGAAATTTCAAATTTAACTCAAAATACTTTAAAATATTCTTACTCTATAGCCATCATCATGTGTCAGCTCTCCTAATACATTTATGTTAACTGAATACAAAAGAAACGTGAAATAAATATAACCAGGAGGGATGATCAAATCTAATTTTGATACATTAGTGTCATATGCTGTACATGTTACAATAGCAGCCAGACTTAATACTAAGCTGCAGGCTATACTGAAATTTCCAAATGGCAGATTGTTCTAAGTGATACCAAGTATAATTGAAGTAATAAACGATAGTAAAAGCAAAGCACACTGTCAGGAAGAATTTAAGTATTTACTTTTTAAAATTAAATGAGTTAGGTTTGGAAAGGCAAGACAAGTGAAATAATGCAGGGCTCAATTTACAGAAAATTCCTTTTATTTATCTGTTGCATTAACCCTTGAACTCTTGCCAAAATTACTGTAATTTCTAATACCCACTTACCTAAAGGAGGGAGAAAAAAGGCTATTATATTTTCTTATGACACAACGGCTAGCCTCAACTTTTTTCTTCCTCAAAAATGAAAATGTTCATTATAAAAAGAACAAAAGGAGCAGAAACATCTGAAACAATGGCTTACTGAACTACTTTGGCCGATTAAATGTAAGCAGCATTGCTGTCTACAGTGTATATACACTTTGGTTGAATTTTGCACAAAACTTTGTTTCAACAACTAAGGTGTGTTGAGTTGCGGTTTTTTAAAGCAACAAGTGTACTTAACTGTAAGTCCCCCCAAAAATTCTACAAATAATTTACATCCATGAACCCTCAAGCTCCCAATACAAGTTAATATCACAATAAAAAAAAACTAGCTATAGATGATCTATGTGGTCAGGACCACGACACACAATCTAGAAAAATGTAATACAACCAAAGTCCACAATGAATTAGTATTCTCATCATTAATAACATTACTACTTCTTATTTATGTATAATTTTCTCCCCTACAATGCCTTCGCTCCCTTATCAGGCTAAAGGACGAGGAACTGGACAGATGTAGCTGTAGAGGAACATACATGAGCTTTCTCACTCTGAACTGAGAGTCTTCACAGTTTCATTTAATCCTGATATTTTCTTTGCAAGTTTGTTCTTGTAAGGGTAGTGCAAATACTTTTTACTCTAATCTTTAATTCTAAGAAAAACAAAATAGATTGCATTATGAACATTAAATCTTTAATTTACTATTTGCAAATTAAATACCTATTTTATATGAGCATTTCAACGTAAAGTTCCTTTACGCATTCAGAAGATTTCCATCTGTTCTCCCTGAATGTACATCTTTCCTTGCTCTTTTTCATGTCTTCAGAAATAAATGCTTCAGAGGTATCCAAGTCACTTAAAAGTTTTATTTACTACTCTGTAACACTGATGGAAAATAAGTTTAAAATTGGCTTAGCCTCTGAAACAGCAGAATCTTGATTTTGCAGTGGTTGGACTGGCAGGAAGAAGTTTTGTTTTAATTTAATTTAATTTCCATTTATAAGATGAACCTATCATGCACCTCTAGGCACATTTACAATATAAAAAACAGCAGCAGTTCTAAGCCAACTACTGCAAGTTTGCTTGTTTTTCTCCCACTGAATGAAACAGACAAAGAAAGCACATGAAAGACCTGTGCAGAAGCTCAAAACTCAAGTTTCTCTGGAGGTCATGGACAGTGCATGCACTCATAATAATGACAACTGTTAGCACACACAGAGCTTTCAAATGATTTTGAGGTCCCCTATAGTGTGTGTGAGCTGGACGGCATCTCATAAAACATAGTCCTTTTGCTGATGTGTTCAGTCTAAGCAGCATGAATAGATGCAGAACTAGGAAAAGAATTAAGCAGGTTTTCCTACTCCTGTCTCCTGATACCACTTGCTCATTTCTCCCAAGATGCAAACTTCAGTTGATGTTTTTCTCAAGTTTGTGATGACTTTCATTGCACATCTCTCTGGTGCTGGTTCCTTGGTGTCTAAAGCGTCATCCCATGCATTCTTTACCTGCTGAGCAGGAGCATTAAGAGTCTCTCTCACACTACCTCATTTGCTTAGCCTATCTTCATTAAACATAACACCTATGAAACGTGTCACTAGTAATTGGATTGAAACGGGCCAAAAGATGTTAGAGAAGGGAGGAGAGATATAAAGGCAGGCTCACAAGCCTTCATTTGTTGGGAAACTGAGCTTAGGAAGAAGGAAAAAACCACCTACTGAGGAAGAACAGGAAAGAAAGCCACAGAGAAATAAAGCAGCTTGATTGAACAACCCATCAGTAGCTGAGCTACAAATAGAACACCAATCTACATGTCCATACAGACCTCAAATATTCCAACCTACTGAAGAGCGAGATTTTGGGCAAGGGAGGACAGAAATTGGCCTGGGGCAAGCTGGAGTTGTTATAAAGTCCAGCTGACACCATTTTCACACGTTAAATCACAGGACGCCTGGACCAGCACTGAACCTCGCCTGGACAGAACAGCTATATGTGGATTCAGGGAGCTCCTGGAATGGGAACTTGCCTGTGTGTTCTGCTGGAGTCCACAGCATTTACAAATTATTTATTATTAATTAATTTTCACTGTGACCTATCTTCCCCCTTGTCAACACTTCTTAATGCTCTAATACAAACAGATTCTAAACAAACATTGTAAGGATAATTACAAGCTGTGTTTTAGAAAACTAAGTTTCTGTTCAAAAAATACAGAAGCCAGTCAGCTTAGAAAAATATGTATATATGCACACACAGTGTTCTATACTAGAACAATAGCAACAATCTTATTTTAAAATCCGTTCTTTTTGCTATTAAACAACTTTTATAAATCATTTAACAACCTAAGCGTTATCCTGGCTCTACTTCAGGATATAAAGAACAGAAAGGATCTAGCACTATAAGCACACAAAAAACGTTTTTTAATATTAAAAAAACCCCCAAAACTACCAAACAAACCAACCAAAATGTGACAGTGAGAAGTTAGATCTCATATTCAGTCTATAATTATAACAATAATATTTTTTTCTTCAAGTTGAACACAAAGAACAAAAAAGTCATTAATAATTGAAGCTTGCCAGAGGCATGGCTATTTCTCTCTTTACTAACTGTCTACTGTCTAATTTAATTACAAGTATTAAACTCCATGCTGAGGTCAACCAGCTTCAGTTCCTCCAATATTACACTTCAACCAGTGCTCATTAACGTGTCTACTGAATGGATTAGCACATCTGAAGATGTATGTACGCGGGACGGGGGACAGTCTAATGATAGCCAATTGTTCATTTGTAATAGGACACATGTTTGAGACTGTAACTTATTATCACTAATGTGGAATTTATTAAATTCTAAAGAAAAAAATACCAATACAGAAAACCATTTTTTCCTTAATGTGGCTATGAGAGATTCTATTGCTGTTGAGCATTTCTGCCTTCTTATATACACATCTGCACATCTATATACAATAATCACTGTTGAATTCTTAATATTTTTAACTTTTTTTGGAAAGAAATATTATGTTAATAGACAGCACATGAATCTTAAGTGAATAAAACCTCCTCCTAGAAAGTACTCACCATATATTTATTAATTGGCATTTAAAGTCTCAAAGTATTAAAACATCATTCAGATGCTTTTTCTTCTACACAAACCATTACCTCCCTTCATTTTTCACCACTGTACATGTGATACTGCCAACATTTGCAATGATGGCAAAAATCACCAGTATGGCAAAATTAGAAATTGGGAGAGAATAATTTATATGGCTTAGCCTACTTCAATAAAATACCAACTATTAGCAGATAAAGGTACTGCGATATTTATTTATTTTTTTTAGAAAAAGTTACCTGATTTTCTTCGACTCTAGTTTTTCTGGATTTATTACCAAAAGAAAACTTGTTATTAAACACCTACCTTTTTTGTTAGAGAGTCATCTGAATCAGAAGGCATTCTTGTTGACACATGGAACATCACTTCTACTGTCGAGGTAGCAAAATATGGAGTAGTCAATCCAGTGCTTTTGTTTTTTTGCAGTCCTCCCATAAAGCCACAATGGTTTGTGAGATTTACCTAGAAGTAAAACCCAGCAAGCATTAGGAGAAAAAAAATAAAACCAGGTGATAAATGCATTAATTTTTTATTTCTTTTTTTTACACAGAGTATTAAAAAAATGCATTTTCAACTGAATTTTTAAAAGTGAAGGCTCTTTTCACAATAGTGCAGTTGTGCTTACCTAAAAGAGCTCAGATTTGCTGCCTACACTGCGAATAATCAACTGCAGCACAGTGGCACTCTATACTCTGAGATCACCACAGACGCTGCCAGGAAGACAAAGTGAGAAAGGGAAAGATTGTGCAAATGAATATTTAGTGCACTATTCCCTGATCAGTTCACTGGAGTAATTTCCTTGTGCTTTTTGCATTTTTTAAAATTCGGTGATCATCAGCTCTGATCTGAGCTCTGAAGAAACCCTGCATGACAGCAAGACACTTTCAATTTGTCTTGTTACCTTCCATATCTTTTCCTGAGAAATTTTCATTCTCTGAATATGAAAAAAAAAAAATCATCACAGGAGACTAACTGATGATTCATAAATATGTTTGTAAGTCTTAGTTCTATGGGGAATAGTTTTGACATTGAAATAAATAAGTATGCTTAACATGCTATTTCACTTTTACAGCAGTGCCTAAAGAAAACTATAACTCAGATGGGATGTATTTGCTTTTATGTTAACATGGAATATTAATCCAAATTAGCAATTCTTCTAGCTAATAAAGGCTAAAAGAATTAACCCACTAAAGAAGGATATCTGAAGACACTAATGTGATGTTTTTTTTTTCTCCTGAAGAATCAGGAATGTGGGAAACAGACATCTATGTTTGTGACAGTCAGCAAACTTCTAGCAGTTTTCCTCTGTTCCTGTGGAAAAGTCAGATCCATTATCAACACTGCTGATCTAGTAGTGCTGCTCTGTAGCTAAGGAGTAAGAAAAAGAACAAGACAGACACTCATGGGGACACTCCTGATGAACACAAGTGGCCAGAGGAACAGAAAACCTGCAGATGCTTATGCAGCAGGGAATCACTGCAAATCTCAAATTTCAATGGACTTAACAACTCACAGGCCTACAAGCAAATCAAGATGCCTCCTAATCAGTCCATTAAAACCATGTACAGGACTGCACATTAAAGAACAACCTCTGCCTGCACAAACTTTCTTAAATTGAAAGAGCCCAAAATTAAATAGCTAGTATTGATAATGAATTTAAACCAGAATTCCTCTCTATATCCTACTTGCAAAACAGTGTATTTCAGTATTTGTAAGTAATACTAAAGAGACAAAGACTTGGAATATCTGAAGGGATCTATAATTTTCTCCGCAAACAGACTTAGAAAAAAAAAGTTTTAATAAATACCTCCCAGCCAAGTCCGGCTACAAAATCCTCATAGGCTTGACTTCCTCCAGTATTAGTAAGAATGGAGTGTTTATCTTCTTGTCCCTCAGCAACATAAAACACTGCGATCTTGTGTGTCTCTCGGCTGCAACAGAGGGGATGGTCACTGCGTGACAGTGCCTTTACTAATACAAAACTAAAATGTGCAAACAGTACACACAGAGCATGGCCTTTAAAACATTGAAAAAAGATAGCCGAAGTAAAGTACAACTCTATGGCTTCTTTTTGAATACCTTCTATATTTCCATATTCCTATTCTCTCTTTTCTAGTCTGGACTTCTCTAGAGCCTAAAGTTTTACTATACGTGAAGAAGCATTTACCCTTTTCATCACTTCTGAGGTGTAGGGTGGTGCTGGCAGCACCAATTGCTGATGGAATCAGCTGGGCTTCTCCAATGAGCAAATCCTGTAACACGGGCATTATCGACACTGCGCTGCCCATTAACAACAGTGCCCTGTGAATGCTGCAGCAAATACATCTTACGCAGCTGAATGACAAGTCTTTAACCACTACAGCAATGTCTTCTGTTCACAGCTTGATGTGAGACACGGTAGGAACTGAAGGTGACTTCTCACACTTCTAAAATCTCCACTGGATTTTATTTCAACTTCTACAAAAACTATTCAAAGCTTTTAATTCTGTGCTACAGCTCCAACTATAATTCCCTGTCTTCAAATACTAACAGCGCTGGAAAGCAGCTAATCCATTAGCCAAAGCTTACAATTTGGAGACTTAGATATATACAAGTTTTAAATCTATTCCATGTTATGCACACAAATGTTCATAATTTTAAGTTATTTTGAAGTTTGTTCCATCTCAAGATATTCTACTTGTAGAGTTTCAATATCCAAATAACACCAATGCAACTTCAATATACATGAATAATTTACAAAAATATTTTTAAAATTAGTTCAACTCATATCTATGTGATTAGTGCCACTAAAGTACAAGGACACTTAAATAAGTAGGTGGCCATTAAAAGAATTTACCATTGTCTTGAGTCCAAATTTCTGAGTTCTCGAAGTAACTTCTCATTTTTCTTCAGGAGATGAAAGCTCCTTCTAAACAGAGAAATTTGTAACTCTTATCACCTGTTCACTGATGGATACAGAACAGTATAAAAGAACGTACAAGAACATTTCCAGGTCCATTCAAGAATAGTCAACAAATGTTTCTGGCTTTTCAATAATCCTTTCTTATATAAAATATTAAGATCTCTTAAAAAAAAAAAAAAAAAAAAAGCCTGCAGCCCATGCAGCCCACCTGGCAGCATTAACTTAAGGAAGAGAACAAGACAAACAGCTGGTGGGACAGGGGTTCTTCAAAGAAGAACCCTCCTGTGGTTGTGTTTTGGCATGACCCCATCTTGAAGCCCTGCTGAGAAGATTTATATTTTCTCACATCATTTTGTGCTTGGGCAGGGCTTTTTGACTTCCACAATCAATTCACTTTATGAAGAAAACACCAAAAAGAAATTAAGGGCCAGAAGATGTGTTTTATCCCAAGGAAAATCGACAACATGATGTCTCCCTCAGAGACCACTGTCTTGGAAGCATCCTTTCTGGTCGGCTAGGGAAAGCTGACTTCCAAACTCCAACCTGGGGAGGAGATTCAGAAATAAAATGTGCTCTTTTCATAGCTACTTCCCTACAATATTTGGATTCGCAGAAAAAATTAAAACCTTTAAAAAAAAAAAAAAAAAAAAAAAAGGGCTATTTTTTTCACTCCAGGAAATTTTCTATGTCCACTATAGCCCTGAGTACAACCTTTACCACTCTACACTTTACGATGCTGTAATACATATATGCTTAGTGACAAAAGACACTCCCATAATCTACTGTCCTAGGGAGTTAGTACATTAAACACAAAGCTTTTGCTATTCTGAATTGCAAAAGAGAGCAGAACGCAGCTCACTAGCCAACCACCCAGCTGTAACAATTTAAAGAAAAAACCAAACCAATATGTTAGAGCAAGAAAGGCACTTTTCATTTCTTTTAAACTGCGTTTAAGATGTTCCCACAAAACAAAGTGGAATGAGTTTAAGAGCAGTACTGTTCAAAGCCAGACTGCCTTGAGGAATTAAAGACCCAAATAAGAAGGGTTATAACACCAAAATTGTATCCAATTTCAGTGACACAGATTATTTTTGTTTTACAGAATATCCATTTCCTTTCACAGTAAGAAAATATTTCAATGCCTCAAATACAGAATTTGACAGCTATGACAAAGGCAGATTTCAGAAAAACCCTTAAATTCAAGGAAGCAAATATTGGTACATACCTGTATGTATAGGCAGACACACACCTAACTACACCCACACAAAAATAATCATGTAAACAGAGACATTACTTTTCTAACTGAACCTGGCTTGTCTCCTGTTGTTCTAAACAATACCCAAACACTGCCAATGTTGAAATAAATAGTAGGGGACACATCTTTCTCATTAGCTAACACAGATGCAATGCTTTGAGGCTGCATGCAAGCATGCTCTTAGCGAGCAAAGCAGCAGGACACTGTCCAGCAACACAATAGCTGAGAATATGACACTTTTCGAGCCTCAGTCTGACATAGAAAGGTAATGTTTTTTGCAGGAACATACGTGGGAAGCAAAGAAAGCAAAAAAGATGCATTCTTTACCCATGGTAGTACCCCTTAGTACAGCTGGTGAAAGGATTATTAGAAAAGATACCACTCCTTCAATTTGCCTTCCACCACTATTCTAAGGAAAGAATATAAATAGCAATAAAAGCAACAGGTTCCCCCTTTCTGTCTTTCTAAATGACAGGTTGAAATGCAGAAGAAAACTGCCATTTTCCCCTTAGTTGCACATCACCTCTCCTCTTTTGTTGGCTGGCCTGGAGCATTTTTGGCTTAACCCACTCTATGATCAACTATTATTACATGGTAATATCACAATTTCTTAAAAGAAAGTTCTTAAATTGATAGTCTTTTCTTTTTACCTTTTATCCCAAGAATTCATTCCCAGTATACTGAGAAGTAATCTGCAGTAGTAAAATGCTGACTGGGGCTTTTGTGAGGTTGGCTCGTCCTGCTCCATAGCCCTCATATTTAAATCATTGAAATGCTTTTCAACAAACTCCCTCTCTTCCGTGTGCTGTTTCAGAATTGCATTGATGACATCGTTCTCCTGCTTCTCTGAGATGCAGACTGGTTGAGGAGCAGGAATGTTGAGTGAGACACCAGTTCTCTGTAAGCATTCAGGGCTTGTAACACCTAAATACTGCAGGAGCTCATCGAGGGCATCTTCTTCATCCCTAATGGTATCCCATGTTGGTACAGTGTCTCTAAATTTCCTCTTTACTTGGAGTGTAATTCCATCCCTTGCAGACACATCCTCCACGTGCTCAAAGGATGAAAAAACATCTTCTGGTTTATCTTGCTGAGATAATGAAAGTGCAAAAGAAGTCTGTTGTGAAGATCCACATAAAGATGATGGTCCATACAAAATGGCTGAATCCCACGAGTATTTGCCAGATAGATCACGCACTATAATTCTAACATTTGAATTAGCAGATGCAAGTCCAGCAGACAGTCCTCCCCCAGGCATGTCATCTTCTGCTTGGATTTGTATGCAAGACACTAGGGAAGTATTGTTTAACACAAAGAACTGAAGGTTTGGGTTCTCAAAAAGTTCAGGAGAAAGTTCAGGACTTTCACTGTATGGATTGTCGTTGTTTTCACACACTTGACTGGTCAGCATAGCAGGACCTCCACTCATAGGATAGTGGCCTAAGTGGTTGACGAGGTGCGTTATCACAGTACGAGCAGCAACAGAAATTAATCCTTGTTGCATGTGAGTTTTCACTGTGAGAGAAAGAACACAGATTTTAAAAGAAGAGATCAGAAAACAACACAGATTTATGTATTTATTTTGGTCTCCTCTTCTTCCTCTGATACAGCCAATTCAGTAATGGAAAAAACGTATTTTGATGAACACTGGTCTCATATGTAAATAGCATGAAAAATCATAAGATAGTTAAAGAAGCATCTTTGTTACTTTACAGCCTATCATACCTCCTGTACCATAGCTTTGTAATCAGCATGGTTCTTCTAAAGTATACAATTTCTTAACCTAGTGAAAATAAATCTTAAATTGCTGATGAAGTAGAGATCATAATTGTGTTGTAAGAAGTTCATTTCCAACTGCAGTGGGTTTTTATATTTATACACATCATTACATTCTGAAAAACAAAGGAACATAGATGCACAAAACCTCTAATCCATCTTAATTTCCCTGGGGAGCACATAGCTGTAGGTTAGGTTAAGAAGGATACTGGATGATTTTAAAGTACCAAATCGAAGACTGGGCTATCTACACTGAATGCAACTTAAAAGTAGCAAAATTTTCAAGAAGCAAATCTCATGCCCCAGCTGCATTTTAAGAAGTTTCAGGTTGGAAAAACTTGGAGGGAGAAATAGAAGTTAATCGTGCCTATCTTATGTGAAATTAATCTTGTGAGATGCACTGGTATTTCAATACGATTTTGCTAACTCCTTCTTTCTTGTACACCTTCCATTTGCATGCAATGTTGTCTAAATTCATAAAAGGAATTTTTTTAATGTCTATACCACAGCCTGCTAAGCCAGCACTTTATTGTTATTGGATTCTTCTAGCAAATCCACCCTACGTTACCCTGAAGTACAGAGCTGGTCAGAGTCTGTCAGGCAGACAACCCTCAGCTGCTCAGAATACCTGCTGAAGAACCCCCACACAAAATTATTACACTGTAGAAGACCACAGGTAGAAGAGAAAACAGGACCAATATGGCAAAGCACAGATTTCTACAGCCTCCCCCTTCTAACAGGACCTGGGTGTCCTGAATTTGGAATTTACAAGGTGAAGATAAATACCGTATTCCTCAAGATTACCACCATGTATTTTAAACTTCAGAAAACATTGAAAACTGTTGAAAACACTTCTCACGTTCTTTCTCACCAAAAACTGATCAAACTAGAATGTTCTGAACCATGCTACTTTTTCATTCAGTATTCACTGAGAAAATGTAAACTTTTGGATGCGTAAGTCTGGTATAATGAACTCATCTCCCTTTATATTGTGTATTTATACACAATAAAAACTAATGTTTAACAAATAAATTTCTTGTTGCAGTTTAACTGGTTTAACAGGAAAAAATTTGTAATGCAAACTGATTGCCATGACAAATCTCACAGCTTTTGAAGCACTAGGTGCATTCTCTGTCTGCAAAAGTAAATAATATATATTTGCCTCTTTTTTTCTCCCTCAAGGCTTGGGAAATGCATGTAAGAGACATCTGGGATTCTGGCTCTTCTCTACCTTTAGGGAGCACTAGATCTGAACTGCAAAAAGGGAAACATTTCATCCTGCTAGTAGTTGGCAAAATCAACTTAATTTCTACACTATTCCATATCTCAGATAAACTCAAATATTTGGATACATTAAGGCCTCAAAAACTAATATAAACAAATTAGATTATATTTTTATTATCTAGAACATTCTTGAGGTTTAAAAATTGACAAACAAAAACATGCAGTGAAGCTGAATTAAATGTCCAGATATTGATAGCATACAAGGAAATTAAGTTACAGTGCCATCTGCTGAAATATAAGTAGGAACTGTAAGCATGTTTACACAAGACAAAGAGAATAAGTTGGATGCTTGAAGAATAGTTTATCTGTGCAGTACTAACCAGCACCTGGACAATGCAGAGTCTGGCTCATCTTTGTCAGGACACATGCCAAGTGTTTAGCACTTGGCACTGCACAGATAACCAGGGCAATGCTCTTTTCAGGTTCCTAGGAGCACAGACATGAGCTTCCCAGCCACCTGAAGTCTCACACCGTGGAGGTTGAATGCCTTCAGATAACTTCTGCTGAAAAGCCTGAAGAAATAAGAGGGACCTGATAGTATATAAGATATTATTACTACTGCTTTGGGGCAAACCCTAAAGATCTCAGACCTGGTTGTATTGTGCCTGTGCACATGACTAGATGATCTCTATGGTCCCTTCCAACTCTAAAAATTCAGTGAAATTCAGTGAAGAGCCTAAGGGACATATGGAAAATAAAGGTGATACAATGATATAAAGAGTAGAATACGGAGTTTAAATTTGGAAGGTCTATTCCCAGTCTTAGCACAGCCTTCCTCTGAAAATACTACTCTTGAATTAAAATAATTAAAAAAAAAGAATTTGGATATAAATCTCTCATTGCATTTTTTAAAAAATGAGAAGAGTACTTCTCATTGAGTCTTCTCTCAGAGCACAAAGTTGTTGATCTAAACATGACACTGAAAACTTAAATCAGAAGTATTAAGAGAAGCATCCTGAAAAGTAAACTGTAAGATGTGACCTGTTATGTTGAAATAAAATAAAGCAGTCTCAAAACATTTTTGCTACACAGAAAATCAGATTTTGGTGATGGTTTCCCTTAGGAAAACAAAACAAAACAAAAACCAAACAACACAACCAACTCAAACCCTGTACTTCTTTTTGAAAATATGAAAGTTTTAAATTAAATCCACAACTTAATGGATACATGTTAGTAATTTGTTCCTAGAAGCACATCTCTACAATCAGGTACAACTGAACATTCAATATATTAGAATTCTAAAAAGGAGTATCTAAACCCTGCTTTTTGTTTCTGGAGGGCAGATGAAAATATTCAATAATACAAGCCATCACAGCTTTACTACAAATTCTACAAACTAGCCATACCATTACACGTTAAAGCAGTCTAGCTGCCTGCTTTGCCAGCCTGTCTTCCTGAGTGAACACATCTCTGCTCTCTTTATAACGGTACAGTCTTTTGCTTAGACACTGTAATTTGTATGAGTACATGATCACTTGGTAATTTGCTAGAAGCATGTTATATTGGCTGCTTTTCTCAGTTCCTGCCATAACCTCTTTTGTGGAAAGTCTGAAGGTGCATCATCACTATTCTATATCAGCGACATGAATGGTGGGTTCTTGAATTTCCTTAAGGTGTGTTGTTAACTCTTTAATTCAGCTTTGGCTGAACAGCTTTAAACAGCTACAGTTGTAGAAGGAAAAAGTAATGACTGAGGGTGGAATTTAACACTCCTCACCCTTTTAGCTATCTAAAGAATGATGCACCTGTACTGACTAATTCATCTCAGTTAGAAGCCCAAATTGGAGAAATGGGATGAATCACTCCCTGGAAACTCTTCTCTTTCTCCATTATGTTTAGAGGGAGCCTAAGAGAGTCCAGTTTAGCTTAGCTGTATTTTACATCAGCTTAAGGAAGTCTCACTCCTTCCTAATTTTAAGCTTCAGGTATACAGAGAGGAGGTTATAGAGAACCCATCTCTAGAATATCCCTCACAAAACACAAACTCTGCAAATTTCGATGCAACATGTATAAAGTGTGGGTTTTTTTAAAGTGCTCTTTTTGTTTCCTTTCAGTAAAAAGGCAGACAGCAAATATTTTAGGAAAAAATTGATCTATGCAAAAGAATTTAAAGTATGTTTGCAAAATTATGACAAATGGGAAACTCTATTAAATCAATAATTGATGGACCACTGTATGCAATGCAACTACTGCCTTGCTATCACAACTATCTCAAATGGATTTGAGATCTATGAAGTACAGTTTTCCCAATGGTTTTGCCTATCATCGCAAAAATATTCCCATAAACTATTATTTCCTTACAACTAGAGTCTGTTCAATAGTCTGATTTTGCTATCTATTAAAGTTAGAAGTTCATAGAGTCATAGAATAGTTTGGGTTGGAAAAGCCCCTTTAAAGGTCATCTAGTCCAACCCCCCTGCAATGAGCAGGGACAGGACGTACAGCGCTTTTTGTTTAATGCTACCTGTTTTCATGTAAACCAGCTTCCCTGCCAATACAAGGGTCACAAAAACCTCAACATTACTTTTTCCTAAATGCTTCCCTCATTTAATATAAATGAGATGCTTTTAATACAAATGAGAAAGCTTTGAAGGAGAGGTTCCATTTTAATCGTCCCTCATAAATACTCATGGTCCTGTAGCCACAGGTGGAAGATCAGAAGCAGGTAAGCAGATCACAGCACAGTACAGTCCAGGTTAGCTTTTGCACAGCTAAACTGTACAGGGAATGGCTACAGTGCTACACTGTCCTCAGAGAAAGCATACCTCTGTCAGTGTGACACTGGATCCAGGCTAGTTAGGTGTGGTTAATTAGCACTTGTATGCCTGTATTGTAGTTAGAGGAAGTTGCTGTCGATACTACGTAGCGGATCAGTTCATCAACCTTCAGGTAGACAAGCCCTGCGATTCCTTAGATATATGAAAGAGACAGCAATTCTGTGGTGCTAAGTTCTGATGATGCAAGAAAAGCTTCCTACTGACATCCTTATTGTCAGTTCCTAAAAGTTCATTCTGTTTTAAATATAACACTTCAATACACTTAACAATTTCAAAATTATTCTTTGTGTATCTTATATTGCAGTCTAACGCTTTATCCGAAACCTACAGAAAGAAGGACAAAGACAACTTCACAGATATTCCTAGGTATAACATATCCCTTGTGAGAGACAGCACTTGGAAAGCTATGGAAACAGGGAGGGGAACAGTCCTCTCCCCGCTGTCATCTGTTTCCAGAGGATTTACCACATCTTTTCCCTGATGATTATATTGCATGGCTTGCTCCAGCCTCTCAACAGCTCCTGTCCATAAAATTTGTGATGGCTCTGACCTTGAACAATGGGAGGCATACAAGGGTATGTCAATCACATCTACCAAATTGATCAAAGGCACTCTGTCTCAAGAATTCTGGTGTTTCAGTACGTTTAGCTTTGCTTGTGACCTAAGGGAACAATTCCCGCACCCGTCTTTGTAGAACTTCCTTGATTTCCGTAAAACTGCCATCCTGCCTATTTCCATTCCTTCAAAAAAGTTATCAAGGTATCACAAAGGTTATAACTTTTACTCAACTAAGAAAAGAGGCTGACCTGTGGGCACACTGTTCTGCTGCTGGCTTGCACTAATTGACCCCCTGTCTTGGTTGAGTCCCAGACTGGTTGTTAGCCACTAACTTCACTCCTCTCGCCCCTCCAGTAATGCCAGGGAGAACAGATGCTGTGTGATCAGTTCAGCACTGCCAATTGATTCTCTGCCTGGCCATGTGGACTAGAAGTGCCAAGGTTGCAAGACCAGGGTTGCATTATAATGCTGTAGTTTGCCAATTAAATTTCATGATCTGCCTTACAACTCCAGAACCCCAAAACTTTAAAAACATATGGGGCTTCCTTAGTTTATCTGGAGAGATAAAAGGAACATCTGAAACTACTTTTATTTAGAAGTTTAACAAGAAATCATAAAAGAACAGATCACATACAGAAATGCAAAATGAAGATATCAATGCTAAGGCTTTGTGCAACTGCAGTCATTTAAAGAGAAATCTATTCAGGGTTGTCTTTTCAGATTGTCAGATTAAACAAGCCACACAGCATTTGCTGCTAACCCATAATTACAGATTATTACAGAATACAAAAGATGCCAGGCATAAAAAGCTACTACAATTCACTACACTGTAATAGAACATGCAGTGGAAGTTAATTTTGGCAAATGCTTTAAATATTAGCTTTACATAATATGTATAGGTGAGACTGTAATTAGGAGAGAATGAATCCTTCGAAGCCTCTTTCATTCTGACCCAGCAGATGATTACTTTTTACTAATAAGACCACAGCCATTTGACAAAAAGCCAACTATAGTACCTTGCTTCATTCTTCAGTAAATTTAATAATTACAGCTCCTCCTGCCAATAGTTCTCAAATCAGACTTGTTCAATCCAATACTGAGCTTATTAGGGGACAGCTCTATGTTTAGAATTCTTTGGCCAAAAAAGTACTTGAGGATGATGAAGCATGCCTTAGACAAGGGCACAATGATTAGCCATTTTCTCTACATAAAAAACAGCACGTAGTCACTACAGACCACAAAATCACCTGCTGTTAGCACACAGCTGCTACAAAGAGCTTCTGCATTTATCTGGTTCTTAATACCTTTAAGGAAACCTAAATGGAACAACTTAATATGGAGGGAGAATAGCACTACACAGAGTTTCTGGTATCAGTATTAATCTCATCTTTTTCAATTTTCTTCCCAATGTAGCCATTTGATATTTGCTAGATACATTGCATAATATATGCTGCTACTCTGTAGCTTAGTTTCTTGATTCCTTACTTTTATTTTTGAGTTCTGAAGAAAATGCTAATTCCTGGGTCTCTTAAGGTTCTAAGCAGATAAGAGAAAATTCCTCTCTTTTTTTAGATAACTCTGTGGTTTTAAACAGTGTAAACAGATCGACAACAAATTATGATAGGTTGAAAAAAATTCACAACAACCTTTCAATAGTGCAAGCTCAGATAAGAAAAAAATCCAAAATATTCTTAGAAACAGGAGCAAAATTAAGAAAAAAATAAATTCATTTACTAAAAGTATAATGAAAAGCAATGTGTATCCATGTTGCAGTACTTAACACTTTTTGCTGATACACAGAGCACAGAAGAATCCATACCAAATCGATCTTCGTGTTGTTCAGAAGATACTTATTTCAGTTAATCGAACAGTAATTGCTCAAAATTATGTTAGCTCATTCCATACTAATGGTTCTTACCTAGTGTCTAGGTATAATTTAAAACTTATGCTTTAGACAAACACTTCAATACTGGAAACCAAGATAAAATCTTTTTGAAAGAAAATGTATTTAGGCAATTTGACAAACCTTCAGTGACTGGCTGAAGTTTAGAAGAGCGCTCCGAGTCTGGAGAATGCAGTGGTTCTGGTTCCTTCAAGCTTTCTAAATGCATAAAAGGATCGTAATCCACACATGCCAAATCAGAAAGGCTTAGAGGAAAATATTTAGGGTTGCTAAAACACTGAGATCCATAGACACATCCATGCAGAACCTAGAAAAAAAAACCCAGAATCTCATACATTAACTACTGAAATTCTACTTGATAGTTTTATAAGAAATTAAGTTTATTTTTATTTCAATTTTTAATTGATTTGTTAGAACCAGGTAAGCAGGACAAAGCATTGGAAAATTTTAGATGCTTAATCTTTACAGAAACAAACCCTGGTCTGCAAAGAAAATTGTTAAAACAACATCCACACTGAAGTGGAATTTAACAATAAAGAATCAAGAAACAAAATCTACAACAAATCACTAAGCTACCTTTATTTTTAGATCTCCTATCTTCTTTAATTACATATACTAGGTCTAAGCTGCTGGAGGTTTTAATCCCCTTCCCTTGCAAGAAAAAAAAAAAAAACTCTCTTTGTTCTGTATCCCTACAGACAGCAATTATAACTTAGCACTTTTTACTTTGCTCATTGCTAAATAAAATTGCTTGGTATAAAAAAAAGCTATTTCCTCGTCTGTCTTAAATGTATAGCTGGTCTTTTACAACACAAATGCCTGCTACCCGTATGACATACAAGAAGTAACTTGGTTAAACAGCACAAAATATAACACAAAATTAACAATTCCAGATATACCAAAGATCAAGCAGTTATAGTAAAACATACACGAAGGAAGCAGCGCTCCGCATTTCAGCAGTAGAACAGAGGTCAGCTCACAAAACAGTTGTCTTCATTTCTACGAAAACTGACCCTACCCCCACACATAGACATTCACATTTAGTGAGTAAAGAAACATGTACCTTATATATACAATTAAGAACAGATCTTTCAGTCTTATCATTTTCTGCTCCTGTAGTGTGAAGAGGCTGCAGCAAGGTCTTTAATGGTAAGGCCATTATCCAATCCAATAAGCACAGAAGTAAAGAAACCACCAACTGGAAGAAACACTTTCAATTACAAATCAATTAAAGCAGCACCTGCTACTTCCCATTTATCACTGTATTTTACTTCTCTATTTTACTTTTTCTCAATTCAGTGGAGTCAACCTTCTGCAGTAACAGCAGGTCACATTTGTTTAAAACCCACTATATCTTCAAATCCTACAGCATTGGTAAAAACTTTGGCTACTGAGATAGTTAACACAGACCATCCGTACAACAGTTTGTCATCATGGTAAGTCTGTGAGCAGATACTGTGCTTAACAGGATACCCATGATTTTTCAAAATTGATTTCTAGGGTGCTGTTTTTAAAATGACAGATTACACAGGTACAAATTGATGCTGATGCACCATTCTGCACATAAATTTCACTGTAAAGTGAATCAAGGACTACACAAAACCGAAGTGCTTCAGCTGCATTTAGTGCTTTCTAAATAACACAGAATTTCCTTCACAAAATGTCAATAATGCTACACAGCATCAGGTACCACCTGAAAGAAATCCAACTGCTTTCTCTATTGTAGCTACTCAGTCAGCAAAAGAACCAACTCCCTCTAGGGGATGTTTTTAAAGACTGTAGAACAGAATTAGATTTAGACACGTACACACCAAATTATTAATAACTTACTGGCTTCAAATAATTATTTTTAATTTTTAAAACTTAGCTGTGGAAGAAGAAACAATTCAGATAAATAGCTGCAAGATTCTCTAAAATATTTTCCAAGTCAAATAAAAGTCTTTCAAAGAAAATCCACTTAACTAATTTACTAATAAATGACATATAAACATCACACTCATTTTACAGAATAGATTACAAGTTGGCCTCTCAGAGGCACCATATAATACACCTAATGATGAAGGGCTCTGAGTATTTTTATATTAAACCAATTTTTAAGAAACCCATTAGGGCTAAGTTTGTCAAACTAGGTAAACCGATTTCCTATATGGTATTTGATGTACAATGATCAGCATTAGCTCGTGGGGAAACTTTTTTTGGTTGTGGGAAGCATCCTCAAGTGGAAAGGTGGCTGCTTGGCAAAACCACTGTAGTCTACAACAGCTCCTGACTTCTCTCAAGCAGAGAGGAGAGGTGAAACGGAGCTCTGGAGACCAAAATGGGAAACAGATGAAGGCCAGCTCCTGTGGGAATGGGTGGCCCAGAGCGACAAAGCTGCCAGCAACACACTGCACCAAAATGCCCAAGGTTAAATGACCACTGTGTCCCACAGTCCAAGAGCAAAGCCAAATAATTCAGAAGAGTTACAGCTTTCAGGAGGCAGAAGGTACTACTGTAGCAGGTGTAGACAGAGCCCGTTTTAGGCTAAGGGACTTGGGCCCACTGAAAATACAAAAAGACAGCAATTGCTTTGAAGGATGACAACAATCAAATTCATCTGGAGATTACTGGCTATCTTGTTCAAGGATGTATTTAGAATACAAAGTGCAAAAAATCATAATCTTATAAATATTTTGAAAGGTTTTCTCTACAAGTTGAGAATTTGTCTTGTCTTTCACTGTAAGACAAGTTTGAAAAGTCTACATTACTTTCTTCGCTTGTAAATTCACTGATGAAAAGGAAACAGAACAACTTTCTCGTTACTGAAATCAATCAATCTCAATTAATATTTTCCTACAAAAACTTCAGAAATGCACTTGCATAAGAAATATTGTTGGAATTCTGAGAAGGCTACACCGTATTATACTTCAAGTGCTGAACCCCTACTTTAAGGCACAGCTTAAATGTTTCAACAATGCTGTGTCACACACCTTTGCAATTAAATTGACAGATTAAACAGAAATGAAAAATATTTACCCTCTTGTCCTGTTCATAAGAGGAAGCTTCCGTACTGGGTAGCAGATGGGTAATAGTTGCTATCAGAATCTGAGGAAAATATAGTATAGCTTTTTTAAAAACAAATTTTAAATATTTAAGTTTAAAATAAATTTTTAAGCAGGCAAATGTGGCACAATACTAGATTCATGGTTAAATTCTATTAAAATTATTTTGAGACAAATTACAGCACTCCTTGCCGCTCTTTGTTTTAAATAAAACCCTTTTAATTGAATTTTGCAGAAGACATTGAAGGAGTATGTTCTGCTTGACTGACACAGGTGCACCAGGGCCAGTGAAATTACACAGCCACTCCAAACATGCAGGCAGAAAGAGAATTTGATTCAAAACACTTGTAGGGCGCAGAAAGGAACCTGATGCGGGTTTGTGTACGGTGCTGCTTGAGCTCCATTATTTCTTAGAACTACTAGAATTTGTAAACACCCTGCCCCTACTTAATCAACAATATGACTGCTGAGGAGCAGAGAAATGCCTGTTATACCTCTTAAGAAGCTTCCACACAATTCTCTTTCCGGTTACCTGGGAGACCTCTTATCTTTTCTCTGTGGTTCAGAGCCACAGAGGCCATAGTCTAATTCCTTGTTATTCAACGTGTATTCAAAATAATTATTTTTGCTTTATATTGAAACACTTTAATGCAAAGTGTTTTGCATACAGATATGCAAAATTCAATTGCATATCCATATTTAAGTAATCACTTTCTCACTAAAATATATTTGAAGATATTTAATATTTTTAAAAAGCTGGACTTTACTGGCAACATTCTCATGTAGTGACATAGTTGTATCTGAGAAAAAATAAGCATAATATAGCCATTTTACATGTTAATATTGGAGTCAGCAATTAAGTGTGATGTGAACCCCTACTGTTAATGTTCAGTAAAATCATGCTTATACTAATTCAACATTTTGTGAAGAATACTTGTCAATATTCTGTTATTTTAATGTCAGGGAAATATATTTTACTGTTGCACTTAAAAGAATTAAAAATTTTAAATTTTTTAAAATTACTTACTTGAATAATTCTTAAAGGTGAATCAGCTTGATACATTTGAAGTCTCTGTACATAATGTATCAGCATGTTCAGCATACTGCAGGCAACTTGGGCTACTGTTTTATTTGGAAACTAGAAAAGAGAACACAGCACAGCAACGATGACTGCATGATTCCACATAAAAGTACATTAGGTGGGTAGGGTGATCAGGAACATCAATGATGGTTTTATATATGTAGTTCCTTATGTACCTAAATTTTACAAAATTTAAAAGTAATTATTTCATAGTCATAACCGAATGTTAGCAGCTAACATCCAAGGTTTGAGAGAGACAATTAGGGAGTCTCATGCAGTGATGGGAAGGGGAATAGGAGACCCCTACCTAACTTCAGACTGGTTAGTACAGTATCATGAAGCCAGGAAGAACAAAATTATTTCTTGTTGTCTTAATGATTACTATTAAAGCATCACTACAAGAAATCAAGGATCCAATTCTGAAATCAGAACTCTTTGTTGAGAATCAAGGCAGGTGAACAGCCACGTATCCAAAATGTAAGATATAGTGTGTATAGTGAGAATAACGGTTCTGTTTGTTGGTGACTGCTGTGTACAGCACTTGGCTGAATGGAAGTCAATGCACCTCAGCTTCTGTCCTTAATTCCTCTTTTCTCTGTTATCTTTTAAAGGCAGGAGAAGGTTGCTGCGCTGGAACCTGCCTTCAACAGTTACTAAAATGCTTAAGTTACTGTGTTGGTCAAGGCACAAGTGAATGCATTTGTACAACACATCCCCAGCCCTGGGGGAGGATGCACACGCTGCCCCACGCTCCAAAGTGACAAAACAAAGAAAGGAAGAGACAGGGATGTTACCCTAAATTGTGAATGCACAGGACACGTAATTGACGCTTCTTCCTTGATTGCACTTGCCTTAAAACACTAAGCTGTGCACCAAACAACAAGCAAGGAGTAAATTTTACAACTGAATTTAGTTCACCTAGGACATGGAAATCCTACAAATCTGAGCAAAATGGTTATTAGCACAGCACATCTACAGACTTCAGAAGACAGCACAAATTATACAGAAGAAAAAATTATGTGGAATAGCCCCAAGGGAAGGATTTCAAATACACTTATTCAAGAAAATACTCTACCATTACTGAAAACAAATATTCCAAACTGTATTAATAATTAATCTCAACTCAGAAAACAATTAGGTAATTCATGCTGTAATTATGAAAATCTCTAATGCAGATGAATGAACATCAGAATTCTTCCATTATTAAAACAATCAAAAAGTAGTTTACATGTTTTAATCTCACTTTAAGAAAGCTGAAATGCCTGGGCAATGAAGCAAGAGCAGAAAATTATGAATTTCGAATAAAATTTCTGAATGGCAAAAATCAAAAGGTAGAAAACATACTGCAGGAAAATTCTGTCCTGGGCCAGCTTCCTATCAAAGCAGAGCTATCATATTTTACATTTAAGGTCTTGAAAAGTAAAAGTAGAAGCGCAAGTAAAAGTACGGAGTACGAAGCTTTAATTAACATTTTTTATTTGTGGTATCTATGTAAGCATAAAGACAGACCATGAATGGCTCTTGTAAGTCTTCTGTCAGAGATGGAAACCAGAGTACACGGGGTAGTTAATTCTTATTCTGATTTTCTCTGTTTCTCAGTGGATGCTGTTTCACACTATTGTTGGCTTTTAACTAAACACGGCAGACATCTTACATCTGCAAGTCTTCCCAGAGCTTATGACAAGAACATCATTATTCTTTATCCCTCCTGAGACAGCCTCTCTCCATGCTGTGAGAGCATGCTGCAAGAGCGCAGTAAGCAGGGTACAGATTCTAATGTTCAAGCTCAAGTGACAACCAAAAAAAAATAATTAAATAAAACTGAAAGCATAACAATTTGATTACAGAACTTGAGATCAAATCCAGATTGCTGGAAACATCCTTACAAGCTTGCAGGAAAACACCAAAGTCACTGGAGAGGACAAAAGGGGTTGACAAACCAGAGCAGCTTAATATGGAGTATCCAGATCACTGAATTTAAGAAAAAATTAACTAAGAGAAAGGCATGGAGACTTTTCAGTCTTTGAATAATCAGCTGTTCACTACATAAGAACAGGGAACATTTTCTTCTTTTTATTTTTATTTTTTTTTAAAAAGGGAGGATCATCTGGGTCTAAAATGAAGATGAGTGAATGATTTCTAGGGCTGCTTTATGCAAATTAGTCAACCTCTTTCTGTTCTCCAGCTGAAGAGAATTTTTAATTATTTTTCTTTAATTTAAGAAAGGGACCAAAAGTCAGTGGGGACATAAATTCCACAGAAAGGGCTGCAGGGTATAAAGTAATGAATAGAATTCGAGCCTTGTGCACTCAAATTTTCTTGCTCATGAGAAGTGGGCCAAGGAGGAAGTTTTGATCAAGAATATGGGGATTGGCCAAAATAGATCAAACACTTCATCTGCTTCAGAAACCTGTCTCAGCGTGCTCAATACGTCATATTTCAGAAGAATGTACAGACACTTATAGAGCTGTTCATCCTGGAAGCATATTTTCCTGAACTCCAGCAGCAACACTGAGTTTATGCTGGACAGCAAAACAATCCACCCCTCTCAAGCAAGCTGCTTTGTTCTGACTTCTTTTCCAATAGCCTTCAGATGTGGCATGAAGGCAGCTGTGCGATGTTACAAACATTTCACCCCCTGTTCCCTATCTCTGGAAAACACTGTATGTTATAAAGTGTAAGAATTCACTACTTTGGTATTTTGTATTTAATAGTGTAACTGTGGGCATACTTTTTTAAAGTTACTTGATGGAAAAAACAAAACCAGCACTCTGCCTGGTACCTCACTGTCGGGGGTTCTCTCAGAAGGGTAGTACATACTTTTCATCTTTGCACAGGTCGATTGCTTTCTGGTTGTTACGTTAGGAGTTTAACCTTCTCCATCCTTGCAAATAACCTACGTTTAGCACCCATTCAACTAAGCCAGTACACCCCAATTCTGTGATTTATCTGCAGGATTTCTGAGAGGAGCATAATATAATCCTGAGAAGCAGGGGTCTGGATGGCTGGTTAGGATCCTCCGGGCTCAGGCTTCAGCAGAAGTTAAGAGGGATACAGCAGGATCGCCCCACAGCCAGGAGAAGTGTTAGCTGTATTCAGAGAGAGGGCTGCAGTTCTGAATATGCTGCTGTGTTTCAGGAATAGTCACACAGTCAATGCTAACATCTCTGTGCAGTGTTACTTGGTCAATTGTACTTATCAGTAAGTGGGACTAGGACTACAGCTCCCTATCCATTCAGTTCTTCTGGGAATAAGAAAATAATCCATTCTGGAAGTTCAAATCTCTGACTACTTGGAAGCCAGGAGATTGCTTGGGTAACAGATTAGAGCTAATTTGTTTCTCCCATGGTATATTTAGGAACTTATCATTTCCTGATTAAACTCCACTGTGAATGCATGCCACCGCTCAGAACAGGAGAAAAGCCAACGTGCTCTGGATGCTTTTGCCAACTCAAAGCAAAGCAGGGAGAAATACAAAGATCTTTGTCTTCCCATTCAAGAAGTAATTTATGTGCAATATAAATGAGATCCAAATAATTGGTTTAATAAATACGTCAAAGAAAAATAAGAGAAACTACACTGAATGTCAAGATTAAGCATAGTTCAAACTTTGATAAATTGCAGTAGATAAAACCAGTATCATTTGCCTAATACCAAACTTGCACAGGAACTTGATAAAACACACTAGTTAAGGGATATTAAAAACCAAGGGAAAAACCCTGGAACAGAGCATTAGTGAAGCTGCAAAGGATGAATGTGATTTTGCAAAACAGGAAATTGCAATTTAGAGTCTAATACTAAAAGCCCTGCAGCTACCCATTTTAGATGTAGACTCAAATCTTGCTTCACAGGATGTGATCAGCTGATTTGCTAAGATACTTTTCAGATTCTCACTGCTGAAAAGAAAGGAATAGTCCACCACATCTGCCACGAGTCATGTATAACCGGTACACACCCTGATTTTTAACAATGTTTATATACAGAAAGACTAGACTATTCACTGAATTTTGAAGTAAAGAAAAAGCATGTAGGAAGATTCTGTAAATAAACTGGGAAATATTTAAAAAGTTGAAGATATTATTCATGAACATCCAATTTTTCAAAACACTAGACAATAAAATGTTTTTAATAAAATTCTAATCGTTCCATAAGATATGAACAATATGAAAAATATTTACAATAAGCAAGAAAACAAAAACACTCACCAAGGAAAAAAAAAAGCCCCAAAAGTGCAGCTTTTTAACAGGTCAAAGGAATATACTATTGATACACTACCACCAATACAAAATTTTATGACCAGAGATGAAATCCAGTAAGACCAGTTTCAGAATAGTGACAACTATCAAAAGGAAAGGCAGACAAATGTCAGAAAATCTTTTCTACTTGAAAGCATTTTACAGGCGTTGCACCAGAATGAACTACCTGTTTCTGAGCAAGCTGCATTTCCAGGTGAGGACCACTGTGCACACCAGCTATGTTTGACAGATACAATCAAAACAGCAAATACAAAAAAAAAGTAAATCATCCCAGATTTCAAGAATGTAACATGAACGTGTTTATACAGAAATGAATAGTGACAACCAGAGACTGAAAGTTTTATCTTACAAATTAGTTTCAGACCCCTTGTACTGGGTGTAAGTGGTAAGGTTTTGGTAGCAGGGGGCTGCAGGGGTGGCCTCTGTGGGACGGGGCCAGGGACCTGCTGCTGTTCTTCCTACAGTCTCACTTTTCCTGCTGGGGGTGGGCAAGTGGGTGAGTGGCTGGGTGGCAGTTTGGCCCTTACCCAAGGTTAATCCACCACAGGGTCCTAGATCTACTTACAAACAGATGCAGATAACCCTGTTGGAAGCTTGGGTCCAGGATGTGGCTATAGGGTTATAGCTGGGCAAAAGTCAGACAAAACCAGTAGTGGTTTTGCTGAAACCTGAATTGCAAGGATTAATTATGAAAGCTGGGATGATGAATAACTCCTGTGCTCCAAAGGGCAGAGGTTAGAGTGAAGTGGCTAACAATATATATTAAGATGGCAATCCGCTATCTTATTTCCCAGCATGCCATTTCCTCCAAACTTAAATAAAGGTAAAGGTCTCTTTTTGACAGAGTTTAGAGATTCATCAGTTAAACTGAGTTCAGTCTTTTGTAAGGTTTGTAAATGAGCCTGTAAAGTAAGGATGCTAAAATGTGATCATGACTTTGACAAGGCAAAGTATCTTTACATGTAAAGGCAATATACATAGTAGAAGTCTTAGTTTCTCACCTTTAGGGAAACACAAATCACATTCAATGCTTCCTTGATCTGAGGATGATGTGATTCATGAACTAACTCCTCACAGATCCAAATACCAAGACTGCAAAGAGCAACACATCTGGAAAACAATGTTGGAGGACAAGTTGTTGAGAAACAACCTACAAAAATGTGCAATTTTTATGATTCATCATATATTTTGCTAAAATCTAACAAATGTTTTTACTATTTCAAGAAAAACTACAAAAAGCCCTCTATAATGCTGTAACTTCTGTAAAAATGAGAAAAAAATCCCAAGTACCCTGGTGAATGCACAGGAAAGGACAGAGGAAACACCCTTCTGAGAAACTGTAAAATCCAAAAGACATCAAGAATACTTTCATTTCTATGTGCTTTCTGGATTAAAAATACTACCTGAAATCAACGTGAGCACTTCATATATATTTCTTAAGACAAAATAAATATTGTGGTGGGAGGTTCTTCCTCCCCAACATTAGAGTGTGGTCATATTTGTTTAGAGCTTCTGGGACACAGATACAAGAGAGGGAAATGTTATTCACTCATAGGTATTTACATTTTTTTAGATTGACAATAAACAAAGATGAATAGAGGAATGGGTAAATGAAAGTAAGAGACAGAATACATATTGTGATTAAATACTTCAACTTTTGTTGTTTCTTCATTCAAAATCAGGATGTGTAAAGGCAAGGAGTATTTAGATAGGTGCATTCAAATCAGCAGAGATTCAGAAACTTTAAGCTTAAGCAATCTCTGAATCATTAGCAATTATCTTTCAAGAACACAGGCAGCAAATATTTTGGAAACAACTTCAGAATTCAAAATCCTCTGGATAAAATTGGAGAGCAGTCAAAAATCAACAAGATGAAAGTTGGTCATGGGAACTGCAAAGCATTACATCTGGGAAGGAAAAATCATATGCTAGAATAGAAACAGAAACAGAAGTGGCTATGAAGCCTGTGCTGTAGAAGAAGGATTTTAAGGATACACAGAACCATGAAACTGCTAACAGGTAGCAAAAATACATCTTGGAAATATTTCTATGTGACAGTGTAAAGATGTCAAACCACCCTGTTTTGTACACTGTCATTGAAATCTCAATTCCAAGACTGCCTCCATTATGTTTTGATTAATATAATTTAAGAATAAAGACAAGCTTGAGGGAGTCTAGGAAAAAAATGACAAAAATAATAAACAGCTTTGGAGAATATTACATATGGAGGAAAAGTTGAAGGGTGCACTGAGTCTAAATCACAATTAAGGAAGGAAATGATAAGAAATCTTTTGACACGTAGTAAGTCACTGAAGAGTTACATTTCCAGTAGAAAAGATTTCTTTTATATACTGATCATTAAAACAACCTGACTGTAAAAATTAGATAACTATTGTAACAGTCTATGATTTTTGTAACTGTCTTTGAGAAAATTTTCAGGACCATTTAGGGAAGGTATTGCCAGGACACACTCCAGCCTCGGAAGAGAGAGAGCTTACAGATGTACTCCTGGTTCCTTCTCAATCTACACTTTTGCTATTTCCACAGTTTGTGTTTTGATCCTTTTTGAAGAAAACAGAAACACAGAATAGATTTAACAATAAATGTAGGCAGTTTGTGTAAGCTGACTCAGAAAATAAACCTTTAGTACTTAGAATGGTAGACAGCTCTAAGTCCATGTTACTATTTAAGGTTTTCTTCACGCTACTGAGATCCATTGCACATCTGATGACATACTGATGTGCAAGATACCCATCAGTCCGTGAGGTTTCTACCAAGAGCATCACTTTCACTATTATTACTCAGAGTAGTCTCTGAAAAACTGTAGTTACATGGCTACAATGTTGTTACTAAAGAATCACAGCAAAAGAGATGAACACGGAGTTCATCAACCTGTCACTTCTTTTTCGGACTGTCAGCAGCAGAAGAGGAATTTGATTAATACAGTTATTAATCTTTATAGATGGAGATCTGAGAATAGAATGTATTTCAGATAACTGACTTCCCTGAAGCTCTGTTGGGTCAAGCATGTAATGAAACACAAAACATCGACCCTCTGTGGAAGAGATAAGCAACAGAGATTTATAGCTTGGGTAACAACAGCAGGACTCAGACTTGCTGGAGATATATAAAGCTATGTACCTAAGTTCCAAGAAATCTAAGTTCTCTCCTAGGAAACTGCAATGAAAATTAAGCCTCTATGAGTGGCCAAGCTGACATGGCAAAATCATAATGCAAATTCCCAAATATGATCTCTGACAATAACCCAGGAGAGCTCTTTATTGCTATGAAGCAGATGGCATCAGAGAGGTTATTCCAAAAGAGAGACTGGATAAACTGCCACTGAGGAACGAGGCAGTCAAGCTTCAGGAGCTGTGGAAACATCATTATTCCCACAATGACAACATACCCACCTCTCTTCCAGAAGGAGGAGAGGGGCACAGGCAACCCAAAGAGACATTGGGAAGCTATTCCTTTTTACTCTTCATTTAATGTTATTTCACACAAACACATTATTCGCATTTTGGGAGCAGCATAACTCAGCTCTGAAAGGCTGGGCATGCACATGTGCCTTTGCTCCTACACACACACCCTCACACACAGCCGGACAGGATTTGGGGTTATGCAGGATGTTCCCTTCTGCTTCCCAGTCACACTGCCAGAATTGAAGATATTACTATTGCGTGCTTCAGTAGCACAGGATCAGTAAGAATGTTCTGAACCAAATGGATTTAAATCACCTTTTTCACAAGCGAGGTGGAGATTGTTATGCTTTTTGGAACTCAGTTTTGTAAAAGAACATGAAAATTGAGATGAATATCATTGCAGAACGTTCCTTCCTTCCCCTGTGCTGAAGAAGAGGTAAGTGGGCTGATGAAAACTGCTCTTTGTTTTCCAGCAAAACATTTTAAAGGTTCAATGAGCTGACATTTTTCAGGCATTTGGTTTTAGTATCTTGCATTTAAGTAATAATTTATTAGTTGAGCATATATAGACACTCTGCCCAAAGAGACAAGGCACACAAGTGTGTTTTTCCTTAGTAGGCAGATTCCTTTCTATTTCCATACACAGGACTCACAGAACAGATCTGAAAGCTTCTGGGGATGGGTAAGGAGGAACAAAATCCTAAGTAAATCAAGAAACAGAGAAGAAAACTGGTAACTATCTTCTTTCAAGTTCTCTATTCAATGAAGATGCTTAGATTTAAGCGTCAGAACAGTAATTTCCAGTTTAATTCTTAGCTCAGTATCTTCTCCTCCTTTTCTGTACCATAAAGAAAGGCTCATGTACCTTGGATTATTTCTATTTTTCAAATTAAATCATGTGGTTTAATAAAAAATAACCGTATGACCCTCATAAGTAACCTTTTTCTTAATCAACCTCAAAAAAGTCTCTCTAGTACAGAAAATCCATGAGTTGAACACCAGTGTAGGCTAGGAGACCACAGAGCTTATATTTTTACCCATACACTTTTCTATCAGCCACTATCAGAGAAAGGACACTGGGCTATACCAGCATTTGATCTGACAAAAAATGTCTGTTCTGTTATTATCTCTGTTTACAATCAATTCCATGTTCACATGACAGACCACAGCTTTAATAGTGGTAAAGAAAACCACAAACAAAATACATATAAACTTTTACTTTAAGCTCTTCAATACATCCAATTCACAACAGTATAATAAAGAAAATAATCTGTTAATTTAGAAGCTCTTTTTGCATGACCTACCGTGCAGGACCAGATGGCTCCTCTCTTGCTGAACTTAACACAGTTTTAATTATGAGTTCCTAAAACAAAGAAAGAAATATTCACTGATTTACCATAACTCCATGATATGAAGCATCAGAAAATTAGAAATTTACTACAGCACACACAGGCATGTTGCTTAGCTGAGTCTCTAGGTTTGTGGTCAGATGGATTGTTTCCTTACCACTACTCCAAGCTTATAGTCTGCCCCAGATCCTCACCACTGTGCTACCCCAAGAATATCCCACAGGTTACTGTGGTGATTAACCATTTATCCAATTCCTGCCAATACATTTCCATAAAATATCAAATGTTTTTAAAAAAGCCTCCTTAAAGCTAGCTTCTGTGAATAGCCCTGAAGGGTATTACTTTAAGGTTTAAACAAAATTATACTAATTTAAGAAGTGTTTGGAAGTAGTTGCAGAACAAGTGACTACAGTGCCTTAAGAATGATGTCAAAAAGAATTCTGACTCATCTGCAGTTAAATATCTGTAAAGCTGTAGGTTGCTCTCAATAAAGCTCAAGTAAACAGACATTATGCAATAAAAGTGAGAAAGAAATTGAAAATCAGTCCCCAAAAGGGAGCAAGGTGTAAAGCAGCTTCCAAGCCATCATCTGTCTCTAAACTGAAACAGTTTAGAAACTTATTTGGAGCCTTTCTTAGACATAGTAATCATACCTGACACACATACAAGAACCAAACCCATGAAGCGAGCTCTGCCGGTTGCAGTACACCAGCACACTACTCAGCTCTGTATTATGATAGAGAGGGTAAGGTCTCCACTAATCTTTGCTTTTTGTCTAAAAGAACACACTGATGTACAGAGGTTTTCTAAAGCTCCTAGGAAAATGGGGAGATTTCACTGGCTGTAAATTCTAAATAAATTAAATAATGTATCTAGAACCTCTCTCTCTTCTCCTCCTCAGATGATTAAGTCTGTGAGACTGCAAATAGCCATAATGAAAGTAGGCTTGAAAAGGTGAGATAACACATCATTTTCTTTTACAAACATATGAAAACGCTTTATTATTAAGTTACCAGCAATTATAAAATATGTTAAGTAGTATAAAGTTTGACAAGATTTATACTCTATTTGAAATGATATCTGAAAAATTTAAGACTCTTAAAATTTTAGTTAATATTTCCTGGAACAACATCATATTAAACATATAGCTGGTAGCTGAACACCATCCAAATATTAATAAAATTCCTACTTTAACATCCGTAAACTGAGACACAGCAATGTCAGGAATGTTTGGGTGAAGAGCTGGTAGTTCATGATATAAGTTGGGAAAACAGACTAGAGATCCTAAAAGAACTTGTGCTTCAACTCTTGGTGCCTAAAAAAAAAAAAAAAAAAAAGGTGGGAAGAAATTTATACTCTTACAGCAATCAGGAAGCTGACATTTCCATTTGCCTTAAAAGAGCAGAACAATGGCTGAAAATCCACACAACTATTTTCTTTCTCCTGCAAAATCTGTAGACCTGAGCAAACCGAGACCACAGCCCCATGGATTGCTATTCATGCACAGCCCACGTTCCCATTTTCCAAGAAGGAAGCAGAGGAATTGTTAGGAGTACAGACAAATGACTGTGCTGCTAACTGGGCTCAGGTCTTAGGTTCAGCTAATTGAACAGGACACAGAAAGCTACTGGACATGATGTGAGACATCGCTGGATGCAACAGGTAACAGCATAAGAAGCTGACAGAAGTTTCAGATAGTACCTCGAGGGAGGTGGGCTTGCCAGCTGGTTAAAGGGGGAATGATATGAAAAACAGTCAAAAGTCTCAGACAATTGGAGGGGAATAGTGAGGAGCTGTGACAGAGCACTTTTTTTAAAGTGCAGATAAATGGCAGTCACAATTCCAAGAACTCCAAAGTAAAAGAAAACTCTGTTTCCACAGTAATTTCTTCACATATTTTTTTGGAGAGGACTTGCATGTGTAGTGTTCTAGAATAAGCCACTGACACTATCTGTATTTGCTGACCATTAAACTGACTTCTAAGGACAAGTTAACGCCTTAGTCAAGGAAGAATACTGTTCAGTTTTCTCTCAAACCCTTTCCACTCACAAATAAATGAGAATGAACTGATGAATACTTACATTGAGGAAGGAAGAAGCAGCTACCCGTCCTGCTGCTACAATGAAATCCATAATAAGCATGGTGGCACCAGGCAAACCAAGTGAGAAGAACTGAGGAGAGCAGTGCTTGATGATTGTATTGACAATATCCTTGCAGGAGAAAAAGGGAAAAGAATGAACAATGAATTAAAAAAAGGCAGATATTTACCAAAGCTAGACAGTAAAAAAGTGAGAAAGTGAATTCGCTGTGACAATTAAGACACTCCTTACTGAGCAAAGAGTAGCATAAAAATATAAATTCCTTAAGTATGCCCATATTAATGGAAGTAAACTGTGGCATACTTTATAGATCAATCTAACCTCGGAAACTATTGTAAGAAGTTGGTACCAGGTCACATTTTATAGTCATTTATATTTAGCTTTTAAGAGTTCCATAAAGGATTATTTAATTCATTTAAATATGTATAGAAGACATATAGTGAGATAATCGTCTATTATAGTTTCTTAACAACATGCTTAAATCCTGTCCAACAAGTAATATCTGACTATAATCTTAAAAAAGGTATTAGTTACTTAGGTATAACTGTACGGAACCAAAATATAAACAAATAATTGAAATGAAATGTTTTATAACATTTTTGGTATATAGTTATTCAACACAGTATATTATGTGCTTGTAGACTTAGTGAGACAGTTTTTAAAATTAATGTACGTGATGGAATTTCTTCAAAAGTATTGGAAAATGTATAAAATATTTTAATTATTAAAAGACATCCCTAGTTCACAGATAGGCAAAAAAATAACACTTATCTCCATCGAATAATTCTCCAATAGTAGTGCTATCCCCCTAAATTGCAATATGTTATAGGAAGATTTGAAATCCAACCAGAAAAGCAGTGTATCTGGTTGTTAGAGGACAGTAACGAGATCTGTCCTATCCATAGCCAACTGTGGAATAATTTTGGACTAGTTCTGGTTTGCCCAGTTAATGAAAACAGGGTTGTTTCAACCTTTGATCTCCCTATGCCTCTAGCTGCTCCTTAAAAAAGTTCACAAAATCAACTTTTTCACGCTTCTGATGCAAGCCTTTAAAAAGCCATAGAATATTTTCAGACTTATTCCTATTAAAACCTGTGAAAGAGATCTACTCCCACTGATTACATATACTCAGAATGTCTGCTTGCTGGTTGCTGTACTTGCTGTAGAAATAAACTACTCCAATGTAGTGAGCACAATTTACTTTCTCATGAGCTAAACTGTTGCATCAGGGAGCAAGTAAGAACAGCAGACCTTACAGAGATCTGATTCCTTCTACTTCTTGCATGCTTCAATCTGTAATATACAGTCAGTTAAAAAATACCTTTATTGCATTTGTATGTGCTTGAAACAGACTGCAAAAAAAGCGTTTTTGATTACAACCGGGAACATAAGGGTCATTTATAAAAGCTGAGAAGAAGTATCAGTCACATAACCGTTTTCAAAGACAAAATTAAATTATTCAGCTGAAAATACATTTACTATTTTCTGTAAAACAATTCTATTTTGAGTTATTAACCTGAATTTCATAATTAAACTTACCTGATCAACATGAAGAAGTCCACAGTGCATTATATTGTAGAAATGTGTTAAAAAATCCCTGTTTGGAGAAACATCTTGTCTTCGCTTCATTGTCTTACAAATGAGTTTATAAGCATGTAGCTTTCCTTGTTTGTATTTATCAGTCAGCATTGTTGCCTACAGTTTTAGAACAATATTTATTATTCATAAATAAAAAAAATACATTAAACAATCTTCTACAACTACATGAACTTTTATTTCCCTTTCACTGCTTTACCTTGAAGAGCCATGGTGTTAAAATTCTCAGTGGTGGAATCAAAACTGGTGGAGATGGTGAAGTTAGGTTATCTGTTGAAATACCAAGATTGTCTCTTATCTGCAGTTATTAAAAACAAAACAAAAAGACAAACATTTAAGGGAAATATATAAAGTGGTGGATTTTTTCCTTCTGAAAATCCTGCCTTATCAGGTCAGGTTAGACAAAAGGTTCACTTCTTTTACCTTGGCCAGATTCTGCCACAATTCGCACAGGTAATCAAAAACCTGGGCATGAATCTCTGGATCCATGATGCTGTTAACATCTCCCAAAATTCCTAGCATTCGCCTCCACATGACAGTAGCAACATCTGCATGCCATCCTGTAAGTGTTCCCCCAGCCATCACGCTGCAACATTCTGAGGGGAATTCACTGGTTTCTGTAATGGAAGAAGAAAGTATGGTGAGATCTACCTCTCCAGAGAAAGAAAAGTTCTGATATAACTATTTCATACATATTTTTCCTAAAACAAACAAACAAAAAAAAACCAAAAAAAGATTAGGCTTTCAGAGTAAGATATTTCCTACCCATTCAGCCATCTGGAAATATTTAACTACGTCTACTTTCAAACTCGGTAGAGGAAGAATTTTCCGTTTCTTATATTCTTTCCATAAGTAACATTTAAGGTCACTTTGGGAGCCTTAACACTGGTCTGGTGGACCTAGTAAGGCCACTTCTTTTGTAAGTGCTGTCTTACATTCTTTGGAGTCAACAAATCTCCCGAACTCCACTTGTCTGCTTCCAAGTAAAATTACACTTCAACTTTACATTATTCCCAATAAAATAGCCAGATGATTTTCCTTAGAATCTACTAAGAATGTATTTTATTGCAAATTGAAGTGAAAGGCGCGACTAAACTTGTCCCTAGCTACCATTCTTTAAGCTGTAAATTTGCATGAGTGGAGAAGCAACATCCACTAGCACAACAGTCTAACTTTCACCCAGCTCTCTCTACGCATCAGCATTATACAAATGAATGTTCTTTTTTAGGTGAAAGATGTTTAATCTAGTTTTTCCATAGAGAGAAAACTTCGACAGATTACGATAGTTTACATCCACTCAGCTCACACTTAACTAGCTGAACAGACACATTAAACTAGCTAATGAGCCACAGTTTTAAAGCAGCAGGCATCCAGAATCTCCTTTCTGCCCCTCTCAGACAGATTTTCAAAACACCTCAGCATCAGAATTTGCGGAGATCTTCTGAAAAATCTCACAGCTCCTACAGGCATACAAAATCAAAATGACATCTGAATTCAGCCTAATCACATAGCCTCTTCTTTTGAAAATCTGGACCACTGTGATAGAGACACTAATGGTTTCTAGCCTGTAGATTTCAAAGTACAAAGCAAAATGATGTTACTTCTGTCCATCAATTGGCTACTTAAAGGAAAAGGGTCTGAAATACACATCAGACACCCTTCTGTTTCCATGAGACCAAACATGGGAGAAATGGGAAACTCGTATTTATAAAGTGAATGTATCTTAGAATTCAATAGCTAAGATAGTGGAGGTAATTATAAATTTGTTCAAATATGAAAGGGAAAACAAGCAATATTTCAAGAAGAAATTATAACAGTACTTTAAAATTGTTACTTGTCTTATTAGTTATACATCAATGATAAAATGGTCTATGGCAGGACCACATACCAGCTTAAGCTGCCACAACTCTAGGCGTCAAAAAGAACTATTATAAATGCGTGGACTATTAATCTGCTGCTAACAGTTCTAATAAAATGCAAGATAAAATGCAAGAGGTTTTTGTTTTAAATCATCATAATTTAGTATTTTCAGAAGTGCAGACCCAATAGCCTTGTACAGGATTGTCTACAACTAATGTAATACTAGTTACTCCACTGTACGGCATTGGAAAGAAAAAGAGAACAGGTTTATATTTTCTATTCCAGATATTGCCTAGGTCATCTGGCGTCTGTAAAACAGAGTGGTGGAGCTTCTCATCCAGCTGCAGATCCTTCTGCTCAATATGATCTGCATGAAGAGTGGCAGGAGAGGGTGTCTGTGATCGGGATCCAAGAGCAGATTGGATTGGAGAAGCACTTTCAGAGCCTGCAAATGCAATTTTTAACAGTTACCTTAATAGCCTTTTCTATTTTCTTGAGCTACTGAAATGTTGTCTAAACATAGCATTAAAAGAAATCTCACTCCTTTTATATAATAAATGTGGGCAAGAAAAGATATAAAACTGAAAGCAGATCTCTCTGTGAATGGTGCTCTGAAAGAAAATTAATTACATGCAGGAAAGCTGAGAGATGAATACCAGAATCAGATAGGTAAATGGATTAACAGAGCTCTATATTAGGCCCAAATAATTTCATATGTGTTTTTTTCTGCAGCACTTTCAATGTTCTGAACCAGTCAAATTTTTCTCCATATTCACTCATGTAAATTTCTCTCCAGCAAAGCATTTAAACAGAAAATTTCCTGGAACAACTGCATTTCCAGGTTTATGGATGCATGTAAATTAATTTATGAACAAAAGCTCAAACCAGTAGCTGACAATTTTTTATGTTTATCTGCCAATTGGGCTGAGAAAATCCATATAGAGGCAAACTCCTGTAAAGTTAGAGGAATGTTATTTCCTCTAAGACAGAAAAATAAAAGTGTTAGAATAGCAGTGCTGCAAAGGCATTTTTCCATGATCACCACTGAGCAGCATCCTCTCCAGGCAACTATTTGGCCTCCTCTACTAAGAGATCCATGGAGAGGAAGCAGGTACTTGTACTTCTCTTCAGCACTACCTTAGTTTTATTTCCTGAATTTGCCTAAAGATTATTATAAAAAGCCGAGTTTGGTCAGAACAGCCAGATGGCAGAAAAAAAGAGAACAGATATTCACCACATACTTCCCTATACATCAGCACACATTAAATGGAAGAACTCAAACCTATTAATTCTAACTCTTAGATAAATGTAACTGGGACCCAAAAATATTGTAATGATATGTGAAGTTCAGTATTAGAGATAAACTGAACTTTACAGACAGAAATGAAAGACTGAGTCTTTAAAAATAGTAATTTTCCCAAATGATTGGCTGTGAAGTGTTCTTTCTTTTAAAGAGAACAAATTGTTTAAGGAACTTGACAGAAAATGTCAGTGTTATCAGAACAGAAATCGTGGTAAACAAACTTAATTACATTGTTAAACTGCAAAGGTCTCTATCTGATTTAAATGGCAAAGGCAATGAAGCTTTTTGCCATCAATTTAAATCAACACCTCTGCAGGAGAGACGGACGCTACTGACACACAGACCACGGTTTCACTCAACAGGCAATGATACTCTCCCCTCGCTACTGATCACTTGTTTTCCAAACGCTCACCAAGATAATGTAAAATACACACTTTAAAAGATGTTCAAAGAAATCTTTTTCTACATCTCCTCCACTCTGCTCACTAAGGGAGGACGAATCAAGGGAAAGAGCAAGAAAGAGTGATGGGGAGGAGAGAAAACGAGGGAGAGTGGGATACAGAGGGAAAGAGAAGGAATGAGATGGAGAGAAAGAGCAGGTTGGGGGCCAGGAGGGGAAGGGGAAAGGGAGAGATGTTCACATGATAGAAGAGAATAGACAGAAATAACTATTGAAAATTTGCTTAACTACTGGAGGCTTCTAAGAAGCAATAAAGATACTCCAGCATACATGGATCCAAATTTGACAGATACTATGACTTCAACTTCTTCTAGAATGAGTAAACAGCAATCAATAGTAAACTCAATCACTTGCTAAGAATGTGAAATAATGCCGATAAACCAAGAAGAAATTTTTCTTCCAAAAACCTTCAAACCAGAACTATCTAGAACCAGGTTGTTTTCCGAGCAGCAGAACCACTGAAATCTCATTTTTACAGTTGTGTTTTGAGGATGAGTTTCTGTATGGGTTTGCTGATATCTAATATAGTGAATTCACATTGCAGCCTCCCTGTCACGGGACTCTGCATACATGAAATTTTCACTAGCTAGCTGCCTATCTTTCATAAAATTTCAAAGCAAAGAATGTCTTTCTGTTTTGTTCTTATATGTCAATTTAGCAGAAATTAGACAGTGGGCTCCAACATTGTTGGGGGTGTGGAACAGTCAGACAGAGACAGACAGTGAAATTAACACAAGTCTTGCTTCCTCAGGAAACTCAGCTGAAGTTAAATGCACGTGACACAGAAAAGCTGCCTCTCTAAAACAGTGGTCCAAACAACAAGAAGAGACAGCCACAAAATCTCTCAATAGACAACTCAGCCATAATTGTAATCTTATCAATTCAATTACAGAGCAAACTTCAACAAAAACACCAAACAGCAATTAAATTATTACCATATTAAAACCAAACAAACAGAAAAAGAACATGTTTTCTGCTAGGATTTTCAACAAGCACAGAGCAAAGAGAAAAATGAAGGGAACAAAAGTCACACTGAACATTGTTGAACAAGCTGAACAACAATGTCCAAGAAAGCTAATGCCACGCTTCTTTCAGCAGAAAGGCGATTTTAGAAAGGGAAAATTGTGGCAGGGGAAGTAAAGATGTCTTTCAGTATCTCTGAAAATGCACCGTTTGGTATCTCACAGAGAACAAGGCACTGTATGTAGGGATAAGCTTTCACAGACAAACAGGTACTTGTTCCCAGGTTTGTAGGAGGAATGGTAGCGCATAACAGTTATGGAACAAAGAGCAAGAAAATGACTATGGACATCTTTACTTCTCATTTACAAAATCTGGGAAGAGAATGTTCCTCCAAATACTCCTCAGAGAGGAAGATTCTCTCTTTCAGAACGAGCCCATTCAATTTGGGTTAACTGTGTCACTTGGTGGTTGCTAACTTAAAGTGTTATATTCTCTCTTTCTCAAGAAAGAGCTGCAAAGTAAACTGGTGGAGCCTCAAGTTCATCAACTGAGACTGTGAAACACTGCTTCCTAGCAGGCTTATTTTTTCATGAAAACAACAGGGAAAAATACAAAAAGAAAAAGAATTATTAGTTTACACAAATGGAAACTGATCTTACATGACACAATAAATAACATTTTGCGTATTAACAGCTCCCAGTTACACGACAGACAATACAGAGAGAGGTTAAGATGGATGTATATAAAAGAATCCCATGATACCTCAGTGTGATACATGGGTTTGAAAGAACACTGTCAAAGCCTTCAAAGGAAAAAACTCTTCCTGAAAATTAGCGATTTGACTACCAGTAACTGAAGGACACTCCTAAGAGCTCTAGCATACATTACATGGTAAGAGTTTTCTCCCTGGTAATTGTACAGATTTTCTCATGAAGGGTTTAAAACGGATTTAGCATCAAGCCAAGGATCATATGGGTAACTAAGTCAGACAAAGGTTTTTCCACTTACGTTATTTCACACATTACTTTTCAATAGCAATCAAAAAATAATCAAAATCCAAGAATCATCTTATATAGAATATAGATTCTTTGCAGAAGCTGGAACTTGCATTCTTCAGGATGGGTGGAAAATTTCTGAAATAAGTGCACTTTTTTTAGAGGTTTTTTTAACTACTTTACCAGTAATAGTTGCAGCTTCAGCAGACAATGGTTGCTGATTGAGACTACTTGTTTCTGAATCTATGTGGAGTGTAGTTAGACTGGCTACTTCTTGCTCCTCGGCACTCTGTTGCTGTCCTGAAATTGCATCAACGTCAGCGGAAGCTGGTGTCCCTGCCTCAGTGCCAAAGCTGAAATCTGTATGAGAAAAGCACTGTATTAACTTACAGCCTAAAAATACCAATAACATTAAAAAAAATCCCCAAAACCAAAAAACACCCAGGCCCTCCAAGATCTTCTACAGAAACCTTGAATGTGCATCTCCTATGCTACTAACACACTGTTGCAAAATTTCCATAAAATATAACAGCAGAAAGTAATTGACTACTATGAATATTCTCATTTCTGTCACAAAACTTCAGCTGTACTTCTGGAGAAGACTTTCCTATTGCATGTCCTGTTTTCTGCTTACTTGCTGTAAGTGCACCTACATAAGAATAAAATAAAAATAATGGACACATACGTTAAGGAATTTATTTGCAAAATTTACAAGCTGGAAGAAATATCGAAGTTGGTTGTTAAAGCACTAACTTCAAATTAAAAATTTTATGGCAAATGATATTCTAACAAATTTTCAACAACGCTTTTTCAACACTAAAGACAAAACATCATACTGAAAACTAGGTTTAAATACCACCACTTAGTTGCCTAACACCTACATATCTAAAATTGCAATTTCTTCGATAAATTCTACCATATAAACATGATTTCTCTTACATAATACATGAGATCATAATTCCTAGCAACCATAATGACCCCTTCTGTTGAACAAGAGTGGGAATGGATAAATTAAATTAATGAAAAACATTGTGTTATTACAGAAAGCACACTAATTTTAACAAAGTATACTAATTTTACCATGATATTACACTTAGTATCTTGATGAATCAATAGGTACGTGAAAATTGCTGTAAGAATATCAGGAGCCCTTCTTTAAGTTCTACCTAAATGTTTTCAAAGGAATTCAAGTAACCTCCAAAATAAGTAACCTTTCATTTTTATATTTTGTGCAAAACAGACGGATATGCTACACAGAGAAGACAATATTGCTTTCTAACTTCTGTTCACTGCTGTTCTGCTTTTTGCACAGTAGTATTCCAGGGCTGGTTTGTTTAGTATAGTATAAACACAACAGCCTCTCTCAAAAACTCTGCTTGCTCCATTAACTTGCTAACGATTTCGATGGGATATCAAAATAAGCTCTCTTTACAGAAAACTGCTGGCGTACAACTTTACCAAACAAGAAGAAGAGAAAATGAGAAGGGGGCTTCATAAGCAATCAATCAAAAATGCCGTTTCTTTTGGAGAAAATATACTTGCTTTCAAACTTGCGGCCGTCATACTGGAAGGCGCTGAAGGAGTCGGAGTGGCTGTCGGAACTGATGAGGTCGCTGCTGCCCGCGCTGGCGGGTGACGTCCATTCGGAAGGCACACCCGGGTCGTCTATAGGACGCATCTGGTTCTGTTTGTTCAATATATCAGGAAGGTCTTTAGGGACTTCCAGGCTGCCGGGACTGCTTCCTCTTCTTGTCACATTCTAAACGTTGCAGAGACACAAGTTATCTTACAATACTGGATGGCTTGTTTAAATAAAATGGAAAAAGCAATCCCACATTTGCAAATGTCAGAACATAACAGTTCATAAGTACCTAAACCAGAAACTGTCATCACACTACATATACAGCCAAGACTTTCCAGAACCCTAGACAGGTAAGTGAAAAACCCATGCAGTCACAGAATTTCATAAATACAATTTTTTTTTGCACAATTAATTTTTGGGCACATACCTTAAAAGGCTAGGATTCAGACTAGCATGTGCCACACATGTATTAGGTAAGACTTGAGAGAGAAAAACAGTAAAAAAATATATTATCGCCAGATTATGTCTAGCTTAATAAAGAAAACTTGTTAACCTTGGTTTCCGACACAAGCATAAAAAAAATGTCAAGGAATTCTGTTTTCTGGCCTATGGGTTGCCATGCTATAAGAAAAATTAAATGTACACCACAAAAAAAAAAAAAAAATTTACTAATTCATGCATTCATTTTCTTATGATTAAGCCAAAACCTTAGTATTGACTTGGACACCAAAGACAGCATATAGCAGAAATAAGGCATATAGATTTGCTTGTGTAAAAATAAGGTGGTGTTCTACTTAGAGTCTTCCTTTAAGCCTTTTTTTTTCACAGACAGGACTCTTTGCTTCAGAGGAAAGAGAGATAAAAGTAGAAGAGCCATTTTAGGAAACAGCTTGAAATCTTCACGCATTAAGAGACTGAAAGTGACCTCCTTTTACACCAGGCCCAGTCACTTCTCTATTCTTTTACTACCTTAGTATTAGAGATTTACCTAGATTGACAAGCTTTTCACGATACAAGGTTTTAGCATTCAATAGATATAGCAACCTAAAACTAATCTCAGTAAGTTGGTACTCTGTTTTAAGACGGCATATCTGGTTTTGTCTGCTAAATTGCAAGATCAGTGGCAGTTCCAATATACTTATTTACACTTATCTTGGCTGGTTTTTGCTACTTAAGGAAAGTAACAATTCTTTTGTCTGAACTATTAATAATCAATGTTCTTGCCCATCTATGTGAAAACAGATAGTCTTCCCTCTCTCTCTCTCCTCTTCTGTGACCAGCTGTGATGATTTCTGGTTTATGAAATTGCAGACTAAGTTAACTTTTTTTTTTTTTTAATAGAGTTCAACTTAGCATTTTTGTCTTGTAACTCTACACTTGCTAACAAGAACACTTTGCACCAACAATCAAGTTTCATAAACATGATTTCAATACAAAAGATAAAAAAGCATGTGATTGGACAAACTCTATAGGTTCTGTCTTGCCATTTATAAAAGACAATGATAAATAAGCAAACTTTTTCAATCACTTTGAAGAATCTTCTTTGGCCCCTTATTAGCAACAACTAAACTACTTGCCGACAACTTTCTGTAGGAGAATGTCTTAAAATGACCTTAAAAAAATCTTTAAAAATTCTAAGTAAAAAAAAGAACAGAACAACTTCAAAGTGCTACGTTTAAACTGTTACCCATTCTGTCCTTCAATGGCAACTTTTCTTTTTTTAAAAAATATGTCCCCTTTTGTAATAAAACAGTTATCCCTTCAAATCAGTTGTCTCGATCTGTAAGCATTCAATAGTAATGAGAAATTCTTGACTTAAAATTGAGTAAGATTTCTCATTATGAATGACACCCCAAATAACGTGACACTTTGGGAAAAGTGTAGGAAGAAATCATATGAAAAGTTGTTTCAATTAGCAAAGAGCTATTTAAAACAATTGAATAACATGTTGTAAGTGAAATAGAACATATACTACTGTAGTTTCATTGTCTGTTGCACTGACTATACCTGTAGAGAATAGTACCATAGTGCAGTATGGTACCCTACTACATACCACACTAAGGCCTGCAAATTTACACATAAATTATTATTCTCAAAGTGTCTGTGTACAAAGATCTTTACAGGTGCAATTAAGGCCATGAAATTCAATCACACCATTCATCTGACAGTAACTTCTGCATTGCTTCCACAACCAAGATTTAACAGATATGAAAACACAAATGGCATAAAAAATCACATGAATCAATGTCAAAGACAAGACTAAATAATATTCTTAATTCTTTCCGATTCATAATACCCAGAGAAATATGTTTTAGTGAACTGATTTAGAATGTCACTGATGAGTTCATGCATATATGCGGACTTACATATCTAAATGTAAGAAGTTGAAAGGCTTACCAGCGCACTACCACTGCGGAGTCTCTCAGCTATAAATTCATCCATGAGGTCAGGAACATTTGTATTGCTACTGCCAATATCACTATCAATAGGGTGCAGCTTTTGACTCATGTCCTCTCTATTAGCTAAAAGCAAATGAACAACTGTATATAGTAACGAACACATCAAAACATTTTCAAAACAAAAGGTAAAAAAAAATAATGAGAAAACCCCTGCTAATTAACAGAAATTTTAAAAAAATAATCAAAACTGCCAAACATGCATTTTAAGAAATCCCCTCTTTTAAAGCAGATTCTACTTTAAGAATTAGTATGGCTTCTTCTTCCCACTAAGCAGGGGTTAGTCGATTTCCAGTACCACCTTTAAGAGCAAGAAGCTTATAGGTAAGCACTACTCAAAGTTGTTAATGCTTGCTTTAAGGATACAGCATATATTCTTCCTCCATATCACAAAAAATAAGTAATAAATCCTAAAATTTTTATGATTCATATAGGCTCCTTTTTCATTGCATTCCTAATGAAAAGCAATCTAGTGGAAAATGTAAACTAGGCTGTAATATGTACTAATGACAAATGTCGTTGTGGCACTGTATACAGTTAGTATAAATAGTGCAAAGAAAATCTTAGGTAAGGAAATTACATGCTAGTACATGGAATGAAAATTCAGACTCTGGACGGTCAATGGTTACAAACAATTAAATTAAGTTCCCTCATTTATCAGGGTTGTATTTTTGATATAACTACACTGTTCATATTTAACTGTGGCTGTTACACCTGACTTAATGATCTTCGTCTTTAAAGTCTTCAATTTATTGCAGTTCATGCTTTCTCTGTAAGAATTTTTCCCTCAGTGTCATCTCTCATGAGACCACGGCGTTTATTCTAATATTGAGGCTCTGTTAAGTGTTGCAGCTTTCGAATAAAATGTACTTCTACAATTAGTGCTCTCTTCTAGATCTCTCTTTTTCAGAAGTCTAGATTCTGCAGAGAAGCAAATCTCTTTTTTGAGACCCATGACAGTCACGGTCCTGTGGTGCTCTGCTTACAAAGGCTGCCCTCAGGTGGCATTAACATCTCGATGCAGGATGCAATTGCGGAATCCTCTGTTAATCATGCCAGCATGACAATGGAAAAAAGAAAACCTACGTTACTGCTGAAAGTTAATTTACTGTTCATTTAAGGTTATTTAAGATGTGAACTAAGACAATGGATATTAGAGCGACAGCCTTCTTTTTCAATCAGTCCACAGAGGTCTCAGTTAGCAGGAGATGGATTATCATGAGACCTTCATGAACATCCACTATTCCAAGAAAAAAAGAAAGCAATGAAAGATGTTGCCAAGATGTAACTGCATCCACTTTAGTGAATGAACACAGAAAGGCCAACAGCATGGTTTGAAAAAGATTCAAACAGAACCTCATGATTGGACAGAGAAGTGCCGTAATGAAATCATCCCAGAAATAGGACATCTCTGTTTAAGACTATTTTTGCAAAATTATCTAAACTAACCTCCAAATGTAAATTTGAGGGGCTTTTTTGTTTTGGAGGAGGAAAAGGAGGAAGAGGAGGAGGAAGAAGAAAACACACTAAATGAACCAGAAATATAATTAGTTCAACCTAGCTGGTCAAGAGCCAGGTCCTTCTGACAAACAAACTACACTCAGAGTGGAATAGCACATTCTGATAAAATAGGCGTATGCCAATCATTCAGTAGGCTGAATTTTAAGGCTCTGCATGGTAGATGAAAATTCAAAACTCTCAAAGGCTTAATCCTTTATTAGGTCATTTACTGTCTCTTCCTCTTCCCTAACCTGATGGTCTTCAGCAGCAAAGAGGTTCAACTAAATATCTTGAAAAGGGAAATTAGTAATTTAAAGTATGTAAAAGTAACTTATGCTGGGAGAAAAATCAGCTGGCTGTAGGCGCATGCATAACCAAACAGGGAAAGCAGTGATCATCCCAAAGCCTTTTGATTGCTTATCAGAGCTTGCTTCAGTCGCATTAAGCCAAACTGGTGCTGCCTTTCTCCTTTTGCGCTCTGCACACTGTTAGTGCTCACCTGCAGCTTTCCTTCCAAAATAGCCCATTACATGACTGTACAGATCCCTCAGTGGAGCCTCTGCTGGCATTCTGTTCTGCCTCTGTGGGGAAACATTTGCCTTCGGCTTCGAAAGAGCATGTACAACAGTTTTATAAACACCACCCAGGGAGCCCTGCTGTTGCGCTGACTCCTGACCTGCTCCTCTAAAGGCACTACGATTATGGAACTGATTAACCGCAACACCTTCTTTTTGCAACATGGCTGCTTGAGCTTCTGTAGATTCCTTAATTTGCTTGCTGCCAGCTGAAGCAGCATTGATTGCATCTAGAGGTCTATATATTCCAGGTCTAACCAGTTCCGTGACAGCCGATGAGCTGGTGCTTGCACCGGTACTGCTGCTACCACTACCGCTACTACTGAAGCCACCCAGTTTACGAAGTCTTGTTTTCCAAGCGGCCTCTTTGCTCTCAAGAGGATTGTAAAATTGAACTGATTCTGTAGATGGCCTAAAAGTAACATGAACGCTATTTCTTTTTTTAGTTGTTATTTTCATGATTTTGGCCCTATGAGTTACAGTTTCGGATATGCTCCTTTTAGTTGGTGACAGTTTGCTTGTGCCTACCATGTGAGGCATTTGAGGGTTAACTTGTGCTTTAGGAAGAATTTTCTTTGCATGCATAACACGTGAGTTGGTTACTTTTTCATTAAACTGGGCATTTTTATGCTTTTCGGCTACTGCTGCTTCCGCAGCTAAATCTACATCAGCTTCAGTGGCAGCTTGCCTGTACAGGTATCTCTTCCCTTCTTTGCTGCTAGGACTACTTGACCCATGATCGAACACGCTTTCATATTGTTTATTAGTATTTAACTGTCTGGCTTTATCAAGCGCTTGATTTCTTGTAAAAAGGTCTACTTGAGTAGGTGCAACATTACTTATAAAGCCACTTTGGTCTTGTTCTAGGTGCAGCTCTGTGTTATCAGCTCTTTCTGTAACAGTGACGCTATTCGTGCATTGACCGGTCTGGTCTCTATTTTCTAATCCATCCAGTGGTAATCTATCATTCCTATTTACTGATGTATCAACTTCGTGAGCAGAAGCCTCACATTTATCTATCTCAAAGTTACCGCAAAGTTCTTCTTTTTCTTTAAGATATTCTCTCAGAGAGGAAAGGAGATCATCTTCACCTTCAAGGTCAACATATTGGCTTTGTTCAAAGGCTGTGTTTGCAAATTCTACCGGCCCTATTAAATGACAAAGATGGTCATAAATACTATCCCCAACTTCCAAGGAGGACTCTCTGCTATTTGTATCAGTGATATGGCTTTCAGTGGATCTATGCATTGAAGAGGTCTCAGTGGAACTCTGTAAGCTTGGAGCATGATGGGATGAACTGTCAATGACAGGAACTGCACCTTTGGCTCGTTCAACTGCGAATGGTTCCAGGATGTCAGAGGTGCTGCTGCTTCGTGGCAGTGGCTGTTCCTCATTTAATGCACCAAAAACTTCACTTGGAGCATCCTCACTCTGTGAAAAATGTCTGACTCGAGGTGGACGTGGAAGAATTTGAGCATCGTCAATGTCTGTAGGGAAAAAGTATATGTAACATGCACTAAAATTTACATAGAGAAACAATATTAATTTAACACTACATCCTAATTACATGACTTTAAAAAGCTAGGAAAGTCCAGAGCCTTGTTTTCTTAAGTACAACACAAATATTTTTTCCAGTACTAGAGTGTTAAAAACACACGCACATAATATCCAGTACAGAATGTAATATAAATGAGTTAGACCATCAGAACACAGTTTTAAATGTTAACATGCATGAGAACAAACAGTGAGACCATGGAACGTTTGGAAATACAGTCAAAGCTAGGGCTGTGCCAATAAGTTCAATAATTCAACCAATATTATTCCAGCTATGGAACTGGATACCTGGAATACAAATTAGCTTAAGAGTAGTATCCTTCAGGAAATTTACATCTTCAGAAAAATGCACAACTCCAAACAGAACAAGTACGTTTTCTGAAAAGTTAGAATCATCTATTGAAGTTACAGATTTTTACTGTTTTTGTAACTTGTATGAATATACATATCAATTACTGAAATATCTGAAAGAATACTATCATACAATTATTCGTGTTATGGCATAGGTAATATAGTATACACCTGAAGACTAAAGCTTTAAATGACAGGAAAGAGCTAGCCCTGTACAGAAAAGATGGCTACACGTAACAGATAATATAAAGATCCTTTAATCCTTTAAATGCAAACCTAAATACTAAATGGAGGCTTACCTCCCTCTCTTCTTTCAAGCGAATGTGACACTTATGAGAATTAGCAAATTAAGGACTGCTACCGAAAAACATCCTGCAGCCTCACAACAGCTAACATTCAAGTAAAACCACTTTTGTTTATGAAAAGACCAGAGCATCATCATCTTTTAAATCAGTGATTCCTTGTCTCCGTTGAGACTGCTAATATGTTATCATCAGTACAAATCACAGTTAACTGTAATGAAAGCTGCAGTTCCAACACAGATCACCTAGAATTGTACAGAAATATCTTCAGCCCACCTCACATCATCCTCCAGAATAAAGAACTTTCATGCTTCTCTTCAGATTTCCTGCTATGTTATAGGAACACTGCATACTATCAAATCACCAGTGAAGGAAGGCAAGAGTAATTGTCTCTTACAGACAACTGTCTCTTACAGACAATTCAACTATTTCCAGAATTTGAGCTATCCCTTGCACTCTTTCTACGGGACAGGCACTTGAACGGTACAGGAAAAACAGCTCTCTCAATTTTCTGTTGTTTTCTTTTGATAAACTCCATTATTGCCCAGATTTATTTTTTACTATCTACCACTGAAAATGTTGTAAATATGCTTTTTAAAGTCAGGAATAACAATAAAGAGCTTAAATGAATACCAACATGAGTTACTTGCCACAATAAACAGACTTACCTTGTTGTTACACCTAGAGGGTTTATCTTCAGGGCTGCAATAGTGAATTTACTTAAAACCAGCACAAAATTTAAGCCCCTTTCCCTCCCCTAAGTCTGATGTGTTACTGCCAAAATAAATATTTCAAATTATTTATTCATGGATCTCTATACCTATTTCAGTAATATTTAATAATGATGATCTGAAGTCACCTTAAAAACCTGTTTTAAAGTGCTCACACTTCTCTGAGAATGTTAGAGCTGCAGCTGAATTTACTCATATTTTCCTTCTGAGCAAAGCATACAAACTGGATGAATGAGATACATCCATAATTAACTAAAGGTATGTGTCAGAAGAAAATAAAAAGTGGCATTTCCCTGCTCAATTTTTCAGAGACGTTAAAATTTGAAAAATAAATTTGGGCATGATACAAAGTTTACTGAACTGTGAAGAAGCTAACGGACAGGAAAGAGAGATGTCTATACTGGAACAAGAAAGTAGACATCCAAGCTAATTCAGAAAATAAACATGAAATTAAAATCATTGTATAAGGCACAATTTATTACCCCTTTCCTCTCTCTTCAGCTTTGATAAGCAACAAATTCCTCATCATTGTTCTTCTTCAACTTATTACTAACTATATGAATTAACACTCTCTGAAATGAATGGTGTGCCTCTAGTTGGAATCGTTATTTCAAACTCTCTACTGATGGAGGCAGAGATTAACACAAGTTATGCACATAGTCTCACAGTCTCAAAGCTATTTCTTACAAAGAAAGACCACAGAATTCAGTCAAAAATAGGTTTGATAATGTTATATATGATATTAATATATATAACTATGATACACCGATCTCATCTTAAGCCCTCAATATGCATATTTCCTATCTTTTATAACCTCCAGCTCATCTAAAGCAGCAGCCTGAGGATTGCACGCTGTGCATGCAATGCAAAGATTATGATTTTCCAGGATGTTAAAAATTACTGGATGGAGAACTCCAAATGCACGCCAAGCAGCTCCACACATTGAAATAAATGTAGCTAGATTTATTTCAATGTTGATCCAGTATTAATTTAAGGTGCTCACATACGCATGACTAGCACATATACGTACACAAACATTTTCAAACAAACGTGTAGTGCTTGTGCCCATAGAAATTCCTTTTTTTTTTGTAGAATGGGGGAAGAAATGAAGGAAATTAAAAATATCATTAAAAATATTGTATTATTGTATATCCGCACTGAAAAAACAAACATTTAAAAACCCAAATGAACATCTGCTTCACAACCAGGGCTCACTCTTGCACACGGGGATACCACCAAAACTGGGACACCACCAACTCCTAAGGAGTTTTCACTAACTACATGGCAATTGTGCACCAGAAGGCTGTGTGTCTGACACACCGCACGCACTCAGGAGAAATGCCTGGTTCCTAACACGTTACAGTGGGGAAGAAACTGAAATTGGTAGTTTTAGCCAACCTCACCCAATCACAACTTTCTTTTAATCAACCTCACCTCCCCTTTTTCTGCTACAAGGCAGAAACAAAAGGTGGTTTTCCAGCATCAAGTGGGAGACAGATATCCTAAAATACAAACTCATAGAGAGACACAATCTGGCAAAATGGCATGAGTGCAAGTAGAAGATTCCCATATAACATTGGGACAGGGTTGTATTTAATCATGGAAAGTTAGTTCAGAAAGTGGAGAAAAATTACCATGTTTTGTTTCTCAGCTTTCATTTTGATTCTTTTACAAGAACATACTCATTCTCTAAGTTTCTGGGATTAAAGAATAATTACAGCCATACTGGCATTATAATTATGATTTCTTTATATTTCATCTTAATGATTACTGATTAGGGAGAAAGGTTGTAATGTCTCCCTTACATGCTAATATTTCCTTTGATTCTTTTAGTCCCAGTGGATAAGATCTCCCACCTGCAATTCATTAGTCTGCCATTGTAGCCCATTGCTTCCAGGAATCTTGCCTACATCTCACCAATGTGTTTTTTTCCACAAGCAGTCTTGTACCTGAAAATCCTCAATAGGAGCAGGAATGTATTATTATTTTGCTAGTTATCCTTTAAATGTGTGAGACTGGATTTCCTATGATTCTAATAGGTTAAAAGTTCTTCTGAGAAGTGTTGTAGATTTGCAACACTATACCAAACCACTTTACTAACTAAACATCTTAAAGCATAAATCTCCGCTTCCACTTTGGAGATTGTTTGAGAAGTTGCCAATATTCTGCAGACAGAAATACAGCATAACTTAGAAACTACATGAAGGAATTACAATGCTTAGGAATAGCATCCTGTATGATGTCAATATTGAGCTGTTACAATCTATTTTGTTAACTTACTGACTTCAAGCAAAAACATTATGTCCCAATAAATAACAAATTATAGTTATTTTCATATATAATTATTTGTACTTAATGAAAACTAACATACTGTACATAAGGTAAAGGTTTTGGCATAAATGCTTTCTTTTGGACCACCTGTCAAGATCCACCAGTGCTCAGTGATTTTAATCTTTCAATGAGGAAATTCACAGCTAAAAAGAAGCTGAATGCTACTTCAGAAAACTTAAGGTTAAGGCATCCTGTTCTCTTGGAATCATTTGAAATATCCTCTCCTTTGAGTTGTGCTGGATCTGAAAGTCAGTTTGGATAACAGGGATGTTCATATACTTGTGAAGTAAGAGGAAGGGCTGTCACAGCTAAACATCATTCATTATCTAAAGCACACTTATGACAGAAACAACTTGATTACTTCCCAAATTACATGCTGTACCATCTGGACACAGAAGGCTTTCAGAAAAGAATATATTTACTGTAAGAAGAAAAGGCAAGGAAAATTATAAAGCTCCATGTTTTAAAAAAAAAAGAAAAAAGAAAAAAAAGAAATAGGAAAAGAGGAGAGAGAGTGCGCAATTAAAAAGCAGAAAATTAAAAGAGCAAAGTGCACTCTGATCCAGTGGATAGTTTTTCCTTTACTCTGCTACTTCCCCATCAATACACTAATGGCTTGCATTTTCACTAGAGCTTTTAAATTTTCTGGTAATGTTAAAGATTCTTGGGCACACCATGAAGCTGTTTCAACAATCATCTGTTGGAGACGACACCAAAACAAGGAAGCGCCTAGGACTTTTTCTATGTTAGAAGCGCAAAGGTCTGTAAAATTATTTCACTTTTAAGAATTACATTGCTTGTGCAGTTTTTGTATCGGATGAGTGTCAACAGAAGGACAATAGCAAGAGAGCCATCAGGTTTGGGACACATTAGAAGAAAGATGCAAGCCAGGACTTTTCAGAAACATGGATGACAAAACTGACTGCAAAAGCACTTCTGCCTTCTTGAAGATGGGATAATGAAGTATCAGTGACTATATGACTAAATAAGAGTTCACTGTGAAAGCCCTTCCTCTTTTTTGGGTGCTCTTAAGATCTTCATTATGAATTGACTATTTACAACAATGCTATGGCCAGGTAAGATCTAATTCCTAATAGGTTGTTCATTAATCATTCCTATAAAAAACCTTACCTTCTAAGTTCTAATAAATTATAAGATATATCCTTTGCACTCATATGTTTATTAATTTATTACATATGATTTGTATTTTATTATTCTTTATTTGTGGTGTCAAGATTTGCATTCAAATACTTTACCATTTTTCATTGTGAAAGTCTGGTATCTCTAGAGTAGATTCCTTGAACTTCCTTCCTTCTCCATTTATATTTTTTGATTGAATAAAAAGGCAGCAATTTTCTGTTTCACAACAAGACGACTTAATTTTGGACACACATCAAAATACACTTATGAAAATACAGCTCCTGATGTTTCCCGGGTAAGAAAGGCAGACAGCAGAGACAGAAAAGAAAAAAAAAAAAGAATGTATCCTCCATAAAAAAATTACTGCCATTAAGTCCTTATGTTTGTACATGGTTTTGACCATATATATAGTCCTGCCGCTGCACTTTAATTTATTTTTTTTTTCACTCATTGAGACAAAGGCATAAGATGATTATCAGCCTTACATGCTACTAAATTACACCTGTGTAATAGCTGGAGCACAGGAGAAAATATTACATTGCCTTGTAAACTTTCATGTATGCATTTTTAAAATCTATAATTCTAATTGCTGAACCTGTTTATTCAAAGAAAACTATCCAAAGAAAGGTACTGTCAAAAATTCTAGCCAACCACCCTGCTGGACCACACATAATGCGGAAGAAAACTACAACTCTGTAAAAAACAGATCATTTGGAAAACAGCACTTCAGAATTCCCAACTGTATAGATTTTTTAATGTTTTTATATATTAATGAAACCCAAGCACACTGTAAAGCATAGTATATGATACCATATACTTCAGACGTTTTTTCATGGGAGCTAAATTATATCATCATGGTTGTCCACACCACATCTATGACATGGAATTCAAAAATTTACTTTGAAAGATGTAAATGGCAAGTCAAAGTAAAATTATATTCTTCCTTTCCCTCCCTCACTCATCACAAATAAAAAATTCGGATTAGTTGTACTCTCTGGTAGATAGATGCTGTATTACTGCTTACCAATAAATTGAAAAAACAAGAGATTTCTTTAATTTTCACTTTTATAATAGCAAACATTGGCACAGCACTAACTTCCAACAGTTCCAGAATGAATTGCAAAATAGCATGGTATTTTACACAACTCGAAATATTCATTCTTAATCTCTTCCCCTCTCCCCCCATCCCCCAAGTATTTTTACTTTGAAAAATTTAATGATTTAGCAGAATTTGAAAGCAGAAGGTTTAAAAAAGTGATAAAGGGGGTGCAGAAATTAGCAGAGGTGGCACTACCTGAAAGCTCATCAGAAAGGGGAGTGAGAACAATATCAGGCAAGAAGGGTTTGGAAGTATGGATCAGAACAGGAGCACTTTTAGCACTGCGTATATAGGCCGATGGCAGAGCACATTCACCAATGGATCGGCTTCTCATGGCTTTAAAAAGGAAAAGAAAGAAGTGGGGAAGGAAAAAAGAAGAGTGACTATAATGAAAGGCTTGTGTCACAGAAAAAGCAGCAACAGAGAAAACAAAGATAAAAAGGAAGAAAATTCAAAAATTAAAACATTTCAGCACGGCAGATATTGGCAGAGCTGTAAGAAAGAAAAAAAATCAGTGGACAGGTAAGACATTTTGAGTTTTTAACTTTTATGTAAAGCAGCAACAATGCCTTTATTATGACGATTACAGAGATTTTGCATTCAAAAATCAAGAAACTAATTAACACTTTTTTCCCATTGCATCAGGGGTTGAAAAATCAAAGTTCAAGTCACCCCACAAGCACTCAGGACCTGAATTTTTTTTACCAGAAAAAGCAACTATACACTACATTTGCATTTTTCTAGTTTCCTTTGGTTTACTCCTGAAAAAAGTACGTCTGAATTTTACACATACCCATACTCTTTAATTTGAGACTCTCTATAAGAGATTCAAAATGAGAAAATGACCAATTCTATTTGGAGAAATTTGCAATACAACTTGTTACAGTTCCACATTAAATATGACATGACTGAAGTGAAATGGTTTGACAACCAAAAGCATTAAATTGTTTTTTATCCATAGGGTCTGGCTTTTAATTGATACTGGATAAATCTTGCTAAACTGATCCTAATTCACTTTTTTATTTCTCACCTCCTGCAACAGTCCTACAGAATGGAAAACTTACGTAAGAATTGTGGCATTAGGTTACACCTGCACCTTTTCCAATAGATTTAAAATTAGTCTTTATTACATTTGCTTTCCTTTGTCAGAGTAGGACATAGCAAGAACCGATACTGCATTCCATCTCAAAGTACACTTGAAGTTCTTCAAAAAGCAATATTCATTGTTCCAAGTAGCTTCCTTTTCAAACTGTTGCAAATTTGATAACTTGTTTTAAAATAGTTGCCGATAAACTTCTTTTAAGAAAACTTCAGTGCACCTTATATCAATACTGTCAGTACGGTATTTAATCAGTCCTTGTACTTTGCTATATATATTTTCAAAACAACATGGAATATAGGCTTAGAATCTTAGTGCTCCTGATCTGTATGGGAACCAGAAGTACATGAATGGAGTGCAGTGAAAGTTGAGTACACCACACTTCTAAATCAGGTTAAAGACTTGTCCCTAACAGCAACATGCAGATAACTTGGGTACATCAACGTACATTGAGCAGAAAACACATTTGACAATACAACACAACTTAAGTGGAGTCTTAACATCAGTTTGAAAAAACAATTCAGAAAGACAGACATTTTAATACTGAAGCCATTCTCTATTAAACTTGGTTTGTAAGACAGAAACCAATTTTTTAAAAAAGGCAAGTATGTGTAAGGCTTTAACATCTCTTTAAGAGATACAATAATTAAATTCAGGATACAGTGATAGTTAGATGGATTACAATCATCATTGTGCATCTTAAAATCAATGTAGGCAAGAGAAAAAATAACAAGCTACACAGTACATCTCAAAAGTCCTTTCCAAACTAAATGTTTTTACATTTATAAATAAACCAAGCTTTTGAGATAAGATTTGTAATCAACACAGTATCCAAGCAGGAATATTTGTAAAATCCCTTGTAATTTCACTGGATCTTTTCCACCATGTTACATTGATGTAAGTGGGAGGGGTGGGGGGGCAGAACAACCCATTTACAAATTGGAAGGTGGAAATTTTACAGAAACTTTTCAAGGAAAAATTACAGTGTATTATTACTGAAAGTGAAATTAACTTTGAGATTCTGTAAAAGGGAAATGTGATGTCAGTGAATTATTATTTTAAATAAGATATGTCACATTCAAATTAAGCAGTTGAGTAGGGGCAGACTTTATACCAGAATGTGGACTAGATATTTGACAGTTTATAAACTTCTACTGTTGTCTATATACAAAATCAGAACAACAGATTAGTAAATTCTTTCTGATCTGTTATTTTTATAGGACTAGAATCTGCTGCCTAAGCCACAAATTCTGTATCTAGCCCTATAGACGATTTTTCAACCCATATGCATATCATGTTTAAAGGCCCTTTTCCAAAAATTACTTTACATAAGTTCAGGCTAAAAATGTACACACTGCATATCAGAAAAGCTGTGATCTTTATTTGAGTAACACATACACACAAGTCTGGTGCAGCAATAAATGTGTGCTGGCATGAGGATGGCTCAAAAAATAGAGGTGCACAGATGTACACACAATGTGTACAACACAAAACAGATGAAAAAGAAACCCCAGCTTTTTCTTACCATAAATCTTACCACAATCAAAGGAAATATACTACGTATCAGGTATCATGCAACGTATCTGAGGTCTGACTCAATTCCAGACATAGCTTATGAAGTTAATGTTAAACTGAAGGAGAAGATCTGACCAGCAAAGTGTTCTATAGAAAATTTTACTTATTTTCACTATAAACCAGGTGTTTGTTTTTTTTTATTTTTTTATTATGTGACCCTGTATTAACTGGCACAGATTAAGAAGCACCCAGACAGCTCTCTTAGCAGACATGAGAGACAATAACAAGCAGACAAGTTGGCAGACAGTTAAGACATATACTTTTGTAACATACTCTTCACTAACTTTTTAAAAATCTTAAGAGTTTGGGATTCTGGGTCTGGCAACTTTCTTTGGGCTTTTCATCTTTTAAAATTATCCTATTAATGCTGTGATGCTTGTCCACAGATGGTATTCTACAATATGAAATTTTAACTGGTTACAGTAATACAAACTTGGCTTATTAATATCAAACATGCAAGATAATTGGAGGAAAGGAACAAAACCATGGAAGCTAAAGTACAGTGAAACTAAAATCAGATTAGTTTGCTGCTAACCAGGTCAATATATAGCTTGATTAGGACAAATTTCAGTCATTTTAGGGCTAACATCATATAAATAGCCATCTTTCAAATAGTAGCAAAACAAAACCATTAATAAATTGACCAAACAACATAACCTTCTGACAGAATATCTGAAATATTAACAATTTGGGAAGGAGAAATTTTAACATGAGCTTTACCTTGTTAAGACAATTAAGATTTAAAACAAAAACACCACAACAGTTAATCACAGACTATCTACAGAGAAGCAGAAATTACATTTAAAGTATCTGTGATGCATAAGGAAAACTTTAGTCAAACTAGGTGCTGTCAGCATGAGATACAGAAAAAGCTGTGTAGCATCTAAATGCATGAAAAAGATAGGAAATTTTGGAGTAGTGACTTAAATTTCTCACATGTCTGTACTGCTTATAGGACAATTAACTTTCCCACACCAACAAAAAGCCTTACAAGAAACCAATTTTTTAAAATAGAGAATCTGGAAGAATATTCAAATAAAAACTCTGTCTAAATAACCTCTGAGACTTAAAAAAATTAAATTGCAAATATTTTTTGAAAGAGAAAGAAACTGTTAATTTCTGAAAAACTAATACAATTATATATTCAACTGCCAATATGCATGCCCAGTTTCTAAAACTGTCAGAACGTACGTGCTTCAAGAAGTATCAGTGAAGCAACAACACACAATCACCGAAGCCACTGCTACAACAGAGAGTAAAAAAGGCAAGATACTCCTTAAAAGGTGGTTCTTTAAAAAAAAAAAAAAAATCAGCTTAGTTTTCCTTCACATAAGAGATAGCACTGAGATCCTCAAGATGAGACAAGAGAGTAAAGAAATTTGTAGTCTAGTTCATGTTAAGCTACTCTAAGCAAATCATATGATCATAAAATGAAACTTCTTTTGAGCAATCCACCTAAAGCGCTGTTTAGCACCACTCATTTCTGACACAGGAAAGACTATCTGCAAATAATGAAGTTGAAAAATAAATGACTTCAGAAATGGAGAATTGCACACGTATGTGCCAATCTGTCATTAATGCAAGACTCAGGGTACAGTAAAAGACAAAACATCTTATAAACTATGCAGATATATACATATTTCTCACATTTCTCTTTGCACAATTGGAAAATACTCAACCTATTTTGTGCGTAGTTTATGATACACTTAAAAAGCCTTATATTACCCAGCTATCCATACCACAACTCAAACCACTCCAACTTTTTTCTTTTTCATATACATAAAACAGTATTATTTTTCCAACCCAGCTGAAGCATGTGATCAAACTCATTAAGAATACATCAACTGCATTACTTTCTTTTGCAGTAACTGTAATTCCAGTAACCACAAGCTATTCAGCTACCCAAAAGCACATAAGGCTGCATAATTTACACATTTAACTAATTATGAAAGATAGCACACTTTTGTGGAAAGAAGTTATCCATGTTGCTACGGAAGTCGGTTATTAATTCTTTCCCCTTCCTCAAATCTCACTTATATCAGCCTTTACAGATACGTACCAACTGTTTTCTGCCGCACTATGCTTCGTGCCTTTTCCGTTCCTGGAGAGCCAGTGGTTGTAGCGCTGCGTTGTCTCATCGGGGCTTGTCCAGGCTGATCACGGCTCCAGCCTCTGGAAAAGGACTTATCAACGGAAGATTTTGGGAATTCATGTCCAACTCCTGCAAAAATAAAATTGCAAATCTATTCACTTCTATTCTGGTATCACCAGATATAAACCCACTCCACCAGCATTAACACTGAGGGCTACTCAAATCTTTTCAGAAGTGTTGGTGCTATCGAACTATTGTGATTTTCCTTCTGGACCAATGAAATGCAAACCCACAAGAAAGCTGGGTTTAGAAAGGTTTTAGCCTAATAAAAATGTGTAACTATAAAAACTTCTCCTTTGCTGTTCCTACTAGACAAGGCACACAAAATCATACATTACAGGCCATCAATATTGTGGGGGTTTTTTCCCAAAAATTTTGTGACATTTGAGGAACTTGAAATAAAGGTGATAAAATATTTTAATACCAAACGCAGAAGAAACAAAATGGGATGATGAGCTCGGAGAACAAGGCTCTTAAGATATTCACAATATTATACTAAGGTTAAGAAAAGATGGAACAAATTCAGATTTGACATTTATATTGAAGTAAATAAAGCTCACATGAGGAGCTATCGAAACACCTGTATGTAAAAAGAAAAGTTATCTAAAGAATAGTTGCACTGTATTTCCTTATCCACATTGAACCCCCATAATCCAAAATTACACTTGATAAACAATTACAATCATTAAAAGGGCATCTTCATGGGAAGTGAGCCCTAGTACAATGTGCTCATTATTCTTATGTCTTTAAGAGAGGGAAATGAACATCCACATACATTATGTCTCACTGACAAACCCTAGGATACTGTAGGAAGTACATTTCCTCAGGTTTGACTGAAGAACCAGATCAGACAGAACAGAAAGAGATTAAAATGTAGGCTAAAAATTACACTTTTTTCCCATCATTATTACTCACCCTAAATAATGTGCCTCTCACTATTACATCTCAAAGCACTTTTTAAAGAAGAACAGTATCATTACCATGTTTTACAGAAGTGGAAACAAAGGCAGAAATGATTGCTCATGGTCACATGCAAAAAGTCTCTGACCTCAGAAAAGAATTCAGGTTTTGCAACTCTCAATCCAACACTCTGTCCAGGAGGACAGGCTTCCTGCCCCTTACCAATTCCAGAACTGTACCTTTATAAGCAAGTAGCCACCTCCTTTCCCCAGAGTATTTCCTGCACAGTTTAGGAATCACTTTAAAAACCAGTACCATTCATATGGATTATTAAAAGTTTCCTTTCTCTTAACAGTCCAACAAAGTCTCTTCAACAAAACCTATCTTCACCACGGCTTAGTGATGAATTAGAACCCAAACAAAACTATGTTCATCTCACATTTCAACTTTAAACAACATTAATTCGATTTCAGGATCAATATTCCAATTGTGCTTGCAACAGCCACTTGCTAACCAATTAATTTTTACTGTATGTGTAATCTTTGTTACTTTCAAGAATTTATGATTGGGACTCAACTACTTAATTGCTTTGATAAAAGGAGAAAGGCATAACCCACTACAGTATAATATTTTAGGTTAAATTCAACACACCTTTAAGAACTACATTCCGTATGTGCCTGTTTGCAGGACCAAGTCTTTACATGTGGATTTTGTGGTGGTTGTAAAAAGCTGCCTTCTCTTAAAGAAACCGAGTTATTTCAAGTGATAAAGATTACTAAGGTGTAGTAAAAAGACTAGACCAAAAATTCCGCTGTGCCCAACATCTCATTACCTCAGCTCAAATTCAAACGATGCGTATACAGTGTTGTCTTACCTTTGCCTTTGTGCTTTTTCTGCTTCTGCTCACTTAATTTATCCAACGGCAGGTCACTGAGGTCCAGGCTATACAGGTTTCTAGCTAATACTTTAGTTAGTGTCTCCATTGTCAACGACCACTCAGTGGCCAGCTCTTCCCAGTATGTCAGAGATGACATTACAGACAGCAAGTCATCCCAAAGTTCTCGAGAGATGTACACATTTAGGTTCGCTTTGATCCAAGCTACTATAAGAGTCTAAAAGAATAAAGTGAGAAAAGTTGGGTTCTGAACATAAGATGACAGCCTTCAAATATCACCACTTAAAAAGAAGCTTCTAGTTGCCACAGAAATTTCTGCGCAGTCCTGACATTCTTTTCCTCACCAATACACACAGACTTTTCATGAATTATCAAGTGTTATGTTAACATGGGCTTCTGACTTAGATAGGGGAACAACTGCTTTCACTTCTGAAAGATCTCCTGGTATCTTACAGATTTTGCCAAAGAGCTCTGTAATACTGGTCTCAACTAGTTCTTATTCATATTTTGCGTATCCTTTTTGTAACTACTGCAGAATCTGTGGACTTCACAGATCCTCTTTACAGAGAAGCCATCACAACATCACTCTGCAACTGTAAACCAAAACCCATTGTCTCAGTGTCATTAAATATAGGACAGAAAAGTAACAACTGTAGCCAGTTCTTTAACTCACACCATTCACATTATCTGGGTAACATGCTCAATGACTTAACATGACAAATCAACCAACAGTGGTTGCTACATCTAATCTCTTGGTCAGAATTAAGCTGAATCAAGTGAATTTATGTTTAATTGCCTGGAAAAGAGGTCCTGCAAGTCTTCCAGCTAAAGTGAAGTTCTTTCTTCCTTGATACTGCAAGAAAGTTTGGGGTGGTATTTTCAGCACAGATTCAGTAACCCTGAGCAGCACAAGTAGCATCTGTTCCCTGCAAAACAATATTAAACTTGGAGTTACTGTTTTGTTACACTTCTGTATATACCAGGATACTTTTACAGATAATAACTGAGCTTGACTTGCTCAAACACATTCCAAACAGGACACAGTGATTACAAACAGCCTAACTTGGTTCTTGCAAATGAAATTGTTCCAATCTCCTTTTCACACTTAAAAGTGAAGAACCCCTGTCGCCCTCCAACATTTTGTGCCAGGTCATTCAAGTACTATTGCCTTCAGTGGCCTGAAATTACAGGCAAAGTTTTAATTATATTTCCAAACTGAGCTTTTACCTTTCTTTTGTTGTTTTTCTTTTTGGTATCAATGACAGGTTTTCGAAATGTTACATCATCATTAACACACTTCATCAATTGTTTTGTGTGGCACAATCTTTGCCATCACAGTCTAGAATCACCAGTGAAACTAGGGAAGAAAATACTAGTCTAATGGAATTTGTTTTCATTTATTACTCCCGAATTTCCCAGTGGTTAGCCTTGAGCTGACTCCTCATTTCCTCACAAGAGGAGACAAGCTTCACATGACATGTAATGCCAGCTCTACTAACCCAGAGTTCAGGAAATACCAGTGACAGACTGAATCCAAGTTAAAATGGAGTAAATCAGCCATTTGAAATCCCCTTGCTACTGCTTCCTTGCAACAGAGAGCAGTGGCAAAATACTACCTCATTAGAGCCAGAAAATAACAGAAATTAATTTGAAACTGGGTCTCTTGTACCTGCTAGGTACCTTAAGCAATGGAAAGGAACAAACCAGTTAAACAGTACACAGACTCCTGTACAAAATTACAGATCAAAAGCCATCCACATCTGATTATAGTAGTTCTCCATGCTTATCTGAGGACTTTTTGTTTATTTTCAAATAAGGCTGTGAAGCTTCATGTATGCTTTCATATTTAGTGCTTTGACACACAAGCAAAACTTGATAAAGCCCTTGATAAAATTCCTGAGTAGCTCCTTAACAGTATACTGTCTGTATATCCTAGCTTACTTCTTTTTTCCCTGAGGGCTAAGCTACCTCAAACTAACCAGGTTTTTAGTACTGGCTTTAATAGAGCTGATAAGCTGTTCCCCTGTGGTAAGTTGTCTGTGACGATAAAGTCCATATATTTACTGATTTAGAGAAACTGGTTCACACAGTCAATACTACTCTACTGTATTTACTGTCAATTTATCTTGTGAATAATTTAAGATAAAAGCATTAGCATTTTACCATGTCTTCTTGTCCATAGTCACTTGGACTACCATGTGACGGTAGATATTAAGAATGCGTTTACACATATCAGTGTGTTCATCCAGCAGAGCTTTAATTTCATTTGCAGGTTCGAGGAAGAATATATTTGAAGAATTTATTATAAAAACCTGCAAGTAGAAAAGAGTGGATGTTATGAGCTTGTAGCACTGTTACGAGTTTTCAGCAATTCAGTTGGCAGTAACCAGGAAAAGAAAAATCCATGATTAACAGAAAAAGTTGCATATGCACCCAGAAGTATACATTTAAATATGTTAGCTAGGTTAAATGAACCTTTGTCTAAAAAATTTCAACATCAAGAATCTTCTAAGCATTCTCAGATGTGTAAATCTTAGTAATAGATTGCAAATAGCTAAAGATACTTCACTGTTTCTTTTCTCAAAAACACTTCATAACCTAAATAGTCATTGTATGCAAAGATTATGAAATTAAAATTATTGTAACATGTTTGAATTTAAAAGCAATTTCAGTTACAAAGTTTATTTCTGTGTATAACAGTGTACAGCATAAAAGGAAATCGTATTCAGGAAATCATTCAAGCTATCATAAAATTAATGAGTTTTGATTAGCATAGTCACCCATGGTAAAAGTGCACACAGTGGAGTAGCAAATGCACATCTACTTTATTTTGTGTAGAATCAATTTTCTTCTGCATAAAAGAATATTACAGAGGCTACAGTCATATATATACATCTATATATATATATGTATGTGCATGTACATATTATAATACATCAAATGCACACATTTTATACGACCTTAAAAGTATTTCAAAGACCTTCAAATTCAAATTCTACAAGCTTCATGTTCTATATCCTCAACTTCAATAAAGCATTTTAGTGATTATTTGAAATATACCCTGCCAAATTTCCTGGAAGCAGAAAACTTCTGTTAAGGAACTTCTGCAACTCTCCCATTTCTTAAGGATATCACTGAAGTAGAGAGTTGTGGTGTCTGATCAAATTTTTCAAACACTTATGTACTCATCCAATCTGCGATTCAGACAAAGATGAGAAAATATCCCTGTACAATTTATTATTCAAATTAAGAAAACTGTAGGTTCGCATGTTTTGTGCGTTATGACTCATAGCTTAAAAGAAAAAAGCTTCTAAGCATTCTTATTAAACAACTAATTAGAATAATTTGATGATGTGGCTCTCAAATGAGAATTATTTTTCTGTGCTACAATGCAGAGCAGAATACATGCCCTGACGCAAAATTAAAAGATTTTTTTACTGTGTTATCCAACACTTGTATATACATTTTCCTACTTAAGGTCAAAAAAGACATAGAGAACCACTGCCACTATTCCAAAACCATTTGCCATCATACTTGCTAAATCTAAACAAATTTTTGAAATTCAGAGATGTTTTGAAGGAGCATGTGTTTCCCTTGCAGGAGTATTGCATTCTATTCCACCCCTTATGTACTGATAACAGGAGCTTTATTATTAGGATAAGAATCAGGTATCAAGTCTATTTCATACCTGCAATACTGACTGCACTCCAGCTCGTACATTTTGCTCTTCAGTATCAATTTCAGACATTTTATGCAAAGTGTCCTCATAACAGCCATTTCTTCCCCAGTTTGAATTTCTAACATGGCTGGAGTTCATCCCTTTTTCCTGAAAAATAATTTTTTTCTTAAAATCTTATAGATTTGTGGACAGATATTTTGGCTTTATATTAAAGGGAAAAGAACGCAATATATATTAAATACTAAACGATGGTAAACAGATGTTTAAGATGCATCTTAAAGACAAAACTATATTTTAAGAAGTTTGCAACAGTTATTTTAAAGTATCTGGATGAAATAACTACTATTTTCCTCATCCTTTTATCTGTATATAGTTTTTACACAGCTGAAGATTGTCATACTGCATAATCCACATATTGAGAACAGTTCATAAAACTACATGAAATTATAAATTGAACTAACCACATTAAAAATCTACAGATAACAGATCAAATTGTTAGTCCATTCATGCACTGTTTAATTACCACTGATTCGCTGCAACAGATGCTCTGACATCAAATTAAAGCACATATAACCCCTCGAGGAGGCCACTTCTCTGCCTACTAGCATATCCAAAAGATGCACAAATATTAAGCAACAATATTTTACCTCTTCTCTTTCTTTTGCTTTCTCTGATGAATTGTGGTCAACAACACTTTCATCGCAATCTGCAGTTGTGCACTGCATTACTTCTTCAGGTTCTTTCATAAATAAAGGCTTGTCTTCTTGCTGAATCCATTCTTGATACACCTTTACCACTTTCCTCATGGCAGCTGCTTCACATATTGGCAACAGAAATGCCTGTGAGTAGAAAAAGAAACAAAAAACCAGTTACAATACTTGAAATCAAGCTGAGCTCTATAATGTACAGGTTCTAAGGGATAAGGGGAGGGGGGGAAATACAGCCACTGTAGGATTTTAGCAAACAAATTACTCCTGAACCTAAATGCCTGCTCACTTCTTTATCTGTAAACTAGAAAAACAAAAAAATGTTTTAAATAGAAAACTGGTCAAGAAAGCACTTAAAAAAATTCACTGCCAAAGACAGAGCGATGAAAGTCCATACAGACATATTTACCTGACACCTAGCTTGCTGAAATTAAAGCACAAACACTCATCAAAAGTACGCAAAATGAACGAGCAGAAGTTTCTATTACATCTTCCATTCAGAGGACTTGCAAGAGAGGAGTTAAATCAGTTCTAAATGATGTAACAAAACATTCAAGTGTCATACATTATGGGTGGCCTTATTGTTAGCTAAATGAGATTTTACAAAAGGGTATAGTTAAAAGAAATGACAACGACTGCAGAATCATTGCTTCAAAAATTCATGCATTTGAGTCAGTGTGATGGCTAATCAGTGCCCTCTTCAGGATGCTTTCTGTATCTGCTCTACCGGTGACAACAACTTTTAACATTAGTCAGGTTTTAATCAAATATAAATACATTTACCAAAGACCATGGATGCCCTAATTATATTTTAAAAAAGAACGGATAAACTACACTAACACATAATTGTATGGAGTTCATCCTGTGAATGTTGAAAACTCTTTGCTCATGTCCTTAAGGAGTGTCTACTTAACAGAAGCAGTATGTTGTCTCTCTGGAAACGGACATTTCATACCAGTATTGCACAAAAAAGAATTTTGCTGTGTATTACAGAATTCATCTGACAAGTTTATCAATCACACATTATCACTCTACAAGCCCACATACAGTGGTTGTACCCTGGAGTCTAGAATGCATAAAACTTTTTCTACAGACAAACTTCCCACCATTCCATACAACTGAAACCTCCTCCTGACTGGAATAACATAGCCCTAATGTTTTAGAAAAGTTACAAATATGTGGCATATTAGAAATGAACTCACACCAAAAGCTTCTGGCTTCTGACTTAAATGAGAACCACACACAAAATCCATATAATGTACTAACTCACAGTGTGCCTTGTGAAAAGAACAAAGAAAATTGCCTCTGTCCCTTTCACTGAAGGGGGCAGTTTCTAAATAGACCATTAATAATTTAGACTCTACATTCAGCCTCTCAGACTCTGTAAATCCTTGAGTGGCAGCTGAATTTGGGTAACTCTTATCTCCTTCAGGAATGTGTCCAAGCTTTTCAACACATTGGATGTGGATAAGCTTCTGACATTTATTTGCCTCATTTAAAAGTATCCTTTTATCCAGTTATACTGGAGTTTTAAAATGTCTGCTTTTCTGCTGCTTAAAGTGATTAGTGCATTTCAATTGAAACTTAGTATATTTTTCTTTACTATTATCCAGAAAAATCTCTTAACCTTTTAGACCTATAGCACGGGCCCAAAGAAAGTCTATTTTGTTCTATTGCCTTGGATGCCCCATCCCTGGAAGTGTTCAAGGCCAGGCTGGATGGGGCTTTGAGCAACCTGGTTCAGTGGGAGGTGTCCCTGCCCACGGCAGGGGGGTTGAAATAAGATGATCTTTAAGGTGCCTTCCAATGTAAACCATTCTATGATTCTATTCTCCCACATTGAACTCAAAGTTACGCATTTTCACATTATAGAGACTCTATATTCTGGCATATGTTTTCAGTTTAGATTTGTTTAATAGTTTTGAGTTGAGAAATACTATTTGAGTATGCTCAGCTAACACTTCTGGTTGGTGTGAAGTCAGAAGCAGAAGCTGTTACCTTCTGTAGCCATCTGTCCCACTCTTCTGATGAACACTATCAAGGTAAGGACATTCAATTGTTCCTAGAACAGCTTTTTAACAGCTGCAAACTCCAAAAGGAGGCTTATTTGACTATGCTTGGTTGTGAGCTCTAATAGCTATGGGGTTGATGTATGAAAAGATCAAACACTCCTATGAACTGTAAAAGTCCAAGTTAAATGTTGTTGAACTGGTTATTAAAGAAATAAAATTAGAAAAATCAGGAACCACGGATATTCTGCACAGAATTTTAACAGTTCAATTCTTAAACCTTATAGGCAATATGACAGAAAAAAACCTGTACATTTATATAATGTTCTGCTTCACAAATGCTCTTGAAAGAAAATCATGACATAATTTATAGTATGATAATCAAGGTCATTCCACTCTATTGAAGGTTCTTTACCTGACGGAAAATCTCAGTTAAAAAATTAACATTGCTTCTTTTAGAAGAAAAGACTTTCCGGACAATTTCAATATCGGTTAAATGTTCTTCATCAATACTGCAGAGGCTGGAAGAACTTGGTTCTCTTTCTGTTAGAGTACTTGTATTGGAATGAGATTGTTCTGGCTCTACATTTCTATCCTGCTTATCAGCACTGTCATTTTTGCTGTCCTCCCTTGAAGCCATGCTAGCAGCTGCTCTCTGAAACAAAAATTAAAGAATATTTCACAGTTCATTTTTAGTACAACATTTGAACAGTACAATATAAGTTATACAACAATTTAATTTAAAACAGAAAGAATTCAGGAAAAAACCCAAAGATAGGATTCACTGCATTCCAAGGTTTCTTATGTCTACTCGATTAAAAACAAAAGAGCAGAATTTGAAACAAGCAAACAAAAAAGCACAGTGAGTCCTTCTAAAGTGAATTCATAAGAAAATTTGTTTAGAAACTCCTTTTTTTAATTCTTCATTAGTTCTAATTATTGGAGGAGGGCACACTGCTGACATAAAAATTAAGACAAAAACATGAAACAAACACTTTTTTTATACATTTGTTTTTACCTGAATATTCTTTGGCACATTTTCACCTTCCATCCCAGGAATATGAGGTCCTGTATGAGGTTTTGGCTCAAGCCAGAAAGACACCAACCATCGAATGACAATAACACGAGCCTTAATAAAAGGTTCCTTTGTGCAATATATTGCCTCATTGGTTTCAGCATCTTTCTTAACCATTACATAGTGTGGCTTTGGTCTCATTTGTGGTATATCTGTAAGTAAACGCATCATCTTAAAAACAAGTGCAGAGAGAAAGCAATCCTAAAACCATAACCAATACACATGAACTTTCAGAGATGCCTTTTATTGATATTCACTGCTGCACAACTCATCCCAAGATTTGCTGAAATGGACGCGATACAGAAAATTTCAGGACTAGACTGTAAGATATCAAAAAGCTGCAATTTTTTCCTGGAGGGAAACAATCTCTTTGGTCCAACCGACAGCAACTTGTTTCTGCTACGTAAAACCTTTAATTTCTTATCTGAAAGTGATTTCTATAGCCTTACCTCCCTGCTTGCATTTTTCCCTAAAAAAAAATAAATACTTTTTTCTGTTTTCAGCCTTTTTTGAAGCTACATGCTATATACTCAATATTTAAAGATAAACTTTAGCAAACTCACTACTTCACACTTTCATTGAAAGCTACAAAGGAGTTCTATAGCAAAATAACTAATGGTTAACTAGACTAGAATACAGCCTATACAAGAAAACTACTTTCATATAAAATTAAGATATTGTCAAGTTTCTTCGCTTTTTAAGAAGTGTTTATAGTTAGTTGTTGCTAAGAATTTATATAACTCATACCATTTTACAGCCTTTTAAGAGATGTATAGATCCTATATGTCACTTATCCTTACTACCAAACCTACTAGGAAAAGCGAATGCAGATGCAAAGGATCACCACATTTCCACATGCATCCCTAAAAAGATCTCTATGCTGGTCTGCAGCAAGCCACAACAAAGCAATATAATTAATGATAAGGGTCATCAGTGTTTTAGAGATACATATCCCAACATTTAATTATGGCTAGAGTGGCAGAGCTTTAATTCCCAGCTGTATTCTCACAGCAGCTGCAATAAACACAGTCTCTTCTGGCCCTGCAATAGATGAAATACGAATAGAACAGAAAGAAATTGTGCTCCAAAGCCATGTGAGTTTCACAGCATCATCTAACGCCACACCTGCACTTTGCTGCCAGAGCAAGGGCACCTCCATATTCTGTCACTGAGCTGAGAGATGATTCTGTGGCAATAAGTTCTGTACCAGCTTGCAGGGAACGTAATGAATCATGCCCAGGGGCATGCCAACTAGCAGGAATGTGGTTATACACTCCATTTTCTCCATCCCATTTCTACATTATGGTTCAGAACTGTTTAGTTCTTCTGGTTCTCTACTATGCTAGTGACAAAGATGCTGACAGTGCCATCAGTATTCCCGAGTCTGCTTCAGAATAGAAGTGATAGTCCTTAATAAGTCAATGTGGATGGGATTGACGCGTGTGGTAAAAACATTACCAAGACTGGGGGGTGGGGACACATGGACAGAGAGTTTTTAAATTGTGCACAGTGAGGATTTCTGCACGGAAAGATACCTAACAGCACAGTTCAACTCCAGCCAGGTATCAGCCAACTCAGCTCTGCAAAATGTCATTTCTGGGTTTCACAACCCAAGATGGTGAAAAAGAGTTTTGCAATACAAATCATCAATCTGAAGCAGCTACGAAACTTTGAGGCGCAAATTACATTTCCCTGGGAGTGCTGTGTCAACTCTAATCCTATTTGTAGAAGGACAAGTATAAGATCTGCTCTGATACAAAAAGTAGATGAAAATTTGTCTGAGAACTGATTATGTCATGTGCTGTCAGAACACTCCCTGCTGCTGGTGTTTCAGTATCGCTATTTTCATCTGGCAGCAGCACACACACAAAAAAACCCCACGCAAAAATAAAACCAACAAAAAAACAAAAAGGAAGCATGGCAAATGACAGTCCAATTCAGATATGGAGAGGGACAGATTCAACAGACCTGGAATTTCAGTACTTCCTCAACTCTTCTATAGCTCATGGTACATGAGGAAGAGATACGTCCCATGGTTTTACAGGCCAGAAAGAAGTTCAAAGATACTGACACTGGGAGTCAAAAAAGATGCAAAGTAGTCATGCTGAAGAATATGAAGTTGTTCCCTGACTGCATCTTCCTAATGCAAGGTCAAGAGTTCTTTTAAGGGATCCAGCATAACTTCTGCCAGGTTCATAATCCAGGCAGAACAAAACTGGATAGCAGCACAGAAATAATCAGCTACAATTTAGGCAATTAACGTCTGACAGCCATTCTTTTAGGCATTTGAAGTGAATGCAGCCTACCTGCCAGGCTGCTGTAAACACTTCCTTGTTAACATTACAAATACACAACATAACATCCAGCACCAGCATTGAGGATATCCAAGCTGGTATATCTCAGTGTCATTTCAACAGCCACAAATAAAAATAAACTCATCATGATGCTGCTAAACTGAGTAATGTTTCCAGAATAGATTTTAAAGTTACATCCACTATTTTTAATGGAAGCATTATTTTTAGAGGGACAAACTGTATGGCTCTTGCATACCACCCATCTCAGTATATAACAAATGAACAGAATACATTTTTTAAAGCTTGCAATGAGTTTATTTCCTACAAGTAAAAACCAATACATTGTTTTCATTCTGTGGAAAGTAGCAAGAAAATTAAAAATTACTATTATCTTAAACAGAAGTATGTATAACAGCACAATCAGCGAAAAAAGGAAGCAAATGCCTGCTAGTGCATCATTTAAAGATGCAAAAATCAGTTCTCTCTGGCATCTCTAAGTATTCAGCAGGGTCTGAAGGCTGCAATACTGGCCATGCAGTAACAGCACTCAGACAGTATTTTCAAAGGGACAAGACATCCAGCAGACATGCAGTAAACACGTCTTTGTAGCACACTGTCTCCTTCTGTAGTTTCATGATATCCTCTCAGGACATCCTCTCTTTATATTCTCTCTCAACTGTATTAAGTGCTGCAGCTGCTTCTTAAATGTATCCTCCTTCAGTCATTTCTTGTATTTTCACATTTCTCTCCATCTTGGAAGTAGGTGTCAAGGCTCCGGATGAGGACACTGACATAAAACCAAAGCAAACCAGAGGCTGAGTGACTCAAAACAGCACAGGAGGAAATATTCCCTTGACCCAGCTGTCCATTTTTCCTCTCTATTTCGTTTTGGGCTTTCCCCACCCGCCCTCCTCCCACTCTGGGAACTTGGTGTGAGCTGGTGCCAAAAAGTGCAGGAAGCTGTAGATAGTGGAAGAGATAGACAGGGCAGAAAATGAAACAGCTAGCAGAAACACAGTTAAAATGGTGGACGCTTGTAGTTTTGACCACATTTACTTTTTAAGGCAAAAAAGGCTTCGGAAGGAATGAAGAACTGCAGGACAGCCCACTTTATTGCTTCCCTGTAAGTAAAGGGACCAAATCTAAATGGTTTGGAAATGGCACAGAAAGGCAAGTTACTATGCCCCTGGAATCTTACTGCCATATCTGTAGTTCTTACTAAAGAGCTTCCAAAGACTGTATTACAGAATCTAACCAGATGCTAAAAAACATTCAAAACAAAACAAACAATCTGATGGGCTCTTCTAACACTGTCTTGCTCTTCTAAGCCTGCAATACTTCTTGTAACTGGAATGCTCATTGCTGTAGCTGATATATGAAAGTCTGCTTTAACAGAAAGAAAAAGAATATAAATCTCAATCCAATATACTCTCTCCAGTAAAGCCCGGTATGAACGTTTGCTTACTAAAACTACTGTTTTGATTTGTAGCTCATGACTTCTCCTAAACTAAACATTACACCAGTAGCATAAGAACTGTTCTCAGTAACAGGCTCAGTGTCCAAGTTTACCCTGTTTTCTGCCTAAACGATGTCAATTTTGTTCAGAACAGGCACAGGATTATTTTCAAATAGGGTGGCGAGAGGCATGCCAGAGAAGAACTTCTTACAGGAGAAAAGACTATTCTACTCACCAGTGTTTCTGTTGTTTTCATTACTATATTCTTCCCAAAATCCTTGGCATTGTTGTTGACTTTGCACAGTTTAAGGCACTGACAGTAGTTTTGGAGCTCTGTGCCCATTTCTTCTTCTTCTTCTTCCCCATTGTCCTCTTCTTTATTAAGGCCTTGGAAGTTTCTTGTTTACGGCTCACAGAAAAAGAGAGGACTACACTAACACTTCTGTGGAAGACTCAATCAAGATCTTCCTTGAACAAGAAATGTGGAAATGATATTTTCTTGTTCTGTGATGTCAAGCAGCAGCAGGTTTGCTTTCTCAGCATTGCTCACATCCCTCTTGTAGCTATTTTATCACTGAACCTCTTCAGTACCTTCGAACAACTCTTGTTCTGCTGTTACTTATGGCTCACTTTAGACTGTTTCTTCTCCCCTACATGAGAAGGTCCAGTGTTTGTCTTTCCCTGGAGAACATGGTTTTGAAACATCCATCTCTGAAGAAAGCCACAGTCCAAATACATGTACATGGACTGGCAGAAAGAAGGACCTTTCCAACAAACTTCCCTGACAGCTTGATTTTAGAATATGAAATTGCAGCTGGAGATCACTACTAATCCTTGTGAGACGCTGCATCAGCAGGTAAGAGGAGCAACGAGGTGTCCAGATTATTCAAGTAACAATATGGCAGCTTAAAGCCTGCGTACGTGGCATTGCTTTGCAAACAAGAGTCTTGAACTCTGCTGGCTTACAAACAACACGTGCACAGATGCATGCAAACCTGAGCTAGCAGAATCAAGATATGCAAACAACGTTCTAGTTAAGAATGGGCTAAAAGCCTCTGAGCAAAACTCTAGTTAGATTTGCTTAACAAACACCAAAAATTCCACTCTCTATGGAAAGATATATTCTAGCACCATCAGCTTTGAAGATCACGTTAAACCCTAACTTCCTCTTCCTACTGCAAGCTCCTGACAACATACAGTTGATACAAAAACATAACTAACTTTGCCCTGATTGAATTATGAGCAAACACTGCATGATGTGAAAGTTATGATTCTGTACAGATAAAACCAACATCCCTGAAACAACAGCCCACTAACATCTTTTATATAAGCAGCAGCAGTTTCTCTTCAGAGCACAATTTAAACCAACAACAGGCATCAAAGAACTATTTTATGAGAACATTTAATTTACCTTAATCAGTTTAATGAAGCAAGGTTGACTCTAATGAAGGAGTCAGTGCCTCCATGAACAGAGAATTGAAAACCATGAACAGGAACTGTAACATGTTCTTTCATAAGAAATATTTTTGGAGAATGTTCTTTATGAGGAACACGACTCAAGCAAAAACTGCTTTGCTATACTCTCTATTAGAGAGAATGTTATGATTTTATCAGGTGTGTTAACACTTACCAAGTATAGGGTTATACAAGCTGGTCTCCTTACAGATGTTTGGGAAAATGGAAGGTAAGTAGTACTTCTTAAAATTTGAGAACAAAAATGAAAATCCCTTTTCCTGGTTTTCCTTGTTCTTCCATTCTAAACTTTTAACCTTAAAAAAAGAAGTTATATAAAGTAAACATTTAGAAGTAGAAGAGAAAGATGACTGATGAAACACCTTCTTTATAAGTTATTTATTTGGAACAAAATCACATGCATTTTAATAAACACTTTTAGAAAGATGCAACAGAAACTAGCTAGGAAGTGTCAATGAAACAAAGACCTTTCTCTTCCAAAATGCTGCTTCAAAATTAACTTTAACACATCATATACTGAAACAAATAGAAATATATCTGCTTTTATGGTTATCTTGCCAAGTCACAGAGTAAACCCAAACTGACTGTTTTTAATGAAATTGGTTTTTTATTTCAAAATGTTTTATAAGAAAAGGACAATTATCTGTGTTACTCTGATCATTTGTTTGACAATTTCTTTTAACACATCTTGACTAACAAGTGTCCATATATAATATGAAACAAACAAGTTTGCCAACCACAAGTAGCAGAATATACAACTTTAAAGTTGAATTACACAAATCTACTTTCATAGATCATAAGTGCTAAGCCTTTCCCATTATAAAATGTTTTCCTACTGAAAAGCATGATAATTTCTCCTTAAGAATAAACGAAACATGCAGTTTCCATGTTTGTACTGGAGAATCCATCTGCCTGTAGAGTTGGATAATCTGTCAAATCTACTATAAATAATAAAAAGGAGGTTTCAGAACAATTCAGAAGACAAGTGAAGATTTTCTAAAAGAATTTGCTTTTTACAAAGGACACTTTTTGGGGGGGGGAATGGGGGTGGCAAGGCGGAGGGATGTTTAAAGCATTTGTTTTTTTAACATACACGTCTACAGTACTACTAGTAAGTATCTTCTTGTAACGGACCAACAGTTGTTAGTTGTTTCATACTACTTTGCTTGAAAACTATAAAACATACCTGAATTACTATGTATTTCAAAAGTGCTTCTAAGAAATAGCTTGTTAAATCTTCTTGTCCTTTATCTCCTGATTGTGGAGGAACAAGGGGAGTGATTTCCTCTATAGTCACTTGAGCTATTAAAAAAAAGTACAGCTAACATTTAGACCATTTCTTCTCATGTGTAAATAATGACCAAGGTATCAAAACAGAAAAAGTAGAACTGTACTGGGGTAAGCAAAGACAGTTGCAGGCAAAATAATCCACCCTTAGATTAATGGAAATTAGGGAAATTTAGCTAGTAAACCACCATAGAACTGATTTCTTACATGTGTAAAAACATAGCCGATAATTCAGTATTCCCTATGCACCTTACGAATCTGCCTGCCAAACACAATTTTTCCAAAAGGCATAACCCTTTTCTTTTGGAATTTAGGTAAACAGTAGCATAACATTTGTGTTTCCCAAATGCCAAATCATTATTTGCATCTCTCATTTTCTTCATTTAGCAGTTGATCACAGTTACATTTCTGTGAATTTTTATTAGCTCCATGCTTCCTTTACCTCTACAGTGAAGCTAGTTCAGAGTTTATTTTTCTCTTGTTCCTGTAGTTAGATGTTCACACTCCACTTTTTGCACTCTGCATTTCTATGCTGTTATACCTATTCCTCCTTTCCTGCTGTAGAGATGTAACACAAGACCACTCCAAAACAGGGCAAACTTATCTGCAGAGCTATTCTGCCACAAAATCCATCTGCTAAGTCAGCTTTGTTTCAGTGAATTTAATTGCCAGTCAAGAAGACACTGCTTTCTTCTACAAGCAAAGCTTGTGTCAGCTGTAAAATATTGGATGGAGCTAAAAAAAAAAAAAAGGCAACCATACCTAATGATCAGAAGGAAAAGTGGTTAGCTTCTTATTCACATTTATGTGAATACCCAGTTTGCACTTATGACCCATCAAATTGCAATTTGTTAATAAATGAGCTTAAAACCCTACTAACAAAAATAAATTGAGTTAGCAGGCAAGAGGCTCCCCAAAGCTACCAGCATCTGATACTTACTGCCAGAGTGAACAGTCAAAGGAAAATCTGTCATTAGAATTATCTTAAGAGAAAAATCCTCAGAACTGATTAATGTTACCAAATTACTTACTTTCTTGAACATTAAGTGGAGGGTTAATGAGATTATCTAGTGTTCGTGGGCCATATTCAGACTGTGGTGATGAAAATCCAGGAATCAAGCAAGAAAACATCCATAGTTGTTCTTTACTACAGTTATTCTGAAGTGCTTGCAGCCACAAAAGAAAGAGACGCACACCCTCTCGTCGTATCTTAAAGGAAAAAAAAAAACAAAACCCAGAACAAGTTAACTTGTCCCAGAACATACAGAAGCATTTCCATTTGTCCTGGATGGCGAAGGAGAGTGGGGGTAGTAGAAAAGATGATGATGTACAAACAGCATGACCACCAGCAGTCAGCAGAGCAAAGCTAGCACATCTGCTGCTCCTGCTGAAATGCAAGGACAACCCTGGCACCTTCACTGCTGTTTGCCTCACAGAATCTCTTTCAAAGGGCTTTCTCGGAAAGAAGAGGAAGAAAACCAACACGAGTGTAATCACTTGTTTAACAGCAGCAGTGCAAGACATCTTGTGAATTTTTCAGAAAATACAAAGATCATAATAAAATTTCGTAACGTGTTTGTGAGTTAAGACAACAGAGTGAGCTCTCTGCAGCAGAAGGGCCCGTTCTACCCTCTTCAAGGAAGGTGGTGAAGTCCTAGAGCAGTCCCCTCCTGTCTCTCTCACTGGAGAATTTCAGCACCAGCCAAGCCTGCATGTGGTTTACAGGAGTGGCATGGCTGGTTGCTGAAGTACCAAAACTACATGTTACACCTGGGTGGCTTTTGTCCCATGGTCAACTGTTATTACACTACCCACCAACAGGTCTATTTTCCCTAGATAATCTTCCACTTCCAAGACAGCCTGAGCCCCAAAACCAGTTTTCTTGCTCCTAATAATGAATAGTTAAGGCTTACTTCTGCTTTAATGCAAATCCTTCAACCATTTACACACATTTTTAACTTGGCTACTCTATATAAGAACATTATTACTGTAAGTAGTTCTACTGAGGTAAAGCTGATGATCTAAAGTTATTTTTTCATGACACACAAGTCATGATCTGCTTCTCATTCCTGTGGCTTTACCATAAAAATTCATCCATATGTTTTTACTTGCATTTTAAAGTTTTTTTAGACAAAAGTAGCATGCAATTTCTTCTAATACCTTTAATGAATTTCCAGTGTGAAGAAGCTTCTTTAAAATCAACCCTAAAAAGAAGGAAAAAAAAATTTTTGTTTGTTTGTTCTTTCTTCATTAAGTAAGATGTCAGAGTTCTCGGTCAGACTTGATAGTAACTTTTAAACAAGTCCTTGGCAACCTCCAATTTAATCTCGGTGAACTTGATATCCTCAGGCAACTCTCTCAATGCCAGAAGGAAAAAAAAGATCACCTTTCATAGCTTCAGCATAACCTATAACATCTTTCCCCAATGACTTCTTGGGATGCATACATTAGGGGGGAATGATTCTTCAGTCATTAATGTGCATAATAGCAGTGTTCCCCATTTACAAATATAGACCTCACCCCAATTTTAAAATTTATTATTAGAAATTATAAAACTTAGGCATTTTTAGGATTTAATTAGAATTTTTTCCTAATTAGAATTAGGAAAAAAAAAATTACAATGCAACTTTTCACCTGCCTTTGTTCTATTTCCAGATTTGCAGCTTTAATTTTACCTAGAACAGCATCTCATTACATTGGTGGGGTTTTTTGTTTCTTTTCTTTCTTTTCTTTGTCTAGCTTGCAAGAGTTTCAAGACCATAATCCCTCTATCCTTGTTATGCCACTTAAAGGTTAAGGAAATGAACAGCACAAACTACTAATAGCTACTGATAAAAAAATAAGATTAAAAAAAAAGAGAAAGAAAAAAAGAAAATCTACTTACCAATACTATGAAATTGCCATCTCTGATGAATCCTTTCTGGGAGAAGTTGCAAAATTTTCTATAAAAAACAGAACCCAGGGATCTCTATTGCAGATATCACACTCGGAAGATCAAAGAGCAGTTGCACAAAGGCCACAGATCAGAAGATGAAGGGGGAACTTAAATTTCTCCACTGCCTTCCTTGGAAGCATTACTGTCCTCTCTTATTGTAAATAATCTGATTTCCCAAGAGAAATTCTGATCCTGGCCCTCTAGAAGCCTGTGCAACTGCTTCCAAAGCACGGGGCACCTAATACACCGGTATGTAGGATCCGGTGAAAAAATTAATCAGCTGTCTTCAGACTCACTCTCCTTGCAACAGCTACCCTACAGTTTCAAGCACCAATGTATCTTAAAAATATAAAACAAAAAATACTGAATTTGTATTCAGCTCTACATATTTTAGAAGCCTCCATCAAAAAGGAAAAACGAAACCTTGACATTCTAAACTCAGAAATTATTTTATTTAATTAAATTAGTTTCCAATTCATTATATGCTTTTGTTAAGGATATTGTGAAATGCTATTTTCAAATAATAAATCTTTTTAAAAAATAAAAGGGATCTATAAAAACCAATTCTGCAGCAGTAATCTACTATGAGAAAAATCACTGGGACCAGTACTGTTCAATTATCTTCATCAATGACATAGATAGTGGGATCGAGTGTACTCTCAGCAAGTTTGCAGATGACACCAAGCCGAGTGGTGTGGCTGACACACCTGAGGGATGGGATGCCATCCAGAGGGACCTGGACAGGCTCAAGAAGTGGACCTGTGTGAACCTCATAAGGTTCAACAAGGCCAAGTACAAGGTCCTGCACCTGTGTCAGGGCAACCTCTGGTATCAGTACAAGCTGGAGGATGAAGGGATTGAGAGCAGCCCTGTTGAGGACTTAGGGTGTTCGTGGATGGAAAGTCGTATATGAGCAGACAATGTGTGCTCGCAGCCCAGAGGGCAGATTTAGACTAGATACAAGGAAGACATTTTTTACAATTAGAGTGGTGAAGCACTGATACAGGTTACCCAGAGAGGTGGTAGATACCCCATCCCTGGGAAGGTTCAAGGCCAGGCTGGACTGGGCTCTGAGCAACCTGATCAAGTCAAAGATGTCCCCGCTCATTGCAGAGGAGGTTGGACTAGATGATCTCCTAAAGATCATCTTCCAACCAACCGAAACTATTCTATGATAACATGCAATCAAAAGATCCCAACTAATCAGAGATTGCATTTATAACAATTTCAAAGTGTACAATACATGGTGGGGAAAGGGAGAGACCACCACCACAAAGTAATGAACTATCTGCAGATGCAGAAAACATCTTTTTCCAGTTAGACATCTTCCTGCAAAACTGCAAGTCAAATTTTTCTTCACACAAAACATATATATACAAGCATAAGGAAGGCAGTTAAGCATAACGTGTATTTCCAGGCAACTGTAGGATAGCTGTGCTGTTATTATTCAACAGGATTTAATTCAAAGTAAAAAACTCATACAGGAATATTCAAGTTATCTTACCTCAAAAATAAAAAGAATAGAATCTAATTCTTCTCTCTGTGACTTGTGACCTAGATGCAATTAAAAATAAATAGAAGACAGAGTTTCATTATCAAAACAAAATGTAATGAACACTGACAGAGATCCTTAGATGTCTAAAGCAAAAACATGCATTTCTACAACCACAAGAATTATTCTGCATTCCTTCTGCAAGTAAAAAAAGTATATTTCCTAGTTACAGTTTACCATAGTTACTTTCCATTATGGCATCAACAGCTGGTAGAGATTAAGCTACACAGTATCTTCTTAAATAAAACTTAGAATAATTATAGAGAACACAGAAAGTATAACACCTTAAGAATCACCACTTTGCAAAAGGGCAAAACCAGCTATCAGAGAATAAACTCTCCTTGTTCACCTCCATGGCAGACACATCTAATTGCTCTGCCTTTCTTTGCAATGTTAGTGCTTACAGATATTGCTACACAACTAGTGGTGTCATCTGTGACCAAAGACACCATGCTTTTTTTATAACACCCTGCTTTATTTTATAATAAACACAGAAGCACAGACACAGAAATACTGTTCTATTTGAAATACTTACCTTTTTGTTTAAGGCCTACTTCAATAGTCACAAAGTTTTCAAAGAACACATAATATATATGTGAGAAATGTAGGTCGAAAAACTGTTTGAGATCAATTGATTCTGCATTCTCTGAAAAATAGAACAGAATATTGTTTTTTATTTCTTTCAAATATTTAGACTCAACCACTGCATACCTTTATCCAGCAGTAAGAACTGAAGATATTTAAAAGAAAAATTATTATTGGCAAAGAAGTTCTTGAAGTTTTCGTTCTTTCAAACTGAAGCTAAAGAAATTCAATATGGGACACCATAAGCACTTACTGCATTAAAACAGGAAGCAGTGCCTTCTTGCACAGCAGTGAAGGCTGCAAGCTCCAATGATGAAACAGAATTTCACCAGGACTAGAACTATACAAATGAATGCTGGTTTAATTGTTAAAATTTAACAGAAATAAAGCTAATGACCCTGCCCAAACTCCAGAACAGAAAGGCCATCACTGTCCCCAACTGTAATTACTAGACAGAACTAAGTTTAAGAAAGTAGAAGGATGGTAAGTGAGGATGTGCCTCTGCTCTGTAGAGAAACAGGTTGGGAGGAAGCAAACAGTTGCACTGGATTCCCACTGCTGCCTCCAAGTTCCAATATGTACTTTCCTTTCCAGTCTGACCCAGTCCCCCATGCTCCTTTGATTGTGTGGTCTCAGGAGACCAGAGACAGGTGGAAATATCATTGCGAGCGTAGACAGGACGTGCTTTCTTGTGCATCCCAGTGAAGTTTCCAGACTTGCTTCCCACAGCCCCCCTAGACAGTTTTGTGCACGTTCCCAGTTAAAGAAATACATAACGATTTACCTAGATTAAATTGATTAAAATTAAATTGATTGTTTAAAACAGTCAATTCTTTCAAGCCTTAGTACACACTGAACCAAATGACACTCCCTGTCCTGTTATTTACCTACATTAGACTAGAGAAACTAGGTGGACAGAACAACAGTATGGAAGCACAGAGGAATAGGGAGACAGTATTTTACTGGGCAAAACTCTCCCCTTTCAGAATATGGACATCAAACAACAAACAAAAAAAAAAACCCAAAAAACATGAAGAGAGGTGAGGGAAAAAAAACCTTTATACCCTTCACCAGCTCTATACACTGAGGCATCATCTTTCACTGCAGGCAGAGCTTTAAGTCCCCTTCTAATTCTTTTCTGGATCATCATTTCAGAATTATGTCAATCTTTATCTCACATGTCTGGATATACAACTGGTAGAGTATAAAGAAAGAAACAATCAGTTGAAAAGATGGCCAGAAGCATGGCATATTTTCAATTCTATTTTATTATGTAGTTCTATACATCTGCCCAACTCAATTTTATGACAAACCTTGTTATAAAAGTTTCAAATACATGTTCAGTTTTTGCAGTATCACAGCATTCTGCCAATATCTTGCATAATCAGGGTGGTGGAGCCAGAGTGCTCTTGGAGAAGACAGTGCTACATTAACAGCTGAGATCAACTCTGAAAGCAAGGCATCGTAGCCAGTAATAAACATAGTGGTGCACAGTGGCAAGTGTGTGCCTGACCATCTACCGGATTGGTAATCTACAGGTTAGGTAATCTCCAGGATTAGCTAACTGCCAGTTTTGCAGAAACTGCTGCACCACTTACAGACCTGCAGCTTGAGCTTAGAGCCCAAAATATTAAAGTACAGACAAGAAAAACAAATTCCACTTTAAACAAACTAAACCACGATTTTCAGGAGGTCAGGGCAAGCAGACAAGAAAGGGAGCTGTGACAGAGCATAGCCACAACTATTATGTCCACTTCCACTCACGGGGCAGAACCCTAAGCAAGTTCTAGACTATGGACATGAAAATAACAGCAAGATGCAAATTGGAAGGTTTTAAGACAGGAGGATTAAAGGGAAAAGAAAGCCATGATTGAGACTTTCAGGAGACACGAGGGTGGCACAAAAATGTTTAATCCCATACATTTAACTGCTATACAGAGTTACAGAAAACAGTGGAATGGTTCACATGATGTGAAGGAGCAGAGAACACTAGTCCTGATTACTAAAGAGATCAGCAGCAGTTAAACAGGGTCTCTGCCAGTCAACACGCAGGAATGTTGCATTTTTGCAGGCATATTAAATGTTTCATTTCCAGAAATAGCCCTTGTTCTTTCCCCAAACATGGGTCAGCTCTGAAGCAGACAAATAAAAAAAAACCCAAACCAAAGTTATTCTTTAAAGAAGACTCAATCTTAACACAATAGTTTGGACAAGCTATTTTGGACAAGCTATTCCTAGATTCCTCAAGAGACTATTTAAAGGCTTACCCACATAACCAGCTGAATGGTGATTCTCATTTTACCATATAATTACTGTGTGACACTTACATGCATACAAGTGGCACTGTGGTAAGGTGTTCTGCCCTTCCAGAGCTCTGTCTCGGGGGAATTTCAGACGATGGTCTTTTTTATTTACTTCGTATTTATTTATTTAAGGGCAATGTGGTGCTAATCACCTCAGAAAAGACTCAGAGCAGCACTGGTAGACCTCTGTTATTGACTCCCAATTAACACCAGAGCATACCTTCAGAAGACAGCTATAGCTTTGGAAGATTAGGATGAAAGTCAAAGATTCCTTGAGTTCACAACTTTTCTAGCAAGTCTGTTTCACCTTGATTTCTTCCTAAGGTAACACTTGTTAACACTTGGTGGCATAAACAAAAGCAAGTTTTGGGCATTCAAACAAATAGTTAACAAGTGGATTCTTGCTCTAGGTTCTATTGCTTCAGATGGAAGAAAACAAAACAAAACCACAACATTTTATTTAAGGGCAATTACATGAAAATAATACTTAAAAAACCCCAACCAACCAAAACAAAAAGTCCAGCTATTCGCCGCTGTTAATGCCTTTTTCATTAATCAAGAATCTAATACTTTTTCCCTATTGAGTGTTTCTAAAATGTTTAGTTCACCTTCATCCTTGTGATCAACTAAAGATAGAGTTCTTAAATTCTCTCATCTTAAACCACTTTCTTCAACACTAGGTCATTGTCTCTTTTCTATGCTCTCCCGAAGTATCATGAATGCTGCATACAGAGGTAAAAATCATTTCCTCTAAGAGGAGCATATGTGTGTCCTTTTCACACAACCTTGAACTGGGAATTTGCAGGAAGTTGCTTGGCTGCTTTAGCTACTTGATCTATTCTGCCTTTTTAAGAAGGGAGACATAGCCTTGTTTTTACATGAAGTGGGATTATGCAGAAACTGCCTTTCCTCCCTAATTTACCGTTCATTTTTTTATTTATTTTTAAACAAAAGAACGTTGTATTCTCCTAGCACAGATTCATGTAACTAAAACTAATGTATTCCTTGTGTTCTTGGCACTTATGCCCAGATTGGGAAGGAGGAGGGAGGACTCAGAAATAGCTCTGTCACTGTATAAAATAGTTAGAAAAATTTCTTAGAATGGGAGAGGGAAAAATAGGACAATATATACAGATTACTTAAATAAAACTATTACATATTTATAAATGAGTTGAGATAGCAAGGGGAACGCATCTGTACTATTTAGATGATTGCCCACTGTATGAAATTAAAATATTATAAAGCAGGTAACCTGGAACTTTCTTCACAGGACAGAACTTTACGAGGTGAACAATCAAAATACTGAACTTAAAACTGAAACACCACCACACCAGATCTTAGGTATCTATTAACTTTTCCAAAGAGAACATTAACATTCACCAGTTCACACACAGCACTGCAGTAATTTACCATGTTTAGCATTTAACAGAACAGTCTACACCATTACAGACCCAGTTGTGGTTAATTTCACCTTTGATTTTAAGTGTTTCAGGATTTAATAGTATGTTTATACATAAAATTGCTACAGCACATAGCATAACAAAAACATTATCCTGTCTCATTCTGACACTTAATGGGTTTTAAGTCACTTTCCCCTCATCCTTAACCAAAATAAAATACAAGTGACAACTGCAGCAAACAAAGACCTGGAAGACAGCCAGGCTTCTAGTTCTATTTCTGTAAGTGGAGGCCCGCTATAGACTGAAGGGTTCAGTATCAATTCTCATAACAAACTGGTGCCCTTAGAAAGCAAGAGGTTTCTAAGTGCCCTCAATTTCAGTTAACATACAAGCAAAACAGCCAACAAAACTTACTCATTCTTAATTCTCCAAGCTGGAAAATTTAATGTCTACTTTATAGCAAAACAGTACGGAGGCACAGTCTCTTTAATAGAAAAGCATGTCATTTAGAAAGGTTAAGTGGAAAACCTCCGGAACTAACTGATGGCTCTGGCATAGTTAACAGACTGTCAACGTGAAAGAGACCTGATGACAAACCACAGCGTTTCAAATAGTGAGCTACAAATGCAGATCTATTAAACAAGGGTTTCACATTAGCCATTACTGTTTCAGATCACTAACACCTATTTAACAAAAACAATTCATTTTTTTTTAAAAGGTAATTTTGTCAAAGAAAATATTACTGAGGTTTTTGGTACTGAAAAAGGCACACACTTCAAGAAATCTTTTAATGGACTTCTATTTAGCATCAGACAAGTCTGAACTTGTCTGATCACCACCATCTTTTAGACACAAATATCCAAGAAAAAAAAAAAATCACAAATAAATAAGCAGGTTAACAGCATCAACGAACATTATCTACATACAAACTGTTACAGATTTCAACACCAGTGCTCTACAGGAATGAGCAGAGGCAGCTGACAGCTCTCCAAGCTAATTCTTTCAGGTTGCTTGCAGACTCCAGAAGGGTTACGCTCATGAACTTTTAAAAAATGCTTGCATAACAACTCACGCATGTTCTAGGACTTAAGTTTTTCTTTAAGGAACTTCAAACACTTCCATAGTAATGGACTTATTTTCATTCCAAACTGCCACAAGCTAAACCTACACGGACCTTTCCTTCACATCCAAGCGGCTGGAGCTGCCCCTTTGGCTTTGATGTGACTCCAGCCCTTACGCCCCCACGCCCACAGCACTGCCCACTGCCACTCTCTGCGATTTGAGTGTGACATTAGCCAAAATCCCAAAGCCAAGTAATTCTTCCTCCTTTCCTCCTGGCCAAAACAGAGCAGAATCGGTTTGGGGTTTAGTCAAGACTGACAGAACATCAAGTCTGATTTCTTAAACTGCGCTCAACCCCCAGCCAAATCCATGAATTACAGCAGTGACATGTCCTCTGCAGTTAGAATTATCAGGAAAAAAAAAAAAAAAAAAAATCTACAACTCTTGCCAAAAATAATACAGCCTTGCACATCCACAGAAACTTCTGGAACAGTAATCTCCCAAAAAAATTCCAGGCAGCTGGTTTTGCTGTAGCTTCTCACTCGCCTCTCACTTTAACGACCATAAAACATTTTTCATTTATTATCGTATATAACTGACACTGTAATGAGTGATGCTGATGATGTACAACACCAATGAACGGCATCCAGCTGAAGCATTAGGGCTGACTGCCAGTGAAATAGATTTCTTAAATTAAAATCCCTTTAGGCAAATGCAATCTCTCTTTAAGTATATTGTTTAATATTAAACAATATATCAGAATGGATATCCGATGCAGCTTGCTTCATTCTGTCCGGTATAGCTTGTCTTTTCCCTTTCAGAGATCACTTACATGAGATGTCAAGCGCTAACAACCAACAAGAATAGCAAAACAAAACAAGAAAAAAAAATAATCAGCCCACACTTCAAATACTCTGTTCTCTCAGCATTACATTTTACAAGCATTCTCTCCATGGTTCCAGAGACACAAGCAGTGCATTTTTAAGATATCAGATGCAAATAAAATAATTTATGAGAAACAATATATTCCTTTTTCCTTTACTCTGGACTAACATATTACAGGCCTGTGACTTCTGCTCTACAAAAACACAAAGAAGGAAGAAATTCTTTTAAGAGTTTATCCCTGAAAGTATATTCATTTGACTAGCTTCCACATAGAAAGATTTTGCAGAAATTATTAAATATTTGGAGATTTAAAAAAAAAAAACCAAAAAACAAAAAACATACTTTTACAAATTCTGACTGAAACTACATATTCAACAGGTAGCAGCAATGTATTTTATATCAAAACTAGAAAACAAGAAGTCAATATTGTTAAGGTACGACATTCTGAAAGGGTCACGTATCTAGCTGCCTTAATAATTTACAGAGTTCTCAAAGCACTGTTTTAACAAAAGGACAAATGAGGCATGTTTTGATACTTGAAGAATTATTAGAGCAAACTTTTATGAACTACCATTTTAAGACCACAAAATTTTAGTTTAATGTTGAAGTCTGATTAAACAGTGCAACACTGATTATAAGAACAATGCAATATTATTTCCTCTTAACGATCCTAAAAACTGCAATCAGCTGCTAATTCACTGAAGACTGCTAAATTTATTTTTTTTTTCCTGGAAAATCATAGGCTTCATTCTGCAGGGAATACTTAATTCTGTAAGGTACACTGTGTGCCTCCACTTCCATCTGGCTGGAAAAGCCTTGGTGATCACACCTGCGGTAACTGGGGCTGGCGGCCTCCCTTACAACAGGGCCTGTTACTTTCATCTGAACCATTCCCATCTCTAAATCTTCTATACCCTGACTCCAGCTGCAGTGATATTTGATGCAGTGGTACACAGCTGTTTCACAAAAACACAGTATTTTCTATATTCTTTATGCAGTCAGACTAATTCGCATTTTTTACTAAATTTAAACCGAGTTATCACCAATGACAAGATACTTTTTCCTGAAAAATGACACAACTCACTGCATTCTAAGTTATCTTGTAGAAGATATTTAAATAATTCCATCTAATGTATACTACTTTTTAATTTGTTAAAAATAAACGTCCCTTGTCTTTGTACTATGCATTCACTCAGCTTCACATTAGGGTTGTCTGAAATTGGTCAGTTTCTTCTGCTCTTTACTAACAACCACATTATACAATCCTAAATATTTTTGATGATGCCTGACTTGCACCATTGCCTTGCAGGATTCAACTATCAATCTTTCACCAAACAAAGTTTTTTAGATTTCTCCTCTTCAGCTAATAGACAACGAGCAACCTATAATTCACAAGCATTCTGCCTCTTTTCATTACTATTCCATTATTTTAGCTTACTGGAGAATTACTGCTTTGGATGTCTTGACAAAATAGAGGGAAATGAACTGGTACGCCCTTTCCTCCCCTCAAGTCTTAACCATGAATCCAAGGTCATGCTTCAGTGTATCACTGCTGAACCAACAACTAAAAAGCACAGCAAAAAGAAATTAACACTGGTCCAACACACCTTGCAGGCCTACTGAAAGGACTTTAAGTTTAAAAACAAGAGAAAATTCTCTCCTTCTCCTGGATGTGGAACAGCAGAGAATTCTCTCCTGGATAGTCTTTTAGCCTCCAATATGCAGGGGCTAAGAGCAATAAACAAGACAAATAATTTTTCATTCATGAAGATGCTGAACAGAGCTGAACTGAGATTTCCTGCCTTTTCCCCTCGGATAGTCTGTTGGCAATAGCCAGCTTCGCTCCCCTGAGCACATGGAAACACGCCAATTATTATGCTAGGGGAGTTGTCACTGAAGAAAAAAGATAAACAGGAAAATGCAGCACCACGCTGCTCAAGCTGCAGGATGGTGCCGCATGCGAAGCCACCTCAAGCAGCAGCCACTCGTACGTGGGCACACCATTTTTTTAATCTGATCCTGCAGACGAGTCAAAGAAGCAACTGGAGAAGAAAGGGCACACAGCTCATGCTTTGAAAGCCAGTTTAGGGAACAGAGAAATTTAAGGAATAAGACAAGGAGGTGATCACAGCAGGAGACACACTTCAAGTAACCTGCTATGTACTTCTCTTGTACTATAATATGTAGAAAAATATCCTACTTCCCCTGCCCCAAAAAAAGACCTTGTTTTTGTACCTCATGCATCTAAGAATATCTGCATAATGACAATATCTTGTAGATGCATCCAAGACAGACGAGCTGAAGAGTACTGTTATATCTTCCTCTGCTTACAGAGTCACACGCTGTATTCTCCCAAACTCAGAGAAAGGATGTGTGAGCTGTGCTTCAATGGCTGAGATATATGCATGTGCATATATCTCAGCAAAAGGGGAATGGCCACCACATGAAAACATGCCCCAGCAGATTTAGTCTGTCCTACAGCCAGCAAGCAGAAACCTTAGATTAGATAAGAACTTCTGCTAGACACAGAGCTCATTGCTTGCATCTTACAGAATGCATCCAAGTACTAACTAAGCTGAAGGAAAATCTTATAAATAAAAGACAAGCAACAGAAATACCAAATCTAGAACAGATCAGCTCAAAAATCACACAGACTGTTTTGCAGACTGAAGCAAAACTAGAAATATTCAGCATACTTTAGCCAGGAAACCTAAATTCAGAGAGGTACTTAGTTTCTTTAGAACGCTCTTTCCTCTTAAGTTTCAACTGATGAAGTAGCTAAAAATAAAACAACATAAAGCAAGCCACAACTGGCTCAGTACAGCTAGTTAAGAGTGGCAACATTCTGAATGAGGCAAGAGGATACATCTGACTACTCAAGTGTTTTGAATAGCTACCTGCCCAACTATTCTCTATTTCAAAAGTCTAAATAATTACGTTGCAGGAAGTAAGTCATGCAGCAGCAGATGCCACCATACAGGAACACCTGTTCCTTCAAACCCCAATACAAAAGAAAAAGGGAGCAACAACCATTTTCCTTTGAAAGGAAAGAATCAAGCTTTGGAGGCCAAAGATAAAGTACTTAAATACCCCCAAACTGTGGGCAGAACCCAAAATAATCCATTCAGTGCTCTGCGCTAAATACAGAATGCAGTTGCCCTGCTCGTGTGTTGATAAACTGTCAGAAGTAACACATGCATTTACAGAACTGAAAAGCCCAAAAGACGCTCCGGAGCAAACTTCTTTTTCCAAGGACACTTTAACGACAATGACTTAGATTTTTTACAAACACATGCAACTAACAGGTATTTTGGAATGGTTAACTCTGGGGTTTCTTTCCACTGCTTTTTCATTAGAACTTGTGGTGATATACAATAATTGCCTAATTTACTGGCCAGGTTAAGCAGCTGCTCACATGGGACTGCAGCAGTACTTAAGTGCTGGCAAACCAAAAGTGCCTTCAGACCAGCTGTGTGAATGCTCATGTACTCCTGTGAGCACTTATTGTTGCAGCTCTTACCTTGAACACAAACACGAACAGAAGTTGTTACCGTAAGCATTTAGGGGAAATGGATTAGGGAGTCACAGGCACCATTAGTGCTCACCAGCCGCTTCTATTCAAGCCTACCGAGTTAGCAGCATTTATGCAGCTCCAGAGAATAATTCACGGGGGAAGCGCACCAGCTTTTCGCCTCCATCCCCGGCTGCCAAATGAAATCGACCTTCAAAGGCGAGGGAAATATACATGCCCCGGTACAACAGCGGGGAGCGAAGCGAGGGAAATATACATGCCCCGGTACAGCAGCGGGGAGCGAGGCGTTCCCCGCCGGCTCCCACGGCCCCCGCCGGGCGCGGGGCCCTCCCTGCGGCCGCCGTGCCGTGGGGAGGGTGGGCCGGTTGGGGTCTCTCGCCCAGCAGAGCCCCGAGCCCGCCTCCCGCCGGTCCCTCGAAGTTCCCGGTCCTTCCTCCGCCGCGACTCGGGGCCGGCAGCCGGACGGACCCCCCGGGCCGTGCTCCCCCCGCTCCCTCCTTCCCCCCCTCCTCACCGATGAGGACGCGCAGGTGCTTGAGGCGGGTAAGCGGGTCCTTGCGGGTGTCCAGCACCTTCTGCGTGGATTTTCGCACGTCTCCGTGCGGCTTCTTGGAGAACATCCCGCCGGGCCCGGCCCCGGCGCCGCGCTCCAGAGGCGGACAGCGGCCTCCGGATCCGCCCGCACCGGGGCCCCTACATAGCCAGCGGCGGCAGCGCCGCCTCCTCCTGGCTCCGGCTGCGATGCGGCGGGGGTGGAGGGACGCGGCGCGGAGCCAACTCCCCGTGGGCCCGGGGGGAGGCCGGGCCGGGCCGGGCCTAGACTCCCCCTTCCCTCCTTCTCCTCCCGCTGCTTCACGACAGCCGTCAGGTGCGACCCCAGGCGTCCCTATGGCAACCGCGCCGTGACGTCACGGCCGGCGCTCCCCAGCGCACCTCCGAGGCGCGGCGGGCGGACGGACCGACAGACAGACAGAGCGGCGGGCGGACCCGGCTCCTCCCTTCCTCCGGCCCGGGAGGGGCCGCTGCGTCTGCCCGGGGCTGTCACGGGTGTCCCCGCCAAGGGATGGGGAGCCGGGACCGGAGCGGGGCAGCCGGGGGGTCGCTGGAGGAGCCTCTGGGCAAAGTGCGGGAACCTGCGCTTCAGCGGTTTATACGTGAAATATATAAATTTATCCCATTCCACGGCTACTTCTGGCTGTACAGCACAGGAGATAACATCCAGGCGGGGACCGCCTTCGCCCAGGCGGCGACTCCAAACCTTTACTCACGATGCCTCAGTTGTGCAACCGGCAGCGCCGTGCCCCGACGTTCCTCTTCCCGCACCGGCCGCTCCTCACCCCCAGCCCCTGCCCGGTCCCCGGTACCCGCTTTCCCTGCCTGCGCCTTCGGCCGCAGGGCTGGCACGGAGACCGGGCCATCGGGGGAAGCCGGCTCCAGCCCGAGGGTCTGGCGTGGCCTCGTTTCTTCTGCCTGCCCCTTCTGCACGACCACGCTGGTCCTACCACAAAGCCAGAAGCGGGGTCCAGGCATGGTGTTTGGCCACCTCGCCAGTGGTGGGCCACAACAACAACCAGGGACACGTACGAGGTGCCATATAAACTCTGCTGCCGAGGGCTGAATTCATAATATTGAAAGAGCACAATGTTTCTCTGAAAACCTGACATTAGTTTACCATCATGAAATTTACGAAACAGAGAATCCTTGGACTTTTCAATAGACACGTGGTGGTGTATCATGTAAGACTCATGATTTCCAGTGTCACTTTGCTTGGACATTTTTAAACGTCCGGTGCTCTGTTTTGCGTTGAGGAAATCCAGTTCCCTCCCCTAAGAGTCTGGCTACAACAGCTGGAGTTTCTAATATTGGCCATATTTAAATATTTGAGACTTGTTATAAAGAGTAAGAATTGTCAACGTTTACATACCTCTTACATGAATAACATAACCTGAGTATTTAAAGGCATGACCAATAACAGTTAAGGTTACAAGCATAAAGGCAGTGGGATTTACTCAGCAGGGCATCAGTGAGGGAGTCAGTGTCATCTGCCTACCTATCTGGTCTGCCCCAAAGCATCTCATATTCTACCGTCTCCATAAATGAGATCTGAAGATTAGCAATGTCAGGTAATAGACAGTATTACAATAATTTATTTTACCATAACGCAGTACATTTTTGCTTTCTAAGATCTGACGCTGATACATTGATTTATGTGCTTTGCTTTCCAAATGTCATGACTTCTAAGCACATTTTTGTATTTCGACAATTTTTAAAAGATCTTTTCTGGGGAGAAAGTGCTTGTTCTTCTGATAATTTTTTGATCTTTAACTCAAGACAGAGCTTAAAAATAATAGACAGAGTAAGACCTCATCAAAACATTAAATGACAAGAGGGAGTGGTGTTAACCAAGATAATAATGGCTTCTACAGAGAACCTCCTCGTGCAGCGCGCACCAGACAGGAAGGGCACGTTCTATGCACAGCAAAAGCCGTGATCTTGCAAAGGCTTGACTTTGAAGCATGTGACTTCGATGCCTTTGATTATGCATGGAGGACAAGGTTAGAAAATAGCAGGATTAGTTAGGGAGGGGTTAGGTTCTGCTGCATTCCAGGTGGGTATTGCTGTACCCAATTCTTTGTATTTCCACTTTGAAGACAGAACTTTTCAAATATGTTTTTCCAGCCACGAGGGGACCCCCATAAGGAAGTTTAACGAAACTTTTAAAGGAGTGGGGTAGACAATTATATGTGACAGAACTTTTTTCTCCTTCTTTTAACTCTCTCTACAGGGCCCCATGGGGCACTCAAAAGGCAAGTGGGTCACATTCATACCATCAATTAACTTCTCACAATTCATCTAGGATTTATGATTTCCCAAAGAATTCAGCTGTTGCCAAGTACTTAAAAAAATACAAGTATTTTTTTGATATATCAAAGAGAGAACAAACCCTTCAGTTCTAGCTCAGTTCAACATTTCACATTTGAAATGATTATGTTTTGGACTCTTGCAACCCCATCCAGAAACCCAAGTTTCTGGAACCCTTGCTTTACTAATATGTACATGATACTAATACATACATGATTAAAAGGGAGTTAAAATTCCTCAGAATTTCACTAAGTATTTCCCTTCTTTCAGGTAACTCGCATGAGTCTTAAACCTGATCCCTCAGAGGTGCATACTTTTATTCTACTAAAGAGCTGTTTGCCCGCATGGTCCTTTAAGAGAAAACAACAAATTTAAAATAATTTTCTAAAAGCGTTCCACTGCTTCTCATCTCTTTGTATTTAGCTCAACAGCTGATCCCTTTGAGGTTTTTCTCTAAGTAGTCCTATTTCTACTTTTCTATACCACCCTTCACAGTTTCCTTCCTATGGAGGTTGTCTTGGTTTTGAGAAAGACACCTCTCTAAATTGCACCCTGGGCATTAGGATGGTGTGTTGCAATCCTCTGGGTGTATGGCTTTGCCTGTGCTACAGTATTCCTGTTTGGGAACCATCCTGAGTAACAAATTTTTTAGTTAACTTAACTGGCAACTATTTATTTTGAGAAAAAACCCCACCAAACCTAGATATTTAAGGTTTGAATAGTCAAAACAGGGTTCTGTACGGTTTGGTACTCTGGTGTAACATATTGATACCAGAGATGTTGGCCATTTTGACCTAAGCAGTCAAGTATCAGGATCCTGTAAGGTATTTCTATGAGAATAATGGAACAGCTAGCTGTTCTTTCCACAAAATCCTGTTCTTGTGCAAAAAAAAGCACCAATTCCCATTTCATTTACACAACCCCATAGCTGACAGATGAAATCTGGATTTATATGCTTCTGTAATTAAGTGAAAGACCTCTTCATGAGCTTATACTCTCCTGAGCAACCAATTCTTGCTTTATTGCCTTTTTTGCTAAGCAGTGTATCGGCATTAATACTTTTGCATGAGCATCTGGTACAAAGTCAGAACACTACAGTCTTTCCAACCACCAAAGATCCCAAGTTGGAATAAATTTTTCCATGAGCTACAGAATTAATGAAGCCAGATTTCCTCTGAATTTGTACTCTAGCCACTGAATGCCATGAGTCACCTCCTTGCACAATCATAAACCTTCCTTTGCTTAGTCCCTCCCTACCTATTTGAGGCAGGCAAGAGGCCTGACTGCAGTTACGTCCTGACTACCTGCATGCAGGTTGGTGGAACAGACTGCTGTCTCTTGGAGGGGTAAAAACTAAGTTACACGTTTCCTTCTGTGAGGTTCTTTGTTCCAGATACTGTTTCACAAAACACACAGAAACTTGGTATCTTTAACACTTGTGCTCTCATGTAAAATTGTATCTAAATTAGACAATGGCTTCAATAGTATCTGGGAGAGAGCAAGTGAAAAAAAAAAACAAAAAAACAAACCAAAACCCAATGCAACAATCATTATCTATGTTTTATTTTCTTAACCAGGATATGTCAGCCATGATCCAAGAACTGAAGGGACATATGGCCTGTCATGATGAGAAAATTTCATATGCGTGAAAGTTATTTTCAACCAGTGTAACCATCACCAGCTCCTGTCCAGCGCTGCCAGAGAATTTAGACATTTTTGCTGTGCAAAGTCACCTCCAACTCACAATGTTTGAGCTCTAATGTAAGCACTAGCACCCATATCTGATATGAAAGAGGTTTTGAAATGTGAATACACAGATACAGTGGCAGTTACAACAACTTCTTTTTTTAACTGAAAGGGCTCAAACACTCTCTCTCAACCACTGAGAGGTTTTCTTTTTCTTCCCTAAATTATGAAATAGTTTTGCAATATTGACAAACCCACAAAAGAACTTCCAGAAGAGAAAAGCCCTGCAGAAACCCTGCATGTTTGCCAGACTCCAGGGGAGAGCCAGTTTTGCAGAGATTATTTCTGTTTTGCCCCCAATCTCTCCCCTTATCTCATCTGCAGGAGTAAGCACAGTCTTTTAGAAATAAGTCATATCTCTTTGAGTTTATTTAGATTAGTAGTTTTAAACTTACTTTACACCATTTGCAGCAAATACCAGAATATCTTGCCTAGATAATAAATGAGCTGAAGGAGGAAAACGATCCAATAGCCTTCAAACACAGCTAGCAGCTTGCAAACTGTGGCTGCTACTTTAACTTGCTACTGACCTTGTCCTCAGGGAAAATAGTCTTCTTAGTGTTCTTGTGACCCACCTCCTAATATTTCACTTTGAAATTGAGAGTGAAGAATCAGATTTAATTTGATAGAGCATTCAGTGTATCATTTCTTTGTGATACTGGGTAAAAAATATTTAAAGTGACATAATTTTGTTTGCCACAGTCCACAAGCACCCAGTGCTACCACTTCTTTTGTAACCCATACCACAGATGAGGCCAAGAACTGATTAAAACTCTGCATGTATCTTCCAGACAAATTTTTCTCATGATTTTTCTTCCACTGTTAATAACACATACTGATACATCTGGCTAGTATGTTGATGTCCTGTCCCCTTTGGAGGACCTTGGCCCCCACAATCAAATTTGTGATGACCAGTCCAAGACAAACTACCTATCTGAACTCGGAGAAACTCCTAATGAGAAGCTATTTCAAACTCATTAAGATGTAGTGCACTATATCAGCTCAAACACAGTAAAAGCTCTTTTGTTTTTGCTTCTTCCTTGAAGGTTTCACCTTATGAAGGTTTTCCTATCTTATCTCAGGTTTTCATCACACCTGTGTCTTACTGATTCACATCATATATATATGGCTTCTCTCTTTACAATCCTCTTCTTGTCAGAATTATTCAGTTAGTACGCAGTTACTCACTACAACAAAAGCTGGCAGTCAGGTTGATAATCAGAAAGCTAGTAACTGCTTTTCAGATTCTAGAGTGATACATGTCTCC